GGCTCTTTGAAACTCAATCAATGTTAATGCTACTCGCATTTAGAAAAACATTCTGTGACTGTTAATACTTAAAGTCAAATCAACAGCGTGCACACTTTCTAAAGATATGCGCATATCCATAAATACTGCTATTGTCCATATCATAACACAATCGTTCAACATTGTTCTATTGAAATTAGAACACAATATACAACAGTAACAAATATCAAACATGACTGAGAATTGTAAATGGTTAGAGAGATCACTCATGCGCGCAATTGAAATTTGTTATAACCATCAGTTTTTAACTATTATCTAGCAATCTTAGTAGCTTGATATAAAACAGTCCTGATGTAAAACAGCCCAAAGCATTAATATATTGCAAAATGTTTCTGCCACTTTGCATTGTCTAGCAAGGTTTTTATGTTCTTTTTTATGTACCTTACAAAGGTACTGATGTTCATCTCAGTAAAGCAAAGATACATTTTTTCAGTAACATCTGTACAAGTTAATTTTGGTTGCTCTTCTAGGGTTTGTTCATAGGAAAGCATTCTGGAAAGGTTTACATATGTGCTCAAGCTGATGATTTCTCTCAACAAAAGGTTATTTGCATTGGTGATAATTTGCACAACTTTATTTGGGTGGGGCCAACACCCCCTGTTGAGTATCACAGTGGATCATGTATTCTGGATGGCTGTTATGGATGTTTTGATCCAGTCATAAGAGACAGAGTGCTAAGATTCAAACGCTAAGTGATATTTTGATGCTTTGTTATGTAAATAGAAACTTTACGCTACTTATCATACATATATTATTTATAAAGATACTTAAAAGTAATAAACCACTTGCTTTTCAAGCTGGGTGTATGTTATAATGCCAGCTAGATGAACTCAGCTTTGCATGGCACATCATTTTTTTCAAGGTAAAATGTATATATCTGTAGGAGTACTCACTGATTAATTAGAGCTTTGATTTAATTACAAAGTACTCTCTGAATACAGCTTTGCTTAATTAAATAATTTTGTTAACATCAAAAATTATCATGCATCTACAATTATTATGAATCATATTTTTCACTACTTGGGTAAAATTATTTTATTTGTATTTTCTCGTGTACGTAATTTATTTGCATTATATTTCTTTAAATGTTTTTTCCGTGTATTCTATGAATACCTAGTTTTATTTTGGTAGATTTTAATTGCTTACAATTTTGGTTTTAGATTGTTTGCCCAGCAGGGGCGGACACTTGGTCAAATATTTGGGGCAAGCCTATTGTTTTAATAAGATGACATCACATTTCCCATTGTTTTTGAACAAAAGACCATTGTCCTCTAAAGTATTGGAGGGGCAGTTGCCCCTGCCTTGCCCCCCCCCCTCCCCAGGTGTCCGCCACTGTTGCCCAGCAAAATTTGAAAAACTCATCATTAACAATAGAATTGCTGTGCAATTATTTGATTTTTTCTTTTATAGATGATGACATTATATTTATTGAATTGTACCCCATCTATTTTATTGAATGCATATAAGATTGGTACATTAGGCTAATGATGGTACAACACAACCTCTATAACGCTGATGCTAATGTTACACGAGATTTGTTGTCAATTTTTTGGAGGATAGCTGTTATCCTTAACCCAAAAATTCAGAAACATTTACCTCATAAAAATGCTAAATGTTGGCCCTGTCCACACTTTTATTTGCAATAGTTTTTCTTTTTCAAAACCCTGCATTTTGTCAATTATTCATGTTCATTTTTCACTTGCCTTGTAAAACAATTTTCTGCAGCTGTCAAGCAAAACCCTTTTTCCTAATGACGAGACAATGCTTTTTATTCCTTTTAAATGAGATCAAATGTAATTCTATACAATTTCCTCTATGAAAGAGAACCTTAAGTTAAAACATCAACTGAGTCCATAACCTACTAAGTATGTGCCTCTTTCCAACTCCAAATCATTTACTAGGTTACTTAAGTCTGATCTTCAAAGAAAATTACAAATTTTTAGAAACCTGAACACTGTAAGAACACTGTAAGAAGTTGTTTGTTTGTGTGATATTTTTATGATGGATGCTTGTCTCAACTTTATGTTACTTGTAAATTGAAAAACCACAGTTAAGATGTTAATCTTCTGTTTAGATTTTTTTCAAATTTTAGCAAAATTGATTCAAAGACAGCTTATGTTAAATAGATAATAGTGTTATTAACAAATTTGTGTAATCATGTGTGCATTTTTCTATCAATAAATATTTTACTGGTTTTCTTCACTCATCTCCTTTCACAGTATACACATCCTACAGTTCTAGATACTTAAAAAAGCAATTGAAGGAAATTGACTCAACTAATAAAGAGGCTTTTACCAAAATATTTGATGGGTGGGAACAGTAACCCTCTGGAACAGCCATCTCTTTCTTATCGTTTCATTGTATGATGTATCACTGGTTCTTCTATTAGGTAAGCGTTTGAATGGTATTCTTGAAGTATGTAGCCATTGTTCGAAGAAATTGAATAATTGTTTATAATTTTCTGAAACCTAGAACTAGCAACAGAATAGTCATTTCCCACATATATACACACCGTCTTCATCTCCCTTCAAAGTTGTGCAAATCAGAAAACCAATCTTTAGATAAAATTTTGCATTTTCCTGTTCACAGTAACAGGAAGTGACGCAATGAAATATATAATCAAAATTAATCTTGAAAGGGATAGGCTGGAAGACCAAAGACTCGTCTGCTGAAAAACAAAAATACGTTTCTTATTTTATATTTCGTATAATTTATTAGATTTAACTGTACACTATAAAGCAGTAACGGGCATGAGATAAAAGAAACTTACAACAGAAGCAATTATCAATACAACATTATTGCAACGTGGCAAAAAATTCATATTGCGGATTCGAATTAAACAAGAATGTTGATTTGATTAACGTGGCCTTTGGGTCATTTTCTTATTCTTCTTCTTCTAGGTGCCATGCTTCATAGCGTCGGCTACCATGGCACGAAAACTGTCCCTTTCCCTGACGGCATGAATCATTTCGATGCGCTTTTCCCAACCAACGACTGAGACAGTCGGTGATTTTCTCTCGCTGCCTTCCTCTACTCCTTCTTCCTTCAATCCTTCCTGTTGCAACTAGGTGTTCCAGCTTTCCTCTCCGCATGACATGACCAAAGGAGCTTGCCTGCCCTTTCCAAATATTATTACAAACGTGTTACTTTAACCCCGCTAAATACTTTTTGATGTTCAGTTGTTCATTGTCCAAGTCTCACTGCCATACTTCAAAATTGGAATGATATAACAATCAAGTACTATTTTCCTTGTGTTAAACGAAATCCGAGGGTTTGTGAGTATCTTGGACAACTCAGTGAAAACGATTTTTGCTTGTGCAATTCTGGTTTGAATTTCTTTGGCGGATCTTCCATCCCAGCTGATGGTAGCACCCAGGTATTTGAAACTTTCCACCTGAAATTTTCTTATTAGGGTGCAAGATATCCAGAAAAACGACGTTATACTGGAATGAAATACGACAAAATTTTGATCATGAGAACATAACTAAAAACGCCACCAACGTAGTGCAAGCTTTCTTACATTAAAAGGAATTTAGTTTATGATCACAATATTAACGCAACAAAACTGCGAAGAAATTCAGTAGATCTTTTGTCGAGCAAATGCATTTTTCCAATAAAGAATGCGGTTTATTTTGGCTGTAACAGTAAAAGTTATAAATGATCCTAATCTTTTAAGTAAAGCGCTTATGTCAATTCATCTCTTTCATGGAAAAATAGGAAAACCAGGGAAATTTCAGTGCTTTGATAATTAACCAAGTATATAACACCATAAGACTGGGTACCAGCTCAAAATATGAATTATTTATATGTATTTATATTATATGTATGTGATGTATTTATATGGTTGTATCCGAGCGAACGACCAAAATTAGGGTGACCTGCTTTTTACTGATTCATACGAATTCCATATCTGAATTGAACCTAATATTTAAAGGAAGGCAAAAAAGCAAATGTTACAAGAAAAAAATCTGATAGTTTTTGAAAATAAATCATAGCCCTTTTGAAGGGAAAATCCATGCGGGGACAAGCCTTTCTTTATATCAAAATAAGGACAATAACCTATTGTTTAAAACTGGACATTAGGGCTGGAGGGGCGATTGCCCCTCTAGTTAGTATGCTCGAAAAGGATCCTGCTGAAAATGTGCACTTTTCTAGACAGGACACTTAATCCTAAAGAAAGAGTTAGGGTACAAGTTAGGGTTCTAGAAAACAAGCTTTAAAATCTACTATTGACTTTTGGGAAAATGGACACCAGAGCAACATTGGTCTCCTAGCTCCTCCGTTTATGACTGTCCCGTGCCGGTCATTACTGAAATGATTTCGTTTTTCTTTCTTTGGCTTCCTTATATTCTTGCCATTTCCAAGTTCCAAGTTCGGTTTCAACAATATCATAGTTACCAAGTATTTTGTCAAGTTCCTGCCATATAGCAGCTTCATAACACGTTATATTTTGCGTTCGTCAGTTGTTATATTTTTTACCTCTCAATCCATTTGCTGGAGAGGCTCCGGGACTAGCTTGTTTCTGACCTCGGTGACAAAGATAACAATCTTGCAGCAACCACGTAGCTGTAGGTGTCGGTTAGGGGGGGGGGGGCAAACTCGAGCAAGAACCATACCTCAGGGGGGCAGGCTTTAAAACAAGAAAACAGATATATAACAAACAGATATATTTGGACAAAATCAAGGTCATGGAATTATAAATATGCCAAATTTTCAAAATATCATTGGGAAAAACTGTAGCAAGAGGGGGCAAGCTGTTGTCAAAATTTTAATTTGGGGGGGCACAGCTTTTTCCGCAAGTTTTACAGGCTGGATTTTTCCAACAGTGCCTTTTACTAAGTATGCTTCTAAACCTCACCAAAATAAAAAAGATGTCGTTAAAGAATTAGTTTGCCCCAAAAACTCTCCAACATTTCTCGCTTTCTCTCTAGCCCTCCTTGTGACGCAACACCTGTCCCCAGGCCACCAAAATTTTCTTGGATTCCGTGGCCTAATGAGAAAGGAGGTCCATCGTCGAAGCCAAATACAAAGACGAAATTTGTAACAGATTGAAAGAGACACAATGATGCAAAGAGGAGAAAGAAACTTACAGAATAAAATTTAAGCAGGTAGATGCTCAATTCATTTCCTATACTGATTCGATAACTTCTTTTGATTTCGCAAGAACGTCTCAAACACAAAATATTTATCTCACGGCCTACATGTTATTGTTTTTAATGTGCATGTTTGGCATGACGAAATATCTAATGATAACATATGACATAGGAAAATACTCAAAACTACTATTTTTAAAGAGAAAATTAAAGCTCCTCTACTTTTCTAATTTGGAGATGAAATGCGAAACCAGGGTCAAGCAATGTGAAGTTACTTGAATTTCAGACCTGGCGTAGGTAGACAACTACGATGTTTTTGTTTTGAAATGAAGGCTATACTGAAGGGATTCAAAGAATTAGACCACTGATGTATGTTACATCTCAGCTTTCTAGCAACTAACGCTTCAGTAATGTTTCATATCAATGTATCATATTTTTATGGGACTTCTCAAGAGGAATAGTGAGTAGTGAGTAGAACTCTATTTTAATTTAAAATGCAGAATTCAGCTGTAGAGAGTTTTGGTTTTCAGTCTTCAAGGCTCATGATTCTGCTTTTGTCAAATAACCTTACAAAAGTCAACATTTTTTGTATTTTCCTGTTAGCTTGTTTACATAGTAATTGTAATAACATAGCATAACATATATGCATACCAAGTTTGCTTTCACCTACATGTTGTAAAGCCCTGTTTCACTTAAATCATAAGCGTAAACTTCTGTTTTAATGTTATATGAAAAGTAATTCTCATGACCATTGTATCAAATGAATTCACTGTTTCAAGCTGTGTTTGGATGTTTGCATGTCTGAGGTCCCCATTATCCAGTGAGACAAAATTTAAAAATACTGTAATTTTGAAAAATACCTATTTTTTATTTTCTTGCATGAGGCAAATGAGAAAAAATGAGAGATAATATGAAAACTCAAAGGTTTTTTGGAAGTGAACATAAAATGAAAAATAAATTTAATATATAATGAAACAATTAAATTTTTTGTACAACATATATTGTCTCAAACTTAAAGTGAGAATGATAGTTTTTAACTTTGTAGTCTGAAAGAAATGATTAGTTGTTTGTCTTCATTGTATGTCTTCAATTTCCATGGCTAGGTTTCTTATGTCTTTGATAATTTTTGATGATCCTTTAGCCAGCTTCTTGGGTAAAATGGTGCAATGTTAGTCAGAAATTTGATTCTCTGCATTTATCTATTAAATTATTGTTTATTTTCCTTTATAGATCTTATCTTGGCATTTGGTGTTTACCTCTACAGCTACAATGCCAACCATGAGTCTTTTAGGAGATATAGAGCTGAACATCCCTGCTCCCCCCTATGAAAACAAGGGCCATTACAAATGGGCTTTTGGTGTCTTGAATACAATGCGGCATCAAGGTGTTCTAACAGATGTAGCTGTCCTGGCTGGCAACAGAGAAATCAAAGCTCACAGAGCAGTACTTGCTTCAGCTAGTCCTTATTTTTATGCCATGTTTACGGCGGATCTTTCAGAAAGTAGACAAGAAGTTGTTACAATAAGAGAGGTTGATCCACTTGCTCTGGAGCTTTTAATTGACTATTGTTACACTGCTGAGGTGCCAGTAAATGAAGAAAATGTCCAGGTTGTGTATACCTTTTATCAATTGTTCATTAATTTTATGTCAATTTTTCTGCCTTAAAGCACATTATTAAGGAGGTACCGATAGAATTTCAGTAACCCTTATAATATATGACAAATTTTTAGACACACCAAGCTGTTCAGCTTACATTTCTCAGTACATTTCCTCATACTCATTGACCTTCTATACATATCACACATATCTGCTTTTCAGGGTATTCTGGTAAAAACAATTTTCTTAAAGGTGACCAGTCTGATAGCTAGGCATGTTTTATTTTTGCTCTTGTTTCCAATACTTTTTTATCATGGCTTCTTTGTGGTAAAATGTTGTAAAACAGAAACACTGATAACAAAGGCAGGAATGAAAGTGCGGGAAATTATGATGTCTGGTGAAAGCTTACACAATAAAGCTTAGAATAATGGTCTTGAAAGTTTCATTTGCACTCTGAATTCAGAAAAGCTGTCAGCTCTGTGTGAATCTGCAAGTTAGGTTAGTGAAAACAAAAGAAGTTTGGAGCCTCAAGACCAAGTTAAACTCGGTTTTCATTGTTTGTTGAAGATGATTTTCAGAATCTTTCTTGATCAGCTGGGTGGTGGATGGGAAATTTGCTGAGATACACATATGTCCAAATTTCAGCAACTTTGGGTTGCTTTAGAATCTTTTCATTTCTAAACCCTTGAAAGCATGATAGAATGATTTTAAGTGTCATAATGGAACATCTTAGCTCAAAAACCTGTGTCTATGTTTTGTCTTATATTGTATTTTTCAGACTTTGCTACCTGCCGCTGGCCTGCTGCAACTCGTTGATGTGAGCAATGCCTGTTGCGATTTTTTGAAGTCTCAGTTGCATCCAACCAATTGTTTAGGGATCAGAGCATTTGCAGATATGCATTCTTGCAGAGACTTATTGAATGCAGCACATTCATACATTGAGCAGCATTTTGCTGAAGTTGTAACATGTGAAGAATTTTTACAATTGCCAGCAGAAAGCATCATTGAGTTTATATCAAGTGATAAATTAACAGTGCAGTCAGAGGATAAGGTTGGTTCATATCATATGATTCCATAAATTTTGCTAGATTATAAAGTAAATAGAAAGTAACTATGAATTTAAGTAAATTGTACTAGGAATAAATAATAGATTTTTTTATTAATGACATTTGGAGCATAACCTTTGAAGCTTTTACTTTAGATCCTAGTTGCAGACTCTATTAGCAATGTCATGTTGGGATTCAAAATGACTCTAAACCACATACTTTTTGTTTCTTGTGGTAAATGTCTTTTTTGCCTTTTGGTAAATGTGCATCTCATTATTGGAGTTTGAGTGTTTCAAGATAGAGAAATGCAAGATCAGAATTTTTGATTTGTTGTATGTCTAAGGAAATCTCAGAAAACTGTTTTTATATCTGGAAATTTGTGCTTAGAAATGGTTCCCAGTTCTGTACTGATACCAACTTAGAGCAGCATGTCTAAGGTCTGCTGTCAGAAAATTGATTTATATTTAGCTTTCTACCTTCTTGGAAAAGGTTTTTTTAATTTTTTTTCAGTTTGCTTCCTTCTCAATACATAATAAAAATTTAAATGGCCTCTGACCATTTTATTTCAGTTCAATGTATGTGGCTACACATTTTTCATCTTTTGGCTTCACCTCTCGTGTATGGCCAAATTAAAGAATGCCTTTGGGTTTTGGCACCATTAAAGTGTAAGTTTTGATCAATATAATTTATGTTCTCTAGGTGTTTGAGGCAGTGATTGCATGGGTGAATTATGACATAGCCAAGAGGGAATCATCACTTCCAAAGTTAATGGAGTATGTTCGTTTGCCATTATTACCACGTGACTATCTCATCGAACGTGTGGAAACTGAGCCTCTTATTAAACGCAGCTTTGCTTGTAAGGATTTTCTAATTGAGGCACTGAAGTACCACCTAGTACCTCGTTTCCAAAGAAATTTTATTCAGTCGCCAAGAACCAGGACGAGAGCACCCATTGGTTTCCCAAAAGTTCTGTACGTGGTAGGAGGGCAAGCTCCAAAGGCCATTCGAAGGTAATCTGTTTGGAATGATTTTTTTATCATCAATTACTTCATAGCCCCTTTTCCTTCTTCCAGATCCTATTTATGCTATTTTGTATTGTTTTTTACTGAATCTTTGCCCCAGACATTTTATTTGTGAAAGCTGCATTAAAGATAGAATAAATTTGATTCGAGTGCCGTTATTCAGTCTTCAATTCAATTTACAGTGGTTCTTCTCATCAATGAGTTTTTAATTCGTTTCTAGTTATTTCGTTTTAATTTGTTTCAAGTTATTTTAATTATCTCATTAATTTTTTGCGTTTCGATTTTTTGCATGATAACCAAAAGAAATTGAATAGCAACATTCAGATATCTCTGTTTATTTGATAAAAATAAGATCAGAAATAATCTTGTATAGCATTGAACCAAAAGCATGCGTTTAAGAGTGTGCAAAGGGTAGGAAAGGTTTTGCTCCATGACATAACAATAAAACCAAAAAGTGTGAAATTTTGTTGGCAAAAGATATCTACGTTGCTGAGGCTGTAGGTAAGACTAATAAAGGTAATATAAAGAAATAAATGTATATAGAAAGTTTTGCACAGTTAACTCAAAAAAGTAAGCGCTTGTGAATTTTTTCACTGGCACTTCAAGCAATCTTACGTGTTAGATTCTTGGCAATGATCTTGTGGTGAAATGTAAGCTCCATTCGCAAAGTTGAAGCTCTGGTCTCATGCAGGTTTGTGCAAGTTATCTAGAAAAGATAGACCAAATTGTCCCAAAACTAAGTTTCATATTCCGAAACTGAGTTTTATGAAACGTCTTTTCAGCTTCTTGATAATTTGTGTGTGTTTACAAATGCACATCAAAGAATAGATAGGCCACAGGGTCCGAAAACGCTCTTACCCACCGAACACTAGAGATAAAGCCATTTCAGGTGATGTACTGGTTCACTATTTTCACCATTAGCGGCAAAACATCCTCTTTTAGTTGTTCAAGTTGGGAAATAAACGCTGATTAAGAGTTGAAGGCATTTTTACTTAAGAAAGATTCTTATTGGAAAACTTTATTTTTTAGCGTTGAATGTTATGATTTCCAATTTGAAAAGTGGTATAATTCAGCAGACATGCATTCGCGTCGTTGCCGTGCGGGTGTTGCGGTGTTGAACGGACTCATTTATTGCGTTGGCGGATTCAACGGGTCCTTACGCGTAAGAACAGTTGATTGCTATGATCCGCGCAAAGACGAATGGCGGCCTGTCGCTTCCATGGAAGCGCGTCGTAGCACGCTAGGAGCAGCAGTTTTAAATGGACTTCTTTATGCAGTGGGTGGATTTGATGGTACAACGGGACTAAATAATTGCGAAGCTTATGATCCTCGATCGAATGAGTGGCGGCAACTTCAGCCAATGAGTGTAAGACGAAGTTCTGTAGGTGTTGGAGTTCTGAGAGGACATTTATACGCCGTTGGCGGTTACGACGGTGCTTCGCGACAGTGTCTGAATTCTGTCGAACGCTACGACCCAAATCGCAAGGAATGGACAATGGTAGCAGATATGATGGTAAAACGGAGCGGAGCTGGAGTTGGCGTTTTAGGTGGATTTTTATACGCGGTAGGAGGTCATGATGGTCCGCATGTGAGGAAGAGCGCTGAATATTACAATCCTGAGAACAATACCTGGGCTAGTGCCGCAGACATGTCGATGGCACGACGTAACGCGGGGGTCACGATGATAGATGGTTTGTTATATGTTGTAGGAGGTGATGATGGCACGAACAATTTAGCAACGGTAGAAATTTATAATCCGCGCAATGATGAATGGACTACAATGACCGCACAAATGAGCACCGGACGGAGTTATGCGGGACTTGTGCATATTGATAAAGTATATCCAACCAACCGCGAAAGTCCTTCAAACGGATCGAACGGGAAGGCAAGTCCATATACACAGTAGAATAATTACTGCACGCACGGGCAGCATTCCGACTTAATGAGCCCACTCTAATTTATATTTCCCTAATTTTATGTAGTAATAAATTTTCCTGATTTCATGCAATTCTGAACTTGGCTGGGTTGATATCAAAGCTGAAGTGTTCCCATACCCCATTCACTTCATGTTTTTCAATGATAGCTTTCAATCAACGGGCAAAATTTAAATTTTATAGAATTTTGTGGATTTCATGCGACTCAAAAATCAGCTAAACATTCGCTAGAAAACAGCTAAACGCTTTGCAACAGCTATGAAACAGCCACTTACAGTTTAGTGCTGACTTATGCAAGTTTACCATGCCAACTTTCTTGCTTACTTTAATAAAAGTGACGTAATGATTCCAAAGTTAAAGAAAGGTGAGATGTTGATTCCAACAATCGTCGTCGTAACTTCCTCTTAATTCCTTTTTGTTCAGGAAACAATGAATTGGATTGATTTGTACGATACAAGTTGTTATAATTGTAATTGTGCTTACAGTTATAACAACAATTTAAGACATTTTAACCTTATCTCAATGATAATGAAAGAATCACAACTTCTTTTCCTTTGATTTGATTAAAATTGAAATGTAAATCCAATATTTGCTGTGAATTCATACGTGGCCTTTATCATCTATAGTTGCAGACTGCAATGCATGCGCCTATGAGCCCTGTGGATAATTGGCGCAACATAACTGCTTCTATTATTATCATTAATACAAGACGTAGGCCTATCTGAAGTTTCTCCGAACATTTAGTTGGCATCCAATTGAAGCATCCACTTAGGCCAAAGTACATCCACTCCAGTTCTTGTGAATGTTTCCTAGAAATAAGTACTTTAGAATGCTACGCCTATAGCACGCCAATAGCACGCCAATAGCACGCCAATAGCACGCGCATGTGAAAATGCATTTGGTGGTGTCAATTTTTAACCCACTCATCTCAGATATTCACTTTCCTGTAATCAATATTGCGAATGAGAGTATATCGAATTGTATTTAGTTAATAATCATAAAACATTATATTAAGACAAATTAGCTAAACATTTATATTCATAAACAGTCTTGAATTTAATTATCCTGTTCGCATTGATAATAAAATTTGTTTACAACTTTGCTTGGATTTTACTGAAGTCTAAAAACTGAAAATAACCAATTACCAGTCTATTATGTAATGCGAGATGCCGCAAGGCACGGCTGTTCACGGAGTATTAGGCAACTTTTTCTGATGGCTGCATAAAGTATGACGCTTGGAGTTGCAACTTAGAACCGATTTGTTTTTTACACCAAACGAAGAACGAGGGTTTCTTTCTGTCATTCGAATCTCCCTGCAAATAAAAAACCTATATCAAAGTCCATTGATATTAACTTTCACCTAGAGGCGGGTTTGTTCGTCCCATTGGTATAAACTTCTTCAAAGTATCACAGAATATTGTGACAGTGCAGTGACTTGACTACGGACTATGCTCGAAACGTCGTTTATAAATTCACTTTATTTATAGTGCAGCTTGGACTATCAAAAGCTGTGACGTCATCACTAAGTGCGAGCAATAACTGGCTCAGAATGTTTGTGACATCTTGAATCGATGGTGTTCTAAATTTGTCAACAGATCTAAGTATATCAAACACGTGTTACTTGAATACCCTGAAGATTACCAATTTGATCTTTTTTGGTTATTATCTGAAGCTCTCTTAATTTGCTGACGAATAAAACAGAAACATTTTCGTTTATCACCTCTGCTTCGATTGCCTTTTTTGTGAAAACGATGATTTTCTGGCGGGCAATCAACGCAATTTGTAACATATTAATAATTATACTATGTATATGGGTCCCCAATGTTTATTGTACCGAATTGCCAATTCCTGTCACAGCTTATCATCATTGATCGATCATTGAATCAAACCTAGTCGCTCAAATTGTTTCAATCAGTTACGAAAGTACCCAATTCTTATCGCAACAAATAACCGTCGAACATTCAAATCACTTAATCATCATCGATTATTAAAATCACTTAATTATGATCATTCAAATCATTGGATCATCATTTCCAAATTCAAATCGCTACCGACCAATGAAGCTGCGGTTGCTTGTCGCAACTAATCACCAATGACTATGTTTAAATACTTTGAAAAGCATTAACGGAGTTACATGAACACATGTTACTGCCCACTTTCTATGCAATGCACAAACCCCCCGGAACTCGCAAATTTTCATGAAATGTAATCATCTTTGCAGAAAAGTCCAAGCTTGCGAAGATTAATCCTTTAATCCTGACCAAGGTTTTCACTTCAGTTCACACCCAGCTAAAAATCGTCATAGCTTCTAAGACAGATTTTAGAGAATTCGTAGCAGATATCTAATAACTCTTTGTGAGAAAGGGAGGGGTTTCCTGGCATTCCTCGTTTCGGAAAGCTAGGCCAAATTGCGGTGGCGTTTTTACCCGAGTTAGGTTTGGAATGTTGAGAGTGGCTTAGCACATTTCGGGTGATGTTATTTTCATAAACAGGATCGATGTTGGTTAAGCTACCATTTAGGAAGATGGATTTTGTAACAATGTAAATCAGTTTTAAAAAATCCAGTTACTAACAACTTAGTCGAGATATTTCAAACTATCCAAGAACACTTCAAGTAAGTTTATTCCTAAAGAAATCTTGTAGAAAAAAGTGAATTCTCCTTAATATCTACTTAAAATCTCCATATCCGGCTTTGCGGGTGCGGGTTTGAAGACGAGTAAAGAATACTTAGGATGCGATAAGCGTGAAAGGCAGTGGAGTACAAAAACTCTTTTAGTAATGTCATTACTATTCATGCACTGTTTGAGTTTCTTATGATGAGTTCCTTGTTTTAAAGGTGTGTTTTGAAGAATTATCCTGGTGACTTTCCAAAATACAGTATCGCAAATTCGCGGAATGATGTAAACTGATGTTCCAAGACAGGAAAAATCATTAAAGTCAAATGGCCATTAAAATTTAGAAATGTTCTCCTCGAACAAAATGGCCACATCACATTACACTTTTCAATTTCTATCTATTTGGTTCTTCTAATGTCCTCAAAGTCAACTGTTCTGTGGAGAGGTGGTGACCACTATACTAGAGCCCAGTCCTGTACAGGGGCGGACACTTGGTCAAATATTCAAATATTGGGGGGGGGGCAAGCCTATTGTTTTAATAAGATGACGTCACATTTCCCATTGTTTTAGAGCAAAAGACCATTGTCGTCTAACGTTTTGGAGGGGCGGTCGCCCCCCTCGCCCCCCCCCCAAGTGTCCGCCACTGGTCCTACACTGCAAAGTCTTTTGAAATCATTCAAACAATATTTGAAAAAGAGAAAGATGCCCTTTACATGAACCATTTCTCCAAAGCTTTCTCGTTAAAAGCAAAGGATATAGGTTCCAAACGTTTCCTGTTAACAAGCTGAAAAGGCATCCGCCAAGTCCCCCACCCTCTCTCTTCAAATTAGGAGCGGGAAAATTTCATATCCAGATTCTTGTGTAAAACACTTCTGTGTCATATGGCGCCTTTGTCGTACGAGAAATCGTTATTAAAGTTAAGTCGTCATGTGAAAACGATTTGTATTGTGAACGACACGGAACTGACTGTTATCTTTCTCCCTAGCATTCAGTTAAATCGAAGCCTCATTATTTCAACAGTGCGACATATCTTGCACAGGCTCACGATTTGGTGAACTAGCGTCATATCAGTCACGTGATTAGATAATCTCTGTTTGAAAAAGAGGGTTTTTAATGAAGTTACGAATTTGCAAAACAGAGAAATTAGAACAAACAACATCAGTTTTGCTCTTATCGCTTCACACCAATTCATTCCGCTTTATCAGTTTTTCATATTATTTATTATATCATATAATATTTTCATATTGTCAGCTTTTCTTATTACCACTTCTTGCTGAATGCTCTGGAAGTTAAAGAAACAATAATCAATTTATACTGCCATCATTTACAGACAACCAAAGTGTTTCTCTGCAGATGTGTCTCCGATCCACTTGCTCAACCTTTCTTCGTGTACCCCTTTATCACCTCTGTCCTCCATACTTGCTCTTATCTCATCTCCCCAACTCCTAACAACCCCCTTTTCTCCATTCCCCATAAACGGTGTCCCTTCAGTTCAGAAGATTAGAACAAATCATTGAAACAGAGTCGCTACATGCTTTCACAACATTTTACAAATAATCTCAAAAGACAACACACATTCTGCCGCTTAGAGCTAAGTAAAAAACTAATTATTCAAACGCTTCAGATCTTATAAAAAATGAGATGTATCAAACATTCAATATCAAACGAATATTTTAAGGAAATACACTTTAAGTTGCGTTTTGTTATTATTTTTTTCATTGCAGAATAAACGACGTTAACCAATGATGTTTAAAACTGTTAACTTGTGTATCAGATTGAAAAGGTTTAAATTTGTTTTGCAAATGGAGGATAACATGTTCTTTATCTACCCTAAGTACTTACCAACATCGTAACAGACCAACATTTTTCATGGAAACTACCTTGAATTATCACTAACGTAAGCTTCCTTTTACGAATTAATCAGGGTTTAACCCGTTACATAACTTTTTCGGTTTTTGTCAGTTTGGTCGAATTCAAGCAATAAGGTAAATCTATAACAAGGTTATCAATAGAGGCTCGAGGGATCGTGGGCCAGCTCTTATAAATTGGAAAGGAATCAATAAAAGTTATTCTGGCCTCCAGTCGATGTTTCCTCCTCTAGACTTAGGCGCTAGAAACATGATTCGCTACAATTATCTATTTTGTAGGGGGGCGTGACTGTCCTTTGCGTGCGAGGAAGAGTGAAATATAACCCTAGTCATTGGTATAGAGGGCCTAAACCTCTGATTCGACCGGGAAGGAAATAAGGGTGATATTTCTAAAGCTATATAGCACAATTCGCATTCTTTACTATAGGACTGGAATACAGTACATTATCGTAACAGTATTATTGATCTTTGCTTTCCAGCCTGGTATACCATCTTTTCTATTCGAGACCTATGGATAGACATAACAAGTTTACGTACAATATATTGCTAGCTAGATGTCTTTAATACGCGCATAAAATTGCTAGCCATTTAAATAAAAAACCATCAAAGACTCGTTCACAGGCAATAAAATATCACAGGCAATAAAAAACATGAAAAATCTAAAATTTCTAACAACAGCTGTTTGATTTGCCAGCAAACCCTCCGTGGTACTCTAAAGTTGAGCTCATAGATGCGAAAGTATTCAATTCCAATTAAAATGAAACTTCTTCAGGCTTTAACTAAATTTGATCTTCTCCTCTCTTTTAGCTTTCCCTATCGCTGAAAAGCCTTTCTCTTAAGGTTAACTGTAAAACCACAATAACTGTTAGTTTTATGTATTTGTTCAATTTTGACGAGTTTTTACAAACAAACATGGTAAACGTGTTCAGGAGCGTATGAATGCCAAGCAGAGCTTATATCTTGAAGAGGCAGCGTTGCATCCAAATATGTTCTTTTTAAAAATCTAAAGAGGCAAGTTTTAAATGAAATAGGAGACAAAGTGCTTGCGATGGCCTTTAGTTCTTACGCCCCTGACCCTGCCATTAAGGTCTGAAATATCAAAGTAAATTTAGGTTTGCAATAAGTATTTAGAAAACTCACGCAATCATACAGCTGTTTCTGGGATCATACGCCCTGATATTGATGTGTTACTAAATGTGCCACTGCTTCGACGGTAGTCAAGTCCTGTACCCTCTTGTCGCCTGCGTCTGGAATAGCCATCGGAAATCGTCGAAGGAGAATGCCTCGTATTGCTTGATACATCCAAGCTGCTCATAACATCAAGTGAAGGTCTGTATGACGAATAGCTTCGGCTGTTTCCGTTGATAAAATCGTCAGATTGCCTGGCAATGTAGCTACTGGTGTCACTGGTGCTGCTCAGTCGACTGCTGCGCCTTGACGAAGAGAACCATGGGATACCACCTGGCATACCGTAGTACGGCTTGCCTGGTGTTTCTGGCTCGCTTTCGCTTTCAGAATACTCAAAGTCTGGTTTTGGATTGCGCTTTTGGTAATCAAGAAGCTTCGTTGCTTTTGCAAGCAGGGTCTCCCCTTCGAAGGCGCGCCTCCATTCGTCTTCTGTATCAGGATACCCTACAGAATCGTTCACAGATAGCCTTTCTCCGATGTTATCAAAAATTGCACACACGCTGTCAGATTCATCTCTGATACCAGTTATCGCTCTGTTCAAACTACGATAGCTGTTTGACAGAAAGCTTGATTTTGAAGTGAGTGACTCAGTTCGCAGCTTCCAGTTTGAAGTCCTCCGCAGAAGTTTTTCGAATTCACGTTTCACTTCATCAACAGTATCTCGTAATGGATCGTAAGATTTGCTCGCGGATGGCAAATAGCTCGAATGTCTGTTGTCAGCACCGGACACTGCGAAAACATCAGCGAGGTGCACCGACTTAGGCCGTTCTTTCGTATATTTACTTTTTAGTCGCCTTTCAACGGCAGATTTTCTTCTAAGCCCAGCTTTGATGTCTTCAGAATCTAAGTTGATGTTCGAATTTTTAGACCTGTAGCTAGAACCATAATCATCATCATCATCATCGACTTTTTTATAACTCTTTGGTTTTTTCGATTCTTCTTCGCTCTCGTCTCGGTTTCCTTTACCCATGTAAATAGAAGACGGTCTGGCTGGGGGCGCATGCTCTTTTTTCCTCCTCCGCACAACTGTGTTTTCACTTGCTAGAAGGCTGTTTTTCTCAGTAAGATTATCTTCATCGACCACAGCAATATCAAGGCTAGACTTCGAAGATAAGATGTCGTTTGAAGTATTGCTGTGGGTAATATTTGTCTCATCCTTTGGTTCAGAAACTGTGAACTCGAAAGAAGGTATGCTTGCTTTTCTTTTATCTTTCGTGACGTCATCCTTCGCATAATTGGTCTGTTGCTGGCTTTCTCTGCGTCTGTAGCTAACTCTGTCACTCTTTTTATCACTTGCACCCTCTCTATCATCCAGAACCTCTTTTTCGCTCTTTTTCCCGGCTTCGCTATCCTCGCTCTTCTTTCGTCGCCAGCTATAGCCGCTTTCAGTTTCCTCAGGTTTAGAGAAGTCCCTCAGATGGGCCGGTCGCTGTGGTACCTTTGCAGACCAGTTACCTCTGTAAGTCGTGTCCTTTTTATCCTCACTAGCCATGAATAACGTATTTGGCCTCCTTGTAACCCCCATGGCCTCTTTCTCGTCATTAGTGCTATCAGTCAAGAGCTGCTTCGTTTGAGACGAGTAAGCACTGCGAGGCTTGTATTTTTCCCATACGGAATAAGTGTTTTGGTAGTTTTCATCGTTTTGTGAACCTCCTTTGTATTTTGCAACAGTATCTGAGAATTCGATCGTACTGCTGTAATCGTAAAGTGATTTAGGTCTTGGTCTTGTATATGCATCCCTCTTACTTGACGCATTTGATTGGCTAGAATCCGATCCTCTGGCTGCTGTCCTGGAAGATGACTTGTAATATCTTCTGCTTGGCTCTTCGTTGTTGTCATATGACTCTCTTCTCACCTCAATTTTTCTGTTACGCGATTCACGCGTGGAAATATTCTCCATTGATCTTTCAGCTTGCAGGTCCATGTAACGTCGCCTCCGACTACCTGAGTTATCCAAACTATCGCTACTTCCATCATGTTTGCTTGAGTTAGAGTGTGTTGAATCAACTGAAATTCTTCTCTCGATATAGTTCAAAGCGGCCCCTAATATGTTTTCTGAACTTCGCCGCCCATAGCTACTCTGCCCAAGTGATCTATTTACTCGCTGGCCTCGTGTTGACCTATCATTCTCGAATCCATCTTGTGACTCCCTTCCGCTACTATGTTTTCTCCTATTCCTTGGACTGTTGAATGACTTCACTGTGTCACCTTGATTCCGACGACTTTGAAATGCCTCGTCATTATCAGTTGGGTATAAGGCTCTTGGTTTTCTCAGAGTAGAACTTTCTTTCGAGCTCTTCTCTGAATTCACTGTTTCTTGTGAGTCATTTTTCCGCAGCCTTTCTCTCCGCCAGCGTTGGGGGGTCGTTTGCCGATCTGCTACTGACGATGTCTCGCTATAATCTCGCCTCTCTTGACGTTTTGGTCGCTGAGAATCTGTCCCTGTATTCCAATCTACATTGTCATACGGGCTGGCAGATCTCGAGCTTTCACTTTGCCCCTTTCCAGAACTTTTTTCTGACTCTGACTTCACCGATGCGTCGTCTTTTTGAGATGAGATTTCGTTTTTCCATCTGCTGTTCTTTCTCTCACTTCCGGAGCTTTTCTGCTCCCCTCGATATTTCGAATACCTTCCTCCATCATCGTATGAATAAGACTGTCGAATAGCATCACTCGTTCCATATTTTGTTGTATAGTTATGATTGGTATCGCCATTTTTGTTTAAATTCACATAATCGTCATTTATTTCTGGTTTTCTCGTTCCACCCGGCGACCTGTCCGATCTTTCTCCTGTAAGAAATTTCCTCCATGGTCTAGGACTCTTAGATGAAGATCTTTCCCTTCTATTCCTGTCCAGAATCTCTTGAACCGTTGGAGTATGAGCCAGGTTACGTGAACTCGCTGTCAAATTATCCACTCCCACTAAATCCTCGGTTTTTCGTTCGACGTAAAGCGATCTTGGTCTAGGCCGTTCTTCAAAATCGTCTTCATGCTTCGAGCGTCGGAGAAATCTGCTCCGTCGTTTTTTATGATGGTCTGCGTCATCTGATGTTTTTGTATAACTATTTGCTGTTTTTGTCTCATGTGAGTCCGGCGTTTTAGTTTTTCGAAATCTTGACCTCCAAGAAGACATTTTTCCTCCTCACAAACCTATTCCGTTCTAACTTCAGTCTGTTGATTAGTTCTATTTATTATTCTCTCCCAATTTGTGAACTCTGCCTGTTTTATAAATCCTTTCATTTGTTCTATTCAGGAACAGCATTTGCCTCTTGCAGTAGTGTTTACAACCGATGATACAAGAGACAAGATTGCCGAATCGTCTTCTCGTTCTCTTCGTATGTTTTTAATACGCGATTTTCAGCTTGAGCTGGTTTATACGATTGATCATTCAATAAAATCGCAAATGTACGACGCAACAGACTATCACTAAGACACAAAAGGATTTCATAAGCTCGTTTGATTCTTTTAAACACAGCCAGTTTTTTTTCATCTCTTCATAAGCAGAACAAAAGCTATCCTAACCTCCAGCATACTTTATTCATATCATTGGCATTTTTAGGGGGTAATAACTTTGTCGTTTTATAATCACTTGTTTTCTGTTCAAGCTTGGTTTTTTTTATCAGTGTTAAGATAATTGTTTTTTAGCATTGCAGAATTGCCAAAACGCTCTGTTTCCTCACGTCACGCTCCGATTCAAATAATTTAATTTCTTAACTTTTTCAAAAGCGTTAATTATGATTTAACATCCCTTGTTCACTGTATCGATCCAATACAACGATCCCTTCTTCTTGTCACGAAATATTTCGGCTTTGTACAACATTCAAAAGCAGTTTTCTGTTCTGCGGTTTCATCGATTATCGACCAAGCGGCATATACGAGGAGTCTTTCACTCTGCCCTGGGCATGACTTGCTCCAAGTCCATTTCGTGCTTGAGAGAGAAGTATTTGTTCTCCTCTTGTGGACTTCTGCGAAGGAGACGGACGGACGGAGAGGGGAAAAGCGAAATAGACTTGTGGACTGTGTATGCTCATGAATTGCTAATGAGATTAGTGGACAGAATTCTGTTCATCTCCATTTTAATGATGCCATGGTGATATCTACGCAGGCCATTCAGTGACTTCTCAACACAATAGCAGAAGGAAATGCAGGAAGCGACAAACTCCATCGCTCCTTCACTTGACTTGACGTCTTTAAAAAACGAAAAGTTCACCATATTTTTCATCCTTTTTGGATTCAAGCAAATTTTGTTTGGTTTTAATCAGCTCATAATTCACTAACGAACTTTAACAAACTTTCGTATCTGAACTTTAATGAAACTCAGCTATGAGTTTTATCAAAACTTTATATACTAAACCTTTTAGAGACCTCTTATAGAGCCAGGTAGCATTGCATGTTCAATAAACTCTTTTCGTCGTTAAGACACATTGCCTCGTTATGATGATGTGTCAACTACAAACTGATACGAGGCTTGCTGCAAAATTCTCCCTTGCGTAACCCTCCTGTTTAGTTTTGCTTTCAGAACGGCTTAGCCTGAATCATGCATTGTTTCAATTTCCCGGCTTTCAAAACTTGTTTTCGTGATCGTTTTTATCCTTTCTGTCAGATTGGCTGCCCTCAGCTAGAGATCAACTGCATAAACTAAATCAAACTGCTAGAACTACTATTTTCAAATTTCCCCTCGTATCAATAAAATTTGTTTAAATAATTCATAGCTCCAGAAATGTTTTATCCTGTATTGCCGGCGTACTACCCGCATCGAGACGATTATGGGCTCAAAGATATCTTTGCCTTGCATTTGTACGTACTTTCTGAACTTTTATACAAGGTGGAGTTTTACTGTCAAGCCTGAAGCTTAATTTGGTACATGTAAAGCTGGTTGTAACTTGCAGGTTTTGTCTGCCTTGGGAGAAAGTAAAGGACTGCAATTTAAGCTTTTTCATTTAGAGTCTGAATCAATGGCTACTTTCGGATATATAACCTTGCAGACAAAAGACATCGTCAGTTAACAATAATTTTTCTGAAAAAATTTGTATGCATTAGATTATAAAAGTGGCAGAGAAGTTTTTAGTGTTATTATTAAAACTTTTTGTTTCAACAAAAAATTGATCAATTATCTGCAAATGTAACCGCTAGATTGCTGGCTGCCAAAAATTTCTCAAAAACTCACTACATGACGTAAAAGCCGCGTTTTGGTTCCGAGGATTCTTTATAACTGTATCGTTGGCTCACACTGATAATTATAATCATAATAGCAAATGCCTATTGCTTCAGCCACCGCCAACGCTGCAGTTTTTCATTGTGGTATTAGAAGTTGGTTGGCAAAGAAAATGTCAATTGTTTTTATTTGAGGCTAATCAAACCGGAATAGCTTATATCGATTTGATAACTTACGTTTCGCATGATATAAACGTTCAATAGAAGCACGATTCATTATTAAACATATTATGGTACTTTCCATTATATCACGGGGCTGGGAACCACACAGCTGCAGTGACGCAACAGTTGACTGGATAAAGCGGGGGGTCGTGAGCCATCAATGAAATACCTAAATATAAAGCCAACTATAGAATTTTAATAGAATTATCACGAGAAAAATACGATATATCGTATTGTAGATTCTTACATTTTGCAGTTATCCCATAGAAATGAAAGCATTTATTGTTTTATACAAAATGCGGGTAAAAATCAAAGTTAATACATACTAACAATTGAGACTCACTGTTAACTGTTGACCCCCTAGTCATTCTCGACTTCGCATTTACTTTCTTAGGTGCGTTTTTATTGTTCAAATCTTTCAAGATATTTGTCCAGTACCTCTTTTAGAGAAACAGAAGTTTCTTGTTGATGGGTATAGTCTATTAAAGGGAATACAGCGTGGTGTATCAGGAAAGGAAGCAAGAAATTCAATTATGGACAAAGTGAGCCTTGGAAGAAAAGGCTGCGGCGATAAAGAAGGTGATTGCTAAACGACTTGCAATTCTAATATGCTTATGATACTGGTTTTCATCTTATGTTAATTGTCAGCGAGGATATATTTTATAATCGTCAATTCGAGTGTTCATTGCGCTAAGAGAAACACAAGTCAAGTGCTTGAATTGTTAAGAAAACATTGCCTGTTTCTTGTAAATAGAGTCAAGTGCAAGGTTCAGGTACTGGCTTTGATCGTTTAGAACCTACGTAAATCGACATTGCAAGTTACACATAGATGGTGTTTGAAAACATATAACGGAAAAAATCTAAGTCAAATCTGTTGGCGTAATTTCAAAGAGCGAGATAAAGGTGTTTTTCAAAAAAATATGCGCCTTTCAATATCGAAGTGTTTTTTTATATCAAAATGATATTTTAGCGTCAATAGATTTATTTATATATTCGATTTACTTTGTTCGCTTACTTATCCTAAAGTGCCTTATGATAAGCAACTTTGTGGCTAGAAGTATAAGATATTTGACAGAAGGTGTTTCTTTTTATGTGCTTGCAAATCTTTTTTAGCAATGCATTAGATAAGAGAATCGAGTTGGAGATATCATAGTGTTTAAAAACGATTATCAATCTCTTTTCAAATTGTTATATGATTTATTTTAGATCAATCTCAGGAGTTTCGATCAACAACGGAAAACAGTTATTCATCCCTAGTTCTTTCATGGTAAGTTTGTGCTCAAAAACCGTCTTTTATCCTTCATTGCTATAAAATGCATTTCGTTTATTTCAATGAAGATTACTTTTCAGGATTGTTGTCAGCTTGTCTGTTTCATAGTGCTCTATACCCTATATATATATCTATATATATATTTTGGTGTGTAATGGAAGATGGTTCTGAGTTGCTCCCCGAGTTGCAACCATCAGGCAAAGGGTATATTAAAATGAGCTGAAATTAGGATTTGTGCACAACAAATTCTCTAGTGGCATTCTATCGGAAGCCAAGTATCTTTGTGTGTACATACTTTTAGAACATTCCTTTAAAAATGGCGTAAAGCAATGCTTTACTCTTCTTAATCGGTAACCAGTGGTTACTTTGCTCTCGTTTCGATTCTTTGCTTGGAAAAGTTCCTTGCATTTTTGTAAAGCATGTTTAGGCAAAGAAGGACCTACCTTGCAAAAATCAGACTATTCTCGATCATTTTGTAAAAGTGCTTGTAGGAGTTGCAAGATCAATGGCTCCTATATTAAGTTCTTACCTAAAAGGTACATGTTTTCATCAATCTTCTCCGTGATGCCAGGCAATAGGGATGCTTCAATGGGGATGGAAAGAAGTCATCAGAAGAAAATATCAACTTCAGGTTTTCAGTTAAATCAAATTCCATCTCTCCCTTTGCAAGAGGAACACCTGAGTCAAACGGGGTTTTCTAAGGACAATTAAGAGAAATAGAGAGAAGAAGAAGGAAGAATTGTAAAGTCGGTGAATTTTGTGTAACCTCGTATGCTTTAAAAGGTATTTGCTCACCTTGAGATGCTTTAGCAGAGAGGAGTGCTAGTAATTTTGTCAAGTATGTTTGCTAAAGCAGCTAGGCAAACCGTCTGCGGTTCTGACAATGAAACCTTTTGAAATACTTCGCGAAAGGAAATATCCACTTGACTACCAATAGCCTTTGAAGATGATTGAACATAAGTGAACTAATATTGACCCACCTTGAATCATTATTGGCTGTTAAGGAAGTTGGAATGTTTGTTGAGCAGTTGTTTACCTATTCATTTTGTTTATCCGTTTTAACAACAATCTTCTTTTGATCGAAAATGATAAGAGACATTACTGTGAAGATGATAGGCTAAATAAAATGTAAAAAAAAGAAGAAAGGAAGAAGACGCAGGGTTGTAGAAAAAATAGATTTAATCAGGCAACAAGGTTCAAGAATGGTGAAATGGTAAAAGTATTACCTGTTCAACAATTCAATTAATACATGAATTGATATTCGCCAGAAACATGTTGCTTTTAGTATCAGAAATTCTTGTGAATTCCGTTTGCTGCTGCAAATTCAGCTCAAGGGCTTTCTGTTTTATTTCTCTTCCTCAAATTCGCCACAGTAATATGATATTTGATCAACTGATGAACCAAGCTACTGTACGTTGCGAATGCAATGTTACAGGGAGAAATAGCAAAAGTTGTTGAGAAATGATTTTGATAAGCAGATTAACCTTCTGATTGCAGTTTTGTTAGTTTTCAAGGAGGATGGTTTTTGGATTATTAAGGAAATTTGTGAATTTTGAAAGCATCTTTCCAAACTATCGGCGGGCTAGTTTAACAACCAAAAATAGGTGGGAAAAACGCGGCATTGCCAAAGATAATCACTGCTGTTTTATATAACCCTCGAAGTTTTTCAATGAATTCCAAACAGTGCTTTGTTTAGCATAGAGTTTTATAAAAGCAGTCTTTTGATACGAGCATCAGGTGCAATAAATATTAGAAAAACGAAAGACTTATGTTCTTCTTCTGTTGAATAATGCATAGGCTTATGTTCTTCTTCTGTTTCTTCTCTTTTTTCTCCTCGAAAACCATCATTAATGCATGTAACGTGCACTCATCTTTTTTACCTTAAAGTGGTCTTTGTCCCTGTATTTCTTGGTTTCCTAATGACCCTTTGTGTCTTGTGTTTTAGGCTGGACCAAAATTACGAACAAAAGGAAGGTTCATGTCTCCCTCGGTGCATGTTGTACGAACATTACCTTGAATTTTGTAGAAGCTCAGGCTGTGTTTCGATTGGAGCTGCTATTTTCGGAAAGGTGCGTTTGTATTTTCTGATTCTATTAAATTTTCTTGCAGGTCATCAGTTCTTAGAATTCTATCATTTCTGCCAATTGCTCCTCCGCCCCGTCTTTTTATATTCACGCTTAGATTTATGTTGCTCTTGCTCTGGTACCTAGGTTGGTGCCATTTGGACGTCTTTGCTAGGTTGGCGCTTATTGGGGTGGATTTTTCTTGACTGAAATAGACTGGAGTGGGGTTTTCTGTTGTAAAATCGAGATGCTTCATGGGGTTGATAGTTTAGGAAAGCCAGTTAATCATGTAATTCCTCTGATTTCTCTCTTTAGCTCATTCATACAAAGTTTCGATCACTGACAACTAGAAGACTGGGTACAAGAGGGCAATCTAAGTGAGTTTCTTTTATTACCAATCTTTTAAAAAAGTGTCAGTTTGTTGGTTCTTTCTTTTCATCTATTTTTTTGCCAGCTCATTTAACCGCCACTCAGTTAGTTCATGCAACTTAGATGAAACATATCTAAATTACTTTATCATTGAAATTTTATGTTTTATTAATAATAATTTTATGATATAGTATTCAATGAACAGTAATCTAGTAATGAAAGACTAGTAACATAATTATCAATCTATTTTAAATTCATTACAAGTTATTTTGTTTCGTGTGATCATATTTTAAAGGTACCACTATTATGGGCTTGCATTAAAGGAAAATTCGACATCCATTCCAAGAAGTAACTTGAAGCTAACAAGGTAAAATAATGGTACTTCATACATATTCCTTGAAATGAGGACCAAAGTCGAGTTCATACAACAAGCCCAAACGCTGACAAGATATCTTAAAACGATTGAAGAGTTTACTAGAAGTTCTTTAAAAAATGATTATTTTAAATCATTCATATTGAAATGCTCTTCTCGCTAAGAAAATACTATGTATTGGCGTAACAAATGCATCTGGGGCCTTTAGAATAAAACTGAAACGGGAAAAGGTACCACCGAATGGTCCCACCCACATATCTCGTTAACCAGGGGAAGCGCCATGTAGCCACGCAGATGACTACTTGCATTACGCTATAGCTATCATCAAAGTCTGACATAGATGGCTTTACAGAATTGCGAGTTGGAAAAACTTCTGCAGCAACTCTAAATAAAATAGTCCCTCAAAGTAGATTTGTTTTATTGTCTAGTTTTGCACCGCAACGAGCACACTGATCGATCTGTTTCCCTCCTCGAAGGCATTCGAACGAATCCGACACATAGCTGACTATTATGGTTTAATCTCTTGCTAGTTACGAAGGATACCTGTATTGTGAGAAATTACGAGGTTACGAAGGATACCTGTATTGTGAGAAATTACGAGGTTACGAAAGAGACCTGTATCGTGCGAAATTACGAAGTTACGAAAGAGACCTGTATCGTGAGAAATTACGAAGTTACGAAAGAGACCTTTCTTATGAAAAAAGATGAAGTTACGAAAGAGACCTGGCTCTTGAAAAATCTGTTTCTAGGTCTTTTTTGATATGTCAGTATGATCCCACCTGCCTTGATATATGTTCAATCAGTTTTAACCATTCATTCCTGTTGACTGATATTTGAAAGAAAGGTGCTTGTCTGCATATCGAATCAATTTATGTTTTATCACGTTTTCGACTTAATCGCCCGTTTTGTTTCTTTTCTTTAGGTTTTCTGCATTTTCTGACAGCCAGCAGGTGAGTTTATTCATAGCATAAGTGTTACCAATGACAATCTTCTATTCATTTTGTTATCATTTTTATTGCATTCGAAAGCAAACGTTTTCAAAACCTTGCAATGAGATATCTCTCCATTATTTTTCCAGTGCGAACAGACAAAGAAGCAACAAAAGCATGCGTCTATTTCAATTTTAGAGGGTTTTCCGACGATAGTGAAAACGAAAGCCGGCGACGGAATGGCACAAAAGAATTTTTCTAAGGTAGAGAAAGCTGACAATTTCTGATTCTGATACACGTTAGTTTATGATTCTTTTGTTGTTTGTCAGTTTTGCTTTTCTTGGTTTGTGATATTAGCCCCTCCCCTCCCCTATTGATTTTTTTAACTTCTTCTGAGATTTTTAACTTCTTGACCAATGTTACTGTTATCGTCTTTTTTGTTGTGGTTTTTCTTTCACTAGTCGTCTTCCATTTCTTCGCCTTTGCTGTTGTTGATGTCTTCGTCTCTTCGTTCGTGTCTTCAGCGCCATCGCCTTCGTCGTCCTCTCTATCTTCGTCGACTGGTCTCGTCCTCTCTATCTTCATTGTCGTTGTCATATGCTTATTTCGTCGTTATTGATTGATATCATGAGTCTACAATTAAATAAAGAAAGCTAATTATTTGCTTTGCTTCTCTAAGTTTTTGATCCTGTTTAGTTTTACTTCTCTACATAACTAATATATCTCCAAAATTATTTAGAATCATCTCTCCTGCTAGATCGAAAGTTTCCTAGTCATGTACAAAGCACATTGTCAGCGGGTACTTGAGGCGGTTGTTGCTGCAAACTTTGATGACGTAAGTAATAGGAATCTACCAAAAATTTCAAAGTACAAAATTTTGATTTTAATGGCAATTTACGAACAGCATCCAAGGCGTTTTAACGTCCTAAGTCTCATGTTACAAAATGGAATGGTGCTTCAATCAAGCCATACAAATAACACATTTTCCTCTAATCGCTTTTCCATTTAAAGCAATGATGTATCATTTTTATACTGTGGTATCTAGCTTATGTCAGAAAAACAAAGAAGAATTAATTCGGTTTCATTTATTAGCGTTGTCGTATCTTCCCAGAGATAACTGCATCGTCAGGTATCATTATTATTCACTTCTAACCTTTCGCTTTTAGGTGAAGTCATTCATTTTACATTTCTGGTCCGGCATGCCATCTCACGTGACTGCAGTCTTAAAAATGAATGAGATAGAAGATCTTATTTCCGCGTGTGATACGGTCTTCTACAAGGTTTGATTACGTCTATAGATTTGCACCTTTGCAACTTCAAACGATATTCACGATTCTGGATTTGTAGTATAACAGTATTAACTCTGTTACAACTTTGTCTTGTTCCATTAAAATAAACCCATGGTGTTGAATTGATTGTCAATATCAAGGATGCATGTTACTGTAAAACACTATCGACAATGATTACACATATTTTTAGTTCGATGTGAACTTTTCGTAAAAAGTGAAATTTTTGCTTTAAAAAGGAAGCAAAAAATATCAGTGAAATATTTTATTAGTATTTTGCTTACTTTTTTAATGTTTACAAAACCAATTAATTTCAGATTGATTGACAATATCTCTACATATGTAGTACGCCATTATATAATATTCATGAAAACAGATCCTAATTATTTGTTTATGTTATGCTTTTAGAACCTCATCGATATTATACTTCCGACTTCAGTCCAAGACCTTCCTGATAGGTAAGTCAGAAAATATTCGTGTCCAAATGGAAATGTCCAAAATATTCACTTGTTTTTGGTAGTTCAAATTATCTTGATTTTGGATTTACTAGATCATTTGGGGAAGCGCCTTTTTCGGAGTGGACACACAATTCCAACAGGGATGTGTGAAGGCAATCTTTTTACTACTATCAAGCCTAAGAGATGGGTATAAGAGGACAGTTGCCTTGACAATGGGGTTCATTCTAGCTGAATCTATTCCCACTGTGTTCTAAAACATATCAACGCATGTGAAAAATCAATATTATACTTTTCGGTACTGAAAATGGTATGCAATCAAATAACAAAACCTCGACTGTTTTTTAGCTATCGTTCGGAAATAACAAATTTCACAAAGAGTTTTCTACCATGGCTGGACATTTGCATGATGAACGTACCGTCGAATTTGGTTGCAGCCAAAATGAATGGTAGGTCTTGTAACAGTACATTTTCAATGTTGCCCCTTCCTCTACTCGAGTTTCTTTCAATTTTCAACTGGATGCTTGCTTTCAGAATAAAGGTTTCGTAATCTTAAGTAGACGAGTTCTTACTCACCAGAAAAGGTCTGTCCACAGTGATGTACTAAATGAGGATCAAGACTTTGTCTCAGTCAAAAGATCCCTATTGTTTTAAACATCAAAACATAAATCTTACAATTTTAAGGGAGCAGAGAGACCATTGCTGTTTTTGCTTTCTTAATTCTCAAATATTTCAGTGTTCATTGCAGTTGCCAGGACATATATAAAGATAATCCAACGAGAGTTATCATTTTTATCATTTGCTCAGGTAAGTTGCTCCATTTTACTTTTCTTACTTTTGCCTCTCTTAATTTTCTTTTCCTTTTTTCCTTTTTTCCTTTTTTCCTTTTTTTCTTTCTTCCTTGTTTCCTTCTCCTTCCTCTTCTATTTCTTTTCTTTTTTCATTTTTCATTTCCTCTTCTTCATTTTCAATGTGATTCTCTTCTTCTTTTGCTTTGCTATATTCCTTCAACGTCTGTTCTGTTCGTTTACTTCTTTAATTGTCATTTTCTTTTGCCTTTTTTATACCCTACTTCTTCTTCTGCATCTTTTCTTTTCCTTTGTCCAGTTGCTCCGTTTTTTTTCTTATTTTGGCTTGCTTTACTCATATCGTTTCGAACTTTCTGTCCCCTTTTCTCTGGCTTTTTTTGTGCCAACATCCCTCTAATCGAATATTCTTCCATTCCAGCCTGTTCTAACAATTTTATCAAATCGTGATCTCACGAACGAAATTTCCAAAGATATAGAGAAAATAGATGTTCTAGAAGTTCTTGGAATTTCACCTTTGGACCAAAGAATGCAAAGTTGTACGAAGATTCCGTTACTCGTCAATCTGCAAAGTTGTGAGTAATATATTTACTTATCAGATTGCGTAACTCAGTATGGAAACAAAACATTAGACTGAGGTATATATCGTTTAGTCACAGTAGCTGTTTATTTATACTTGAAGGTGAAAAACGTTCCAATCCTCTTTAGCAGATACTGCATCCAAGCCTTCAGGCACCGCGGAGCAGGGGGGGCTGGGGGGGCTTTAGCCCACTTTTTGCAAAACTGCGAAATATTAAGTATCAAACTACCAGAAAAGCCTCTCTTTATACGGTTTTAGCCCCCCCCCCACTTTTTTTAGACCACCCACTTTTCTCAACGCTCCGCGGTGCCTGGCCTTTTCTACTCTGAAAGGCTAAAACAAACTATTGTTTTTAAGAAAAGCAATGACATTAACTCCCATCTTTTCCTTCTGTAATCTAGTCTTGACTGAAGTGGTTCATCTTTTGACAAGACAAGCCTCTCTTGGTGTCTTCCTTGGTTTGCTAGACAAGCTGGCACATGACACACTTATTAAGGTGAGAAAGAGAACAATTTTGGAGGATTAATATCAATTGTGCTTTGAGCTTGCAGTTATTGAACTAAAGCAGGTCAATCCTCACTCACGATTCAAATATTTGTTAAAAATAATTTTAATTAAACAACTGTAAGAAAGTGATTGATCAAGAAAGTGGTGATATGGATTAAAGCACACGCTATAGTTACTGTGAGTTTATTGGAATATTACTCAATGCAGATCAACTTATTTCACATTTTTTTATTCCAGTTTAATAAAGGCACAAATTAAGCACCAAACAAGCTTTTATGGGTAATCACAAATATCATTTGCTTCTATAATTTTGCAAACTTCTATTGCCCAGTGAAAATTTAAGAAAACTTCAAAGCAGTTAAGGACCTAATCAAAGATTATTATCCCCTTTATCTTGATAACGTATCTTTGTTTTTTATAGTCTGCAAAAGTTGCAGATGGGAGAAGCAAAATGACCAACAGTTCATTTATACTTCAGTTGTCGCTTGTACTTTCAAAATTAATGCAAGATCTAACACTAAGAAGTGCTAAAACATTTGGTGAGTGCATTCTTAACTCTACTATATTTTTATTTTCCTTATGAAAATAATATGAATGACAATTAATGCTTTGAATAGCAAGCTGGTTCAGCAAATCCCACTATCTGCGTGTCAGCAAACCAACAACTTTTATCGGTATAACAATTAGCATAAAATTACTAGCGATTGGTTCTACTAGATCAGGACCAGTTGTGGAAATATGCAGTAGTTTGGAAAAGAGTGGATAGAGTTTTGACTGGGGGCCAAAAGGTGCTGGTTTTCTAACTCGTAACCTCATTGTTTATCAATTATTACTGCAGGGTCCATTCATATCCTGTGTTCTATGTTCATGGAGTACCTATTTCTCGCAATCGAAAGTATGACGATCAAAGATGAAGAACGCTCCATATGGGAAAAGATCAAGAAGTTTTCCTCTGACTGCAGCGAGGAAGCATCGTCTGCGAAAGGTTTCTGATTTTCCTTGGCTAGTATTTTACAAATGAATAGCTTTTAGCTTCACTGTTGATTCACAAGTTGAAGAGCCTTAAATACTGCCTTCAGAAACATTTTTGATAGTGTTGTTTGACTTGGTCTTAATTATACATAAAGAGAACAATGGAATCAAGGAAGGGAAATAGCTTGGGTTCTGCAAAGTCCTGTGACAGGATCCATTAGCAAATCCCATGCTCCAAAATTTTATAAAATGATAAAATCTTTTCTGGTGTCTACCATTAAATTTAACAGAACCAACATACAATGATGAGCTCCTTGTTGAGCTATATTGATTAGCAGAAATATCAAGATGCAATACCAAAAGTTTCTTCAACTTACTTGAAAGATTAATATGTCTATGTTCTTTAAAAAGCAAAGGATCCATTGTTCTAAATATGATGATTTTTGCATCTCTGTTGGGATAGATTTTAGCAACACTCTTATCAAAATATTTTAGCTATGAAACGCAAACCCAATGGGCAACTGGGTGCTGATCCAGTCTCCAAAAAACAATGCCAGGCCGGTGATCAACAGAACCATAGCTTACAACATCAAGAGATTGTTAAAACACCTGTGACTCTGAGCTTTCCTACACCAAAGAGGCCCCTAAACAATGCTAGCAACGGCAGTTCGATGCCAGTCTTGTGCAACCAGAAATCTGGCAATGAAAATCCATACCTGACAGCGAGGCAAGCAAGAGATGCAGCTGCATTGCTGCAAGAGATGCCGTCGTTGCAAGATATGGTGGCCAGCTATGGTTGGGTTGATTTCCAAGGTATTGGCGAAGATTTCCAATCGGATAATGAACATCGCGTAAATGGTATTCAAAATTTCTGCAGCTTCACTGAAAGGGGGATGGAACCAGTGCTTCAGAAGATTTATTGATTTTTATCGTACTATTCAAAACTTTTGTTCGTGATTTTATAACTTAAAGCGGGTCTCCAGGCAAAGGATTTTAGGGGATTTGATATTAACTTCCATGCCGTTGACGAACTCTAAAACGCACCAAGATAAGTATAAGTAACAAAGAAAACCATTTAGAATCCTCCAACATATGCATTTATATTTAATTCATTTGAAATATGAAATATCGCAATATAACTAGAGATTTATTGGCAGAGATGAGAGATTTCAGATTCTAGCTTTGGCTCAATGTTCAAATGATACCAATTTTGATAATTTTTAGCTTTGCTGACCAAATTCATTTTCTTGAGTATCATCACTACATCTAGAAATTTCCCATCTTTGTAAATTTCCACAGCGGCAAATGTAATATAAAAAAGTGAATTATAAACACTATAATTAATTCGTGAATATCAATAACCGAATTAGATACATAATTTTCCAAATTCAATATCAAATGTAATATAAAACGAATTGCTAACATTCATTTTGAACTTTCTATTTTTAGTTATTATATTCACAATAGAAACAAACTTAGACTTTGAATATCTGCCTTTTAATGCCTCGGTTCGAGGGATATAAAAATTTATGTGGCAAAAGGCAATTGTGGCCAAATACTGGTTTTTGATTGGTTTTTGATTTAAAAGCTATTGATACGATTTCCAAACCAATCAACAAGAGTTTATTAGAATAACATAAATTGAAAAACTGGTTAAATCCTTTATTAGTTAATTTCCGTTTTGGCAGTCTCCTTGATTAACTGAGTTGCAAGTTTTTCTTTAACCAGCAGAATAATTTTACCAAAGTTATCGTTATTCTCTATCTTATTATCTATATTATTTATGTGCAAAACTTGATATGCTCTCTGAATCGAAAGAGTTGGAGACTGTGCGAGAATCAAGGCGAATCATACTCATCTTGCTACTTGCAATTCACAATTACAGTGTAACCCCGTTGACTAGACCTCCCACCCCCAAAGACATACATAACTGCTTAGCATTCCCTTTGACCCTTCCCAAATCGGTCCAAGCCCCCCTAAACTCAAACATTCGTTTACTGGAACAACTTCATTCCCTTCGAGGCTTGAATTTTCTGGATCATACTGTAGATTTTAAATTTGATTTAAAAATGTTGCGTTGATAAACTGAGGAGAGCTTGAACTACGACTATTTCGTCGTTAAATTGTCTGTCCAGAAAACTATACAACCTACGTTCATCTAATGGTTCACAATTAAATCCACCAAAAATTGGAATTGCATAGTCATGTTCTTGGCTACCGCTTTGATTTATCAGTGGGGCCTTGAAATCGGCATACAGCTCTGCATTCTGATTGGTCAATATCGATTTGCTGCTGTCATAATAATCATAACGCATTGACTTCAAGCTAGGTTTCTCTTCGGACAAGGGCGTGGCCATTTCATTTTGCCTGTCTACAAGAGGGCTGACTATTGACACACTGCTCTCTGATTCAAATCGAAGCCTCTTAGGACTGTAAGATTCGTGCATACTTCGAATGAGCGCTCTTTTCTTCGCCGAGTTGCATGTGCGATGTACAAGTGCGATCAAATCAGGCCTATCTCTTCGAAAATTCGGATGCTCAAAGTGCATGTCTACAGTTGGGTCTCCTTTGGCATTATTTATCTGTAATTTTCGAAAACCGTAAAGATTCAATTGTCGAACGAAACTGGCGAAATTCTTTGTTTTGAACATTTCGTCGTCAGTCTCTAGAACTTGATCTTTAAATGTTTCGATGTCGGAAATTACGAGAGATCGTCCATCTGGAGACCAGCGAATTGCATTCTTGTACTTCTGTTGCTGTAGAAGCAGTCGTAACTTCGCTACAAATGGGCTCATTGGCTTGCATTTTTGGGAAAGAGGCAACGGAGAGTGGTTTTCATCGCAAATTGTTGACATTTTGAACTACAGCCACTAGAAGATTGTAAAAGGTTTTGAAGGGTTAACTTATTTTGATAAAATTGTCAGAATAAAACACATATTTAGCATTTTCAGACAGAGCTGTACGTTATATTGTTGCAGGGTGATGCATCACATTCATTATTTCATTGAAAAAATTATTAGGCCAAGGAATAAATTTGGCTAATCATTAATTCTCTTAGAAATGGAAGCTTAAAGATTTTATGTTAGCCAAATAACAAAACTGTAACTAAAGAATTGAAAGCATGACATCAGCTAAAGCAAAACTTATCTTGGTTTGAATTTAACTAATTCTATATTTGGTACGTATTTAAAAAAGTTCTTGTTGAAAACATTTCTCTAACACTTCGTTGTTTGGCATGAACGTTTATCTGAACCATTTAGTGTTTTAAAAATTTTAATCAGAACCCAAGAACAGCCAGTTCAAAGAAAGATAATTTGCACATATTGGCGGCACTGACGAAAAGATTTTTGTCGCAAATACAATTTAGGTTTAATAATAACGTGTTCGACGAAAGAAGGTTTCAATTTTCTTTTTTTGGTACTGCTCGTTCTGTTCCAGAAAACTCTAACCTTTTGTTAGCACACTGACGAAAGAAAATTTAAAATGGCCTAGAATGCCTCATGTCCAGATACTCGTTCGAACTTTTTTGAAAAGGGTATAAATTAGATGACTTACCTCGAGGGACCAACTAGTTGTCATCCAAGTATTTATTGCTAAATTTGTACTCGTCTTTTTGGCTTTATTGACGCGCAACTTTAGGTCTGGTAGGCCAATAGGTAGGTTGGTTAAACTAACTGGAAAAAGAAACTCGAGGATGAAAAAGAATTTTAGTGGAAACATTCTATTTATTGACGTGATTTACGAACTTCGACGCGGCAGGCAAATTAACCAATCAGACACAAGAAGCCAATAATGTGCCATGAGGCAACACGCGAATGGAAGAACAAGTAACAACTTGCAATTTGTAGAGGCCATGCTCACGGTCAGTTTATTGCATTAGGTATTCATCAGAGATATTGATTTTGTAAAAAGGAAGAGGAGATTTTCTATGTATTTATTGCGATTTGTGCATCAGCTATGCACAAAAGTAATTTCTTTATTCAACATCAGGATAATACTATGAAGAATTAATTCAATATTACTATGCAGAAAAATTTACTGTGCAACAAGGCTTTAAGATATAAACTGCCCTCTTGCAATAGATTATCTTTTAAGCCTTTGGTACCGTAGCCAGCAGCGGTTTTAGAGACTGCGGGTCTCGGGGCCAAAAACATCTCCGGAGCTCTCGTTTTTTACAATTTCTATCTTTTTTCTTAGGTGTTGGGCCCCTTTTGGTTATCATAAGCGCGGGGCCTGGGGCCATGGCCCTCCTGGGTCCCCTTAAAATTGTCACTGACAGCACTGACCGTAACGTCTGAAAAAGCACGGAAAATAGCATTTCGCTGCTTTTACGCGCTATTTTCTGTGCTAAAATGGCTAAAAAATTTTTTTTTGGGATATAAGAACTTGGCAAGTTTGGCAGCTATCTATCCAGAATAAAAACAAACTGGAACAATTTACTTACATTGATCGTTATTATAGCATCATATTGTACCGCACGCATTTTAGTATATTTATGGAATCTTATCAGGCTTTAGGGCTGTAAATGTGTTTTTTTAAACATTTGCATCTTCTTGTAAGAATTGAATTTCTGTTTTGATGCTGTTGTGTTCGAGATTTTACTACAGCCATTATTGTTTTGTGATGCATTTACATGAAGTATATCTTCAATTTGTAGGCGGGAAAGATACGAGCGAGTCACCTGTTTGTTTTAGTTGCCTACGAACAACACAAAAGGATAAATAACTAACGATCTGTATGCGTGCAGAATGCCAACAATGCATAAAGGTATCTTACCAAGTCTATGCTGAATAAACTGCATTCGGGAGTACAATGAGCGAGAAAGAAACTTTGTAATGGCTGTCTAGATGAGTTTGGTATGGACTTAGTTCCGCGTCGTCAGTAGAACTTCAATTGGGATTCACGGCCTATTTAATTAGGGGAATTGATTACAAGCCATTTTATATTTGAAGAATTCCTGCCATGATTTGTTGTGCAAATTTTGCTTATGATATTATTTTAGAAAGAAATATTTATAAAGTATTTTCAAAAGAAGAGGGTTCGTATTCATTTTCATTGAAGAAAAAGCGTCTACGCAAAAGATGATGATTGTTTTATACAGATGTGTGCGTCTATATTTTGCTCAAAATTAAGGGTCATTGCAGAGCCTTGTCCACTATAAACCGTTGATTGCAATAAAATTAAGCATGAACAGTTCAAAAGGAGTGGGAGATTCTTTAAAAGATAGTTATTTGCTTGATCGAGTCACAAGACCAAAAACTGCTGCAGGATTTTCCAGAAAAGGAATCAGTGGAATAAAGAGGCCTTCAAGTGGTAAGGAAATCTGCCCTTTGTGTCTTACTGTCTTCATTAAAGAGTACCTAAAGTATATGATTGCCTTTTTACATGCTCTTATCTAAATATATAATGAACATTATTGCTTTACTGGTCTGATATAAGGTGCTTGATGCCCTGACTCTGGACAGGACTCTGAGTTGTGACTTAGAACTGTCCTGTTCTATACCCCACAAATTGTGGATATATATGCTTTCATTTTTTCTTCTGCTTTATAGTTGAAAACTCTGGTTGTAGTCCAGGGTAGGACCCATGAAAAGCAGAATACCAGATATGCCCAAATAGAAAAACAATAGAAATATAATGGGAACCCATTAGTCCACGTCAGATATCTCCAGCATAAGCTACATGGATTCTACACTGGGTAATGTAACAGAAATGTTTTTAAAAAAACATTGCACTAAAATGCACTTAATTTCAAAATGCACTAAAATCAGTCTTGAAGGCAAGGCAAACCAGAAAGTTTTGGTGGAGTGGTCTGTCAGAATCTAAACTGTCATGCTTTTTTCTAGATACGAACAAACAAGGTGTAACATTTGCCTTTTGGCCATTGTCATAGCCATTACATCCCAAACCTTATATCTTTGGTTTGCATAAGAAAAATGCAAAAAAATTGCATTAAATTAAATTGACACACATTCATTTAGCATTTCCTGTGCTAAGACATACTTACAAATCTGAATAAATCAAGTATATGATTTATGATTCGAAAATTAATCTGAAATACATAATTTTTCCCTTTTATTCACAGCTGGAACAACTTGGAAAAATCCAAATGCGGTGGCTTCAAAACCCAATAAAAAGTTCAATGTCAGTCTGAGCCACACATCATTTGAGTCAGGAGTAAGCAAGAGAGCTCCATTTGCACCAAGGTCATTTCTGGGACAAACGTCCCATGAAATGCCAAAAGTTGTAAATGGCAAAACTTTTGCAATGAAAGAGTATAATCCATTGGAAGATCCCCATCTGTCAGATTATTATGCCAGAAAACTTGGACTTTTGCCTGGTCTATCAGATTCAGCCAAAAAGGTACTTTATTTTATGTATTGTGAAAAGTCCTTATTTGTCTGGAACAGCCTGACAAAACAAGTTTTATTAGGCTTGTGTACACATGCCCCTTTACTTACACTGGTCCTTCACTGTGAGTTGCTTGTTAGCACTCAAATGTTAGACAAGCACCTATACATAGTCACCTAAGCAGTCAATTAATAAATCTGTTTTTCTAAGCAACAACGCATTCAAGTATTAGTGTTGCTTGTGTATTTTATTGTTAATATTTGATCTGAATTCTCTGCTGATTTGATATATTATGTTTTTAGAAATCTGCTGATGGGAAAAAGAAAGGTACATGTTTTATTTTTATCTTCTCACCAGTTGTGAGATCTCACTGCATCTCAGATTTCCCTGCATCACTTAATTTGCTATTAATTTAAACCATTTGCTAAATTGAAGCATCAAACATTTAACTTCTGAATGAATTTTCAATTAATTCTTTCTCAGAACCTTTCTTTGATAGAAGAACTTTTGTTCAATCGTTCCTGATACTGCATGGTAAATGCCAGTTAATATGAACTAATGTTTTTTCCTCATACAATGTAAATACCTTTTTATGCTTCCAATTTTTTGCATTTCCTTTTTGTTGTTGCAGCTAATACCACATACTTAATCAGTGTTGTAACAGGCAACAAAAAGGGTCAAGGAACAGATGCAAGAGTAAGAATTTCTTCTTTCTATTTGCTGATCTTATATCAGAAAGTTTCATTGAACAGTTACTTACCAAAAATTAGTTTAACAGGAATGTCAATGTCGAATTTTTAAAACTTAGTTATTTTGACTCTGAGAATTTTTCTTTATGGTCAGTGTTACCAGTCTTTTTTATGTTTATAGTGTTTTTCATCCTTACAATCATTCATAGATTTAATTTTCTCATACTTTTTCTGTCCTGTTTTATTCATCGCTAAAGTATGTTTATCTTATAGGTTTACAACTTTGGTTCCCTTTTATGATGCCATAGACCATCTATAATTTTTTAATAAGAGATGGTGTCCAGTGACCTTAACACTTCAGATTGAATAAGTTTTATTTTGCAGGTTTTTGTTCAAATAAGAGGGACAAAAGGAAAACTTTCTAAACAGCATTTGACAAACAAAGCCCATGCTGATGCAGTAGCCGTGCTTCATGGTGAAAATTCTGTTTTCAAATTTGCTCCTGGAACAACTGAGAATTTTGCCATACGTGGGCCTGATGTTTCTGATCTTGTGGCTCTTGAAATTGAAGTAATTCAAATTTTTCAAGTTATTCAGTGCTGTAACAATGATTTGTTAAATACACATTGTGCTAGCAGCTGTGCCAGCATGTTGAATTTGTCTCTAACCTAACAAAGGGACAGTGCCATAATATTGAATTCTGTAGCAGTGATTACTGACTTTGTCATTAGCAAAAGTATCAAAAAATTTAAGAACCCTGGATGTTCATTTGCAAATTTTTTATAGTTGATGTTTTAGGTATAAAAAATGCTCAAGGTTTCTCAACGCTTAAAAGTAATTGTGTGAACCCACTGTCTGGCTATTATTTGTCTTCCATATGATGTATACCAATGTTTATTACTTTTTGGCACTTTATAATTGTTTTTGATGCGATTTTTCCAGCATGATGGATTAGAAAGAAAACAGGCCTGGTTTCTTGAAGAAGTTAGAATAACCAACGAAAAGAATAACAAGACTTACATCTTTCCTTGTCACTCTTGGCTGTCCTTGTATGATGGTGATTGTCAGGTCAAAAGAGTTCTAAAACCTGCTTCTAGTGGCAGTGCAGAAAGAATCAGTAAGTCTGAACAGAAAATTTTGAATTCTAGCTGAACGATGCCCGTAACGTAAAACAGAAGCATTACGTTGCATGCTTGCAGAAGCATTATGTCATATTGCTGTTGACTAATTAACTGAAAATGAACTAATAGTTTTGGTGATGTTTATGTAAAAGTAATGATAAGGAGCAGAGGCTTGTAGCAAATTAAAGAGTTCTTCAATGGCATGACCTTGCTCTGTCCTTATTGGATGAAACAACCATTTTTAAGATTTGCTTGTGAGAAACAGAAAGTTTTATGGTAGTGGAGTAACATTAATATGAAATAAAATGGAAAATATCGGGCCATTTTTCGTTTCAGTTTATGAAGTTGGAGTATACACTGGTGACAAAAGAGGTGCTGGCACTGATGCGCATGTTTTTGTGACAATATTCGGAGACCATGGACAAACACCTAGGGTTCAGTTAATTAACAGGTATTTTGGACAGTTCAAAAATTCTAATCGATGAGTGTTTTATATAATTACCTTGAATTGAAGCCCTTTTTTAACCCTACTGTACCAATAACAGCCAAAAAACGGAAGTTATTTCAACCATATCTGATAGCTTCCTCTTCCAGTGTAATGTTACGAGCCTTGCAAGTAATAGTTTTATAAAAAAGGTTTATTCCTAGCCCCCTATCGTATTTTAAAATTTCAATTATCTTTTACGAAGTTAATTTAAATAGTTGCCTGATTTTCCCATTAACCACATGAAACTTAGCACTTAGAACCGTCCTGTTCTATACACGAAAGTGCTGGATAGAGTATATGTTGCCATAACACTAAGTCAGATTGTGCGTGGCGAACATTTTTCAAAAATTCTCTAAAGTTTTGACAGTTGCCTTGGATTTGGATGCATTGTGAAATAAATCAAATTCTTGAATGCGAAGAAAGTTTCTGAATTTAGTTCTAAATAGCTAAGCTACTTTTTAATTTCCAGGAGTGTAGATACCTTTGAAAGAAGCAAAACCGATGTTTTCAAAATAAAGACGAAGTCATTAGGAAAATTACAAAAACTAATGTAAGTAAAATTATTATTTTTATACTGTTACAGTTTTGCTAATATTTGCTTGAATTAAATCAATGATTGCTTTGAAAAACCAATTTTTTGGAAATGAAGCGTGAGGTGGTATTTTTTATCTAACGTTTATTAGTATCGATAATTGATGAATACGGTAAAGATCTGGTGGGGGGTAGTGAACATAATTAGCAAAATTTAGGCTTTCAATTTGAAAAGATAAACTTTTAATTAAATTTCGATTTAGGATTTAAACCATCCATCATCACGTTAGTTTTTGTATTAGTTGAGGGTCAGATGTTTGTGACCCCGGAGACATCTGTGAAATAACCTTTGTTGACGTTTTACATTATATAAGTTTTGAATAAAAATGGAAGTTAAAATGAAATATGACAAGTTCTAAGATTTGATGTTCGATGGCGCAATGGAGCACGGGTATCTTGAAGCCTGTTTACAGCCCCTACTGTTGCGGTAGCATCATTGAACTGAATCGCTTCAAACAGTGTGGTAAAGCTAGTGTCTTGCTGAAGAAATATTCTTGTAGAAATGTGTGTAAGTTGCAGTGCTAAAGATGTGTTAGGGGATGGCTATACTGGCCAATTTACTTTGGCTCGTAGCCCCAACAAAGCCAGTTCTGTATTGTATGTGTTCTCTGATATTATATATTGTTTTATCTTTCCACTCAACAAATGTCTTTCTTGAAAATATTAACAAACTAAAGCTGAATTAATTTGCCATTTTGTATATCATCTATTTGGTTTTTCAGCATCGAACACGACAATGCTGGATTCGCTCCCGGCTGGTATCTTGACAAGGTTTGCTTTGAGAGCTTTTTTGTGCTAGTTTCAATCTTGAATTCGACAGCGAATGATTACACATCTTGCAAAAAGATGCATCAAATTTTCATGATTTTTTAACTTTATGTAATGTAGTTGAAACCCCAATCTATCTCTGGATAGATCTCTCGTATTGCAAAATTTTAACATTGCAGAAAAGAAAATAACAGAGATTGATTAAGTACTGCTTTCTGTAATTTACGTCTGTTTTCCTTCTCATCTTTATTAATTTTCTTTTCTAGATTGTTGTAAAAAATTTATCAAACGCAAAAGAAGTATATTATTTTCCATGTGGTAACTGGCTATCAAAAGACGAGGGCGATGGGCAAATTGTTCGGCAACTTTTGGGAACAAGAAATCTTGATAATATAACAGAAGGTAATGTCCAAATATATCGTCCTTATACTTTTTCTAATATATAATTTTCCAAGCCTAAGCACACGAAGTTATTAAGGTGTTGCTCTGAATTTAGCACTAGGTGTACACAAGGGTGCTTATTTTAATCTGAGGGTTGTAACAGCATTGTATCGATTAAGACCCAAATGGGGCAAGAAGATCATACCCTGCAGCCATTTTTTCAAAGCACGTTTGTATCAATCATCATTCAATTGATATCAATAGGTTGTAGTGTGTATTGGTATTTTAATTCATAGCTTAATTGATTTGTTTTTAAATTTCCCATCAGCCCAGAAATACAAGATAATGACCCATACTGGAGATGTGCGAGGGGCTGGAACCGATGCAAACGTACATATCACATTGTTTGGAGACAAAGGTGACACCGGCCAGCACAAACTAAGCAATAAATGGAAGAATAATTTTCAGAGAAAAAGGTTAGGCTATTCTGAAATATACCGAGTTTTAGATGAAGGTGACGCTTACAATTAACAAGGGCTTTAATAAGAGAAATCGTGCTTGTTCTCAAAACTTCGTATTCAAAAACGAGCTCATAGAGCTTTTAACCAAGTTTCCAGAACCTTTGGAACTCTTGAAAAAGATTTCCTTTTCCAAGAAATTTTCCTTTAAGGTGCAAAAAAATGGTGCCTTTATTCAGATTCAAGAACGTATTTTGGCCTTATAAAGCTTGTCAATATAATTTTCGTTTGCTTCTATGAATTATCTCAATGTTTTGCAGTGACAATAACTTAATTTTTAAAATAGGGACATGTCAGTAACGAAATTTGATGCAATGTTTCAAATCTTTTCCAAAATAAAATGGCTAAATATAAATGTTGAAAGATTTCATTAATTTTAACAAGAATAAAGCATATCAACTTTCAATTTTTCCTTTCATACTTACTTTTCATACTTACAGCGTCGATACATTTATGGTTGAAACACCGATGGTTGGATCGTTAAAACGAGTTCGAATCGGCCATGACAACAAAGGTTTAGCTGCCGGATGGTATCTTGACAAGGTAAACAACAAGCCAATTCTAATTGTTGCAATTTTATCAGGCCACGCCACAAAGGGTGTGCTTGAAAGACCTCATTGAAAGACGTTTCTCCCATCGACGACCAGGGAGAAATCTTGATGGTACTTTGTGGAGGGGTGAAATTGTAGGCTGAAGGCTAGGCTAACATCGATAGATATAAGTGTGGGCGATATAAGACGTTTTTGGTTATCGTCCAAAGAAAGGGTGAACAGTTTCTTTGTTGGTGGGAGTGTGGGAATTTTGGAAAAATCTTGCTTTTGGTGCTAAAATGATTTTGATACGGGTGCAGAAATTTGATTTTGAGACCTTTAAATTTTTCGGAACCCAAACTAGAAATTTTGATTCTCCCACGGACAAGTTAACTTTAAAAATTTGAAACTGCGCGCCTGAAATCAGGCACAGGTTCTATTACTATAACACAGGGGTTTTGCGCGTGCAATATGCAAAAGAGCGCAGATCTGTGCGCGGGCGCGATTGCGGGTTTATATTTTTACTCCTCCAAAATTCAGCGTCTTTTAAAAATCAGTCAAAAATAGATACATAGAATTCAAATCTGGATAGAAAATTGAGAAAGGCATTATTTTCCACCGGATAGTGTTTATATCGGGGATATCAGATACATACAGTTTTCGAAACACCTAATGTCATCTGGCAGGATGGCCGAGCGGTCTAAGGCGCTGGTTTAAGGCACCAGTCACTTCGGTGGCGTGGGTTCGAATCCCACTCCTGTCATCTTATTTTCTCTGCTGTACTTTTTCTTGGGTAATGCAGCGAATAAAAACTTTTAGTAAAAGTACGATAGTCCTTGAATAAAATGATTGTGAAATTCAATTTAAATCTTTGTTCGTTTGAAATTTAATCAAATTATAGCTTCAACCTTGATCTGGAGTTCCTGACTTTTTTAGTTCAGTTTCCCGTTTTCAGGTTGATTTTTGAAGATGCCAATTTTTATTGAAAACAAGAAAAGCATTTTAGGTATTATTTAGTTTTACCTTCAGCCCCTTTTAAAAAAGCTGAAACATTCGCGACCAGGCACTTTATGCAAAAAATTCCAACCCCTAGATATTTTCTTATAGCAGCTTGAAACTTTTTCATTCCATCAGAACATTGACAAGTAACAACTTCTTTTGGCCCCTTTCTTTTCTTTTGAAATAACAAGTTGTTGTCTGTGGACTCTTACTTAACATATTTTAGGAAGCTATTTCATAAATACATGAAAAGAAAACAAGAAAATATTTTCTGTTGGCATTATCGTGCTGTAGCTTAGTTATCAGGCTAGGTTATAAGGCTAGCTGATGCTCTATCTTATACAAAGCATATCAGATAAAAGTATTACTTACTTTAACAAACTGAACGGAGCAAGGTAGGTTGGTCTTGACTGAAGAACGAATGGTGTGGCTGTCCGAATTTTCGTTTAGTTCGTTTAAATAAGAAATACTTGGAAATACCTTGAAATGATGTCTTGGAGCACAGACATGAGTCTTTAGTGTATATTGATTACTAGACTTACGCTCGTTTATCTGTGCTTATTCTTCTAGAAAGTATCTGCCTTTCATTGTTTATGTTTAACTTAGGTTGTAGTGGAGGATGGAGAAGGGAAGACCTACGAGTTCCCATGTAATCGATGGTTGTCAAAAACAGAAGATGATGGCAAGATATCGCGAGACCTGTTGTTGTCAGGATCATCAGAAATGGAAGGATCAGCGGGTAAATATTTTGCTGCTTCTACTAATTTTTACAGTTCACGATATAACTAAAATAGATAAAAACAAAGATGGAGAAATGGTCCTAAAATAATTCGAATCATACAACTTTTGGTGCTGGAGGAATTTTATGCCTATATTTATATTCTTGAATGTTACTAAAGCTTTAAATACTGATTTCCAACAAAATTATGTTATCGAAGAAATCCACACACTGGCAGAAGTTTCCAAGATTTTTTGGACAAAAAGTTATGTAGAAACAAAGCACCTAGGCTATGATTTTGACGTCACAATCATTTCTAATGGGTAGGAGCTTTTTGGATGTAATATGGCGTAGACAGATTATTTGACGTCACAAACGATCTTGATTGATATAAAAGAGGGTGCATCGTGAACAAGATAACTTTGTGAAGAGTATCGTAATCAATGCGGTGTTCTGCAGAGATCTGATAAAAAGTGAGAATATTGTTTCGAGAAGATATCTTCGTATCTACAAGAATCTTCGTGAATCTTCGTGAATCTACGTGAATCTACGTGCATCTACGCGAGCTATCGTTGGCGATACGTGTATTGATCAGCATGTCGTTGAAACTGGAAGAAAAAATGGCCGAAGGTGACTCGACTTTAGTGGAGAAACTGATCAGCGAACTGGAGACGACGAAGAAAGAAGCGAGCAAGCTAAAAGAACTGAACGGAGTTTTGGTGAAGTGAGTGCAAATTGTCGATTCTTCATAAAGTTTAAAACTTTTTACTATTTTGACGATTCTTATGCCTAAATTTCTTTGATTAAATGTTAAACTTGAACTGCAATTAAACATTTTTCTGTCAATCATGAACAATTAGATAAAATCAGTTTCTGTTTCTATTCCAGAAAATCCAAAGAGCGAGAAAGGGCATTCAAGTTAGAGAAGGACCAGTGCAAAATGGAGGTAATGGTGGTTTATTTTGGTTGATAAATTTGGTTATTTATACTGACATGATGTGCCTTAAACTGATTTGCAAATCATTTTAAGATAATTGCAAAATTTCTACTGTCTTGGGTAATGTTTTCAGCAGAAAGTAAACTTTGATATATTTTCTGATCCTAGATAAATGATCTCAAAATGCAAATGAGTGGCTTGACAGAAGTACTAAACTATCAACAAGACATGGCGGATGAGTTGGTACAACGTGAGCCAGAGAAAGTCAAGAAATTAAAACGTCAGAAAAAGGAGTTGACTGACAAGTGTCAAGAGAAGGAGAAGCAGTTAGAAGGAATAAAGAAAAGTTTACAAGAAATGAAAGTTGCCTTTGAAAGGAAGAAAACCGAAAACAAAGAAATCAAAGAGGCAATGCTGGAATTGAAAGGAGAAAACATCAAACTCCTCAGTAAAAATTCTCTACTTGAAGGTCATCTTGAAGAGCAAGAAAATAACCTTGCCAAGAAAGAAGACGAAATTTTGGATCTCAAACATGAGATAGAAGAGCTTAAAAACAAAATGCAAAAAGACAAGACATGCATTGCTCGACAAGCATCGATCATTTCTAACCAGGAGGCAACGATCGAGCAGATGGAGGTTGATGCAGTCAAAAAGGATCTGAGAATATGGGAGCTCAAGCACGAAATGAAGGAAGCCAACACCAAAATTACAAAAGAAGTGGCTGAAATTACTGTAAAGAACGTCATCAGGGAAGCAGAAGACAAGGCTCAAATTTTGAATCTGGGGAACAAAAATATCTCACTCAGGTCAGAAATTGAATCTTTGATGCAGAAAACAGAAAGGCTGGAGAAATTAGTTACCGACCTGCAGGACAATGCACAAAAAATGGCAGCCACAGCTGAATCAAAGATCAGAGAAATGGCTGACGAAATTCAAGGAGCCACTACGAGGGCGAAAACTACAGAAAAGAGGGCAAACGAGCTTGAATCATGTCTCAACGAGACAACTGAATCATTGGCAAATGCTACGGAGCAAATCGAAGTCACAATGCAAGAAAAAGATGCCCTTCTTGTCAGCCTGAAGGAGAAGGACCAGGCTTTGAAGTGGCAGCTACGTGAAAACAAGCAAATGAGGTATGAGATTGACATTCAAGACATGAGGATCGAAAACATGGCAGCGAGGCTTAAAAACATTGCACAGATTTGCTTGGGTACCCCAGAGCTTAATGGGGGCAGTGAAGAGAGGCTGGATCAAATGATCGAAAGAATACAAGGGATGCAGGAAACATTGGCAAAAGTGGAAGTGAAAAAGAAGACTTTTGTTAAAAGACTTTTTAAAAAATTTCGCAGTGCAAACAGACTTCAATAAACATAAGAAAACGCCAATTTCCATATAGTATTCAAACTTATTTTTGAATTTAGTTATTTTTGATTTGAGATAAAAAGATTGTGTCTAGAAATATTTTGTTTTTTTCTTGTTTCTTTCTTTCTGGTTCAATTTGATTAGATCTTGGCTATATTCATATTAAGTTTTACTTTAAACGCATCTCTTCATTAATTCAGAATATGGCTATATCAGAACATAATTAGCCACTAAGGCGGATTTCCAGGAAATTTTGAGGTGGTACGCAAATTATGAATTTTCATTTATGATATCCCAACCTGCGTCTGGCACTATCTTTGGAGTATAATATAACACGGGATGGTAACATGGTTGCGTCTGATATTCTGTGGGGACTGGAGATTAGTTACGTCAGTAGAATTGAGCTCCAGTATTCAGGGCAGAAGGCTTCCGCAGAACGTTCTTCTTTGTATATTTGCGGTGAAGATTATTGATGAAGCCAGGTTATTGGGCTGCTGCCTCGAGATATAGCATTTGATCTAAAACCTTTTTTGGAGTCAAATACTCAGGAATTGATGCGTAGTATTATAGAATCAAATGCAACCTAAAATTTCAACTACTATGAATTTCAGAAGGTTAGGAAAGCAAACAACGAGCATAACAGAGTAGCAGGCTTAGATTATCTTTGACTTTTTTAGAGTAGTAAATAAAGTGCTTTCCTTTCAAAAGACAAATTTATTTTGATGATTCGAAGCAGATTGTTTCTAATTAATGCGAGCCTCTCTTTCGCCCTTTGAAATCGAGATATGAATGGGGGAATAAAGAAGACATGAAATGAAGGAAAAGAGAAGACAATTTCGGGGTTTCGAATAGACCTTTTTTGTGATATTATGTTAGTCAGTAGGAAAATCGAAACAGTGATCAATATGTATCACAGGTAGCAAGGAGCCAAATCAAAATACCTTGATATCAAGGTTTTGAAGCAATGATATTATGTTTCAGTTATTGATGGAACCTTGCTTTTTACGTTATATGTGTATGTTTTGGAACTGTGCGTTCTATATTGTGTAACAATCTCGTAACTGCTGGATGCAGTATTTCATCAAAAAAAGTTCTGACAAAAATCAATAAGTGCTTCTTAGGAAACAGGAACTCCTTTTGAATGTTCTCTGCAACTGCACTGCAGTAAGGAATAAGTGGAGAAAGCTTTGTGACATTCGCATTACTTGCCAAAGGACCATTTGCCTTCACACCATTGGAAAATATTAACTATACAAAGGAATCTAGAGGAAGTATAACTTAGATTCAAGCTGAGAAAATACACAAGGCATGATCACAAGAAACAGGACTGATGAATGAGAATGATTCTTAATTAGTAAGATGGCATTTGTAGAATAGGATGGCTTTCTGTTTTTGTAAAATGTTCAACCATCTTTCTGGTGCCTATCAGCATGATTTTTAATGCTTGATGCTCAAGACCTAACCAATCTGTTTCTAGAAATCCCGTATCATAATGTACCAATCTGTTTCTAGGAATCCCGTATCATAATGTACCAATCTTTTTCTAGGAATCCCGTATCATAATGTACCAATCTGTTTCTAGGAATCCCGTATCACATTCACGTGGTAACTGGTGATGTAAGAGGGGCTGGGACCGATGCAAATGTCTTCGTCATTTTGTTCGGAGGCAAAGACGGAGAAACAAACAGTGGCAAGCTCTTCCTTGAAGACGACAGCAAAAATAACTTTGAGAGAGGGAAGACCGACATTTTCACTGTGGAATGTGCTGAGCAATTTAGCCCGTTGCATCATCTCAGAATTGGTCATGATAATTCGGGTCCTGCCTCGGGATGGTATTTGGAAAAGGTATTTCTTTGTTGTTTGTAATTATTTCAATCTTACTAAATTCTCTTTGTTCCACCTCAATCTACCTGATTTCTTCTAATCTAATTTCGTACCTGTACATCCTTTTGAATCGAAGGCAAATACATTTTTACGTGATTTTAGTGAACATAATGTTTATCTTTGCAGTATGCTCGTTGATTTACCTTTTTGACAATCATTCTATACTTTGCCATATTGTTGCTCTAGGTCCTCGTAGACAGCCCTAGCACTGGAATTGTTCAAACCTTCTTTTGTCGCCAATGGTTAGCAGATGACGAAGGTGATCGTTTGACTGAAAGAGATTTAATTGAAGATATGGACTGGAGACAGCAAAGGGAAATAAGTATGGTTTCAACTTTGTCATTTGAAAACTAACTTGTATATCTTGTATATATACTACATGTCCTTATATCATTATATTTGGTATGTTTGTATAGAGTTAAAGCCTGCAGAAATTCCCTTTTTGTATCATTCCCTAATTTTGTATTTCATTTGTATCAATTAGAGGAAATCTGGAACGTTACAGTTTACACAAGTGACGTCAGAGGGGCAGGTACTGATGCAAAGGTTTTAATGGTTCTTTATGGGACCGAAGGAAAAACTGAGGAGATGACACTTGATAACGAAACGAACAATTTTGAAAGAGGAAGTGTAGATAAGTTCAAAATTGAGGTGAAAGATATTGGAACACCATACAAAATCAGAATCTGGCATGACAATGCGAAGCCGTTCTCTGACTGGCACCTCGACAAGGTAACCTTACTGCAGCTCCTCTTTGAATGTTTCTCGTTGGAAACAAGTTGCCATTTCAGTTTGTATTATCACCACAGATTCTTGTCTAACATCTTCAAAACCCCCTTCTGAACGGAACTGTTCCCCTGATTAATAATTGATTTGATGTCAGAAATTGTGTTGAAACTCTTCCTCTCGTCGTTTTTTCTGCTTCGCTATTTCTCTCCTAATTTGGATGTTTTCTGTCTTTTGATTTACTTTTTCGGTTTTCTCCCTACATTTTTCATTCTTTCATTTTTGCTTTCTTTCATTTGATATCCCTAATTTTTATCGATCTTCCCACAATACTACCTCTACAAAGCTGTTTTGTTCTCGTAAAATCAATAGTATGATCGCATTTCGTGAAATCCTTGACTGCATCTAATTTTTCATATTGTTGTTCAGGTTGAGATGGAGAGTGTCACTCGAGGGGGATTCTATACATTCAACTGTGGACGATGGCTATCTACAAGTGAAGATGATGGCCAGACAATGCGAGAGCTCCCAGCAGAAGGCAGTGGCGTCAAGGCTGCTCCAAGTATAACTTTACCCGAAGTTTTCTCATTGCTTTGTGACTTTTGTACCGATAAATGAAAGAGATATCTTTTTTTCAGTCCTCAACAGCTAGATGTCTCACCAAGTAAATAATAATCTTACTAAGAGTAGTGTTTTCAGAGTTTTGGGACTTTTCTAATGACATCATTCTGATGAAGATTCAAATGTGTCAGTTCATGGGAAGAACTTACGGATTTTTTACCTTCCTATTTGAAATCATATTTGATTCATCATGTTAAAAAAGTTGCTTTTAAGATAATTGTTTGTTATATTTTCTTTATATTATCATTGATTTCTAGATTTGGTGTAACTCTAGTAATTGCCTTGCAGTTTTGAAATACCCAATTTCTGTTCTCACGGGCAACAAAAGAGGAGCTGGAACAAATGCAAATGTTTTTATTAATATTTTTGGCGAGCACGGGGATACTGGTCCAAGATCGCTGAAAAAATCACAAAATAGAAATAAATTTGAAAGAAATCAGGTAAAATACATTGCATTTATTGTAGTGAATATCTACATTCATATCGAATGGAATTTTGGAATTCTATTTATGTACGGAATCATTAAGTTTAAGGTTTCGTCTTTATTATTGAAGCAGTGTTTTCATTCTTGGAAAGATTTTGATGCAATTATATTTGTAATTTGTGCCGATAAATTGTCTTTGCTTTCTAAGCAAAAAAACAAACGAATTAAGTCTGAAATAAATATCTTGATTGATCACAAACCTTATCAGCCTATCAAAGGCAGTCGCTTGCATTTTGTGATTAGCTCGATTAAGTACCTTGCTTTGTTTACAACATCTTCCGATCAGGAATTGTGTTTTCTGCTATCGGGCAGCATTTGCTAGAAAACCCAGTTTATGCAAAAAAACTATAATGGCGACATGTTTCGGATTATTGGTAAAGCCCGATCGTCGTTCCACCTAGCAGTTTTAGAATCTATCTACATAAGCACGAAAAAACCGCTACTGTGTAGACAAAAGGAGTTGGTTTTCACCTTAGGACTCCACTGGTAACATTCTAATAGGCAAGCGACACTGATTGGTCAACCTTTACAGTCATGTGCTCGTGTTTCTGATTGGCCTATTTCGATCCACAACTGGGTATATATATTTCTTAGCGTAGAGTTTTCGATCTATGTTCTGACGTTTTAAACTCTGAAGAGTGTCAGACGAAAAGCTTTAGTTTATTAAATGTTTGCTTTTTTCAAAGCCATGAATTGTGTTTTGCAATATTTGTCAAATCAATTTTGAATCAAACTTTTTTTTCCTTGTCTGTTGAAGGTCGATGATTTCGAAATCGACGCAGTTCGTTTGGGCGATTTAAAGATGATTCGAATTGGTCATGATACTTCCGGTGTGGGAGATGCATGGTTCCTAGACAAAGTCCTCGTCAAAGACCCCGAGAAAGCCGATAAAAATTTCACATTTCTTTGTAACAGGTAATTATCTAGCACCATAGGTTTCAACAAGGGTGAAGTGTGAATATTTCTCCCCACCTCTGAAGTATTATCTGTTTATCATCAGAAGTGCAATTGATCTTCATCAGTTACTTCACATCAAAATATTTACGCTTCCCTTCAATTCATGCATATGATTTTAACAATTTTCTTCATCTTTCCCTTTACCAAAGTCTTACCCTTTCTAACAGAGGTGCAAAAGAAATCTGTTTGTCTTAAGTGAAGTGTTGTTGTATATGTTCAATGAAAACATAGTCAATAGAAATGATCTTCCTGTCCTTTTTACATGGCGTTTTGATGATGTCTAAAGACAGGACCATAAATGTGATTCTGTGTTAAATAAAGTTGCCCTCTTTATCTGGGCATATCTGGCAGATTTCCTTGAAAATTCATGAAATTTGGAAGACAATTTCACTAAACATATACTTAAAATCTCGAAAGCTCCCAGGCTTTGCTCCCGGGCTTTACTCTATGTCAGGAATTGAGCGCCCATAGGCGTAACTTGCGCTCCTCTCCGTCAACTTTCGACCTTTCCTTTGAAATTCCTTCATACTCCCATGACTGTCCGTTCTTCAATCAAATTTTATATTCCTTACACTTTTTTGAAAGGTGGCTAGCCACGGATGAAGATGATGGAAAGACTATTAGAGAGCTACCTGTTGGGGAGCACGGAACGCTGCTTAAAAGTAAACAACCTTTAATTTTTAAGCACTCCATTCCAATATTTTTCGAAATAAGAATCATTTGCAACAACAAATTCTAGTACTCTAGAGCATTGTAATTTTTAGCTAGAGAATCATGCAAAACTTCCCACACGATCAACCACCAGCCCAGTTAGCTCAGTCGGTAGAGCATCAGGCTTTTAACCTGAGGGTCGCGGGTTCGAGTCCCTCACTGGGCGCGTTCTTTTTTCGTCTGTTTCTGCGTAATCCAATTACATGTTTCCTTGTTTGAATTTTTAAGTTCTAACGTAAAAAACTAGTAAGCATGAATGGATGGCTAATGCTTCTTTTTTTTAAGTGTTAGTGAAGTGATTTTTGCCAACAAAAAGGGCGTGTCAAATTCTTTTAGGGTGTGGTCATGAGATCAATAATTGCATCTCTATTTCAACATTTAGCATTCGAAAAATTCAATTTCAAGTATCTTTTGAGCCATACCTAGAATTGTCAGCTGCTACAGAAATATTTTGTTACAAAAAGGCTACAATTATACGTTAGGGGGGGGGGGGGGGGGGGGGTGAAAAGAGAAACTTCTTTTGCCGGACAAAAATCATATTGTGCCCCCGGACAAAGTATTGGGGAAGGTTCAGCGCCTCCATACCCCTTTGGCGACGCCTCTCCTTGCCTTTTTGGCAAATTGAATCTAGAGTAGCGTTTCCTCTTAAATGTTTTTTTTTTCATTTTTATCTCTCACATGTTTACTTCTCTGCATGAGAAAACACCTTTGGGATTCTTTATGTTTCTTTCCAAAATTTCACTATGATCAAAAGCAATCCACATTTGTAAAAATCATTTTTTTGAGTAAAGGTAGTGATTCCGTCAAAATGCTGTGTTATTATATCTTACATAGAGTTTTACTTGATGTTTTTAGCCACAACTTACCGTGTTTCCGTGAAGACGGGCGATGTTCGTGGTGCAGGGACAGATGCAAATGCCTATATCAAACTTTTTGGCAGCAATGGAGACAGTGGTAAAGTTACCCTAAAGCAATCTGAAAACACGAAAAATAAATTTGAAAGGGGAAGAGTCGATGAGTTTGTTGTCGAAGCAATGGAAATAGGCGAGGTATTGTATAAAAAAACCAAGATTTTTTAATCTGTAGATTTTGCGCAATTTTTTAAAAGAATGCCTTGATTTTCACTTCCATAAGCGATTGGAAAAAACTTTTAGTGAAAAAAAAACACTATGAAATTATGTTGACTATAAAAATTTCCATAAGTCTTTGACATTCAATGTTATTTGTGTTGAGGTTCATGAACAGTTTTTTTAAGAGTATATTGATTTATTTCTTTTAAATAGTTTCGTGAGTAAACTTTTTTGTAAAAAGGGAAATTAATAAAAATAAATGTTGGTGTTTGCTTGGACTTTGAGTCAAAGCTTTTCTCGTTTTCTGCTGTTTTCATTTGCTTTGGTATGTTTAAACATTTTTATAAGAAGGAGCAGGGTTTGTGTTTATGCCTTTAGCAATGTTGTTATTTTTAAAGTTGATTTATATTGATCTATTGATTACGTCATTGATATAAAACTGTGAGAATGCTAACAAATATTCTAGATTTGGCAGTTGGTTGAACTAGTTGGTTTTTGGTTTGTGTTATGTTGTTGTTTATATCTTTGATATTCTTGTGAAGACTATTATCATGTCAAACATGCAAACGTTGTATGTACTTTTATTATTGCAGTTGGAGAAACTGTTGATTGGCCACGATGGAGCAGGGATTGGCTCTGGTTGGTACATCGACTCAGTGACAGTTGGAATTGAATCTCTTGGGAAGCATATCGTGTTCCCTTGCAACAGATGGCTGGCAACAGACGAGGATGACGGGGCAATAGAGCGGGAATTATATCCTGTCGAAGCGACAGTTTTTGAAAAGAGTATGCACTTGAAATTTACCCTTGGGTTATGTGGTACTGTGCTCGATGCACCCCTGCCAGTAGGCTCATTTTAGTGGTTATTTTGTACGGTGGGGGCTAGAAGAGAGGCTGCAAATGTTTAAGATTAAGGGCGTTTTCAGTTTAGCTATTCATACAACATTGATCAAGCTAGAACCCGATTCTAAGGTTTGTTGGTAGAGGTGTACGAGATTCACGAGCTCTGTGCTATATTGATGCAACCCTTTCCATGCGCCCCGTTAGTGCTCACTTTTACACAGAGCTCCTTTATATTGTTTAGACGATTATCCGTGCTGTCTTCCCTTCCCTTCCTTTACCGTTGTTTTAAAATAGGCTGGTACACCATACCCTTATCAATATGTCAGCATTATGGCAATGAGAAAGTTGTAGTCCAGTGCAATATTTTCAAATATGGCCCACATATTGAAGGCCAACCCCATTATATCTGCGACCAAAAAGTGTTTTAGCTGCCGTGCTTTCCTCTGGGTTTGCTATATACCTGCAAGTCATCTTTTGGAGAATTATATTTGCCTTTCATTTCTTCCACACATTTCTTCTTGATCTACTCCTTGTTTTCCATAACTTTAGAATGTCAATAATTGTTTATTGCTACGTATTAAAACGATAGTAATTTTTTATTCAGAAATCCCTTATGAAATTGAAGTCCACACAAGTGATGTTCGTGGCTCAGGGACAAATGCAAATGTTTTCATTGTTTTGTATGGCGAGAAAGGAAAGTCGGATGAATTTTGGCTTAGAAACAAAACTGACAACTTCGAAAGAGGCCAAGTTGATAAATTTAAGGTAAACAAAGCTTTAGTTATTCCCTATACTGATCTTATTCAAGTTCAGTTGTGTTTTATATTCAAATTACTCTCATTTTGTTCATTATAAATTTGTTTATTTTTCACCTTTCTTTTAGTCTATTTGTAATTTTCTGCTTATATTTATTTTATGTAGATGAGGCACTCGGTGTATTCTAGCATAGATTTTGCTTATAATGCAATGTACCTTTGTGTCGCATTTGAAAATCTGGTTTTTTCATATTTGTAATAGTTATTCCTTTCTTGTAAATAGAATTAAAAACAACTAATAAGAAGCACGATATGTAAGCGTGGCAATGAAGAAAGATACACATGCACTATGTAGGGACATTCTTAGGGGAGGATCTCTCTCATTTACTGAACGTACCGAGGAACCGGGACGTGGGGACCGGGGTTGTGCTATTTTCTAAGAAGTTATCTACTTGAAAATTTGTCCGTTTTGCGACATTTCGCCCTTTTCTGCGACATCGAAAAGGTCCAAAGAAACGGAGCTCGTTTTGTTATGGGAGAGTACCGTCAGAGATCTAGCGTGACAGATTTATTGCAACAACTTAAATGGGACTCACTTGAATCACGTAGATTACTATTTCAACTGAAATATGTTCATAAAATGTTTACAAATCAGGTTGCTTTGGACCCTAACGTTTTCTTTTCCCCTGCAACTTGTTCAATGACAAGGAACTCTAACTCATTGAAGATCATGCCTAAATTCGGAAGGGTTGATGCTGTTAGGTTTTCATTTTTTTATTCAATCGTTTCTGTATGGAATAGCCTGCCAGACAGTATTGTGATGCAGGCAAATTCGGATACCTTTTACAACCTATGTCGAAATCACCTCAGTAAATTTTAAAATTTTAATGTTGTAGTTGACTGGGCAGACATTTGTATGACCCAAAAGGGTTGTTAAATGTAAATGTAATGATGATGATTCCTACCTTTGCCATTCAGTAATAATTTATCGTTGTTCATTGTTTTTACTTCGATCTTAGTTGTAATAAATTCAAGCTTTCTTGTCACCATCATATTTGCCATTAGGTGGCCTAACATTTAATCAAGCATTTTGCTTAACACCCAGGTTGAAAGTGATGAGATTGGACTAATCACAAAACTACGAGTTGGGCATGACGATTCAGGATTTGGTGCTGCCTGGCACCTGGATAAGGTAGGTCACCTAAACTGGAACATTTTCACGTGATTTGTCACAGTGCAGCCAAGGAACGTATTCCAAGAAAGAAAGGTTTGTGAAAATAAATGCATGACAATCACTAGGCTTGCGGAATAACGATAATTTCTATTCTCATTTAAGATTATAATTCGAAAGTTGCAAGAAGAAAATAAAAAGAAGAAAAAAAGAAAGAAAACATCGGTAGAAAGCAGTGCAGAAGTTGGTGATGAAGATGAATGCAACTATTTCTTTTTTGTCAATAAATGGTTCGCCAAAAATGAAGACGATGGTCAAATTGTCCGGGAACTTGTCCCTACAGATGAAACTGGAACTAGATCTCGAAGTGGTTCATTGCCAGGTACATATCGCTTAAATTCGATCGAAGTAATCATGGGACACAGAAATGATTTTATCTTCTTCGGTAATGCCTTTTTCTGTCGAAAAACTCGATAAAGGTTTACAGCTGTTTGCAAGAAAGTGACAAAGCAAGACTCTTCACAGCTCAGTCATTTGCTCTGCTCACAAATTTGTTTTAGAGAAAAACCTGATTATGTTATTAAAATGTGGTGTGCTGCACTACCTATTAAATATTGATTTCTTAATTTCATTTTGATACAAAAATCAATAAATACATTTCTTGCAAATTAATGAATTATTAATTTCGAAAACATTTACTTATTAATAACGGTAACTATATTTTTCAAATGTAGAGTTTTTTGGTATTCAGATAATCCATAATCACTTCAAACACTCCACGATGGTGGAAGTCTCTTAGCAGATTTCTCAAGTATGCTAGAAGTTGACCATCCCAAAATTAAATATTCGATTGTGTCGTAACTTTGCCATAACTGAGAAATGCATCCCAAGAACAATAAGCATGATTCCATGTTTTAAGGAACTCTAGCCTATCAAAACCTGATCTTTGGTAATATTACTATTCCTTTAAGGTTGTAAATCTTGACATTCTTGAAGCCTAGTCTAGTTCTCGTTGTGAGATGATACGTCATCTCATTTTTTATTAAATCGAATCCATTTGGATGAAACTCGCAAACATTTCTGTCTGATTAACCTGTTTTATGGAACCGTTAATTGCTGAGTTAATTAAATGTTTACAAGGGCCTTTAAAAAGGTTATTTTTCTGTAGTTTCATGATGAGGTTATTCTGTCTTTGTTAGCAACGAAAAAAGACTGTTGAAAACCTTTTGGCATGCACAGTCTGTTGCCACTTTAAATGGTATGTTGCACATTTTATGCTCTTATCTTCTTTGCAGCCACCCCATACACCATCCGGGTATTCACTGGTGACGTCAGAGGAAGCGGAACGAATGCAAATGTATTTTTGACTCTCTATGGAGAAAATGGGGACTCAGGTGAAAGAAAACTGTCCAAATCGGAGACCCATGTGGATAAATTTGAGCGAAATCAGGCATGTTTACATCCCCGCTATGAATTCTTGCGCCATCGACATTTCGCTATTTACTTTGAGTTGTTTTAGAATCGTCTCAAAAGTAACGACTGGAAACAATTTCTTTAGAAATTAGGATATCATCGTTATCAAGTGAATGAGCATGAATCACACGTCGACGATATGATCAAAGCTGAAGTTTTCTATTCAACAGTCGAAAGAAGCAATGATATTCACTCAGCATGAGTAATGCTCAGTGAGATTTTTTTACGATCGTTGGTTTCAGGCAAATATGCTATCGAACTTAAGGCTTGCCCATGAGCGCTATTTCGTGAACTGACCTTGTAATAATTGTTTTAAACAGAAGTGAATTGAATCATTTTTCTAATTATTTTTGTTCTTGCATCTCAGGAGGACGTGTTTAAAATGGAGTTCGTTTCTCTTGGAGAACTCACCAAAGCTAAGATTCGCCACGATAATTCCGGGTTAAAATCATCTTGGTTCTTGGACCGAATTGAAGTCACTGACGAAAAAGTAAGTTATTCATAAAATCATGAACGATTAAGATTGTAATTTTTGCCAGTTCAAACATTTTTGAAAATTTTTTATTGATTAAAGAGTGGATGCAGTCAGAATAAAATGCATGTGGGCCGCAAGATATTCTCTTCATCAATTTTCCAGTCTATTTGCTCTAGATTAAGCCATTTATTTTCAAAACAAAATATTGATACTGCAGGAAGCTTTTTATAAGAATCTGTCTTTTTATCTTGTGTTTTCCCATTGGTGTGCTTTGCCACTGGGAATTTTTATCTGCAAATGCGAAATGAAGTGTGGCAAATCATGGTCAACCGATTAAGTGCGCTGTTTGGTTGGATTAAATATAGTATCTCCTGAAGGCTGAATCGACACAATGGTTTTGAGAGTTTTTCAAGATTCCTGTTATTGACATATTTTTCATTGTGCAAAATCTTTTCTTATTGCTGCAGCCTGTAAAGTCATTATTGTTCAAGGGTCTCTCTATGCAGCTGCTGCCTGCAACCTCTTTCCTCTGCAAGGGTCTATTTATGTTGCTGCTGCAGTGGGCAATCTCTTTTCTCTGCAAAAGCCTCTTCTTATTCCCACTGTCTCCAACTTCTTAACTGTCCAAGAGCCTTTTCTTTAATGCTGCTTTCCGCAACTTCTTCCCTCTGCAAGGGTCTCTTCTTGCTGCTGCAGTTGGCAATCTCTCTTTGTTGATTCAACCAGTTTGCTGCTCTCTCAACCAAGCTCTCTTTCTTCTTATTTCCAACTGCCTGGCAAGTTTGCATTATTTATGATCCAGGATAATAAAGTGGCCAAGATAAGTAAGTTTTCTTGCACTTAATGACAATATCTCTTTTGAAACAATGCTGTCTGAGAACTGATCGTTTTTTGGGATTCGATTTGCTACAGAACTTAGAAAAACGTGTCTGGGTCAACTTGAAATGAGGCAGCGTATTAAAGCGTTGATTTCTTTTGGGCTTCATTCAATTCCTGTCAATTGGTTTGTTGAGCTCATGGTGATCCAACCAATTCAAACACGGCTCTAAATTTGCTGTCGAACCTTAATAGAAGCATTTTGATCATTGTTTTTAGCTGCATGAGTAAATTATTGATCGGCCATTCTCATCACTTTCAAAATTTCTTTTTCCGCAGGAACACAAAAGTTTCTTTTTCCCGTGCAATCGCTGGCTTTCTACGAGTGAAGATGATGGTCAAATCTGTCGCGAACTAGTACCAGTAGATAAAACTGATTTTGAGCGGAGGAAGAGCCGAAGAATGTCTCGCAGTGGTAGCAAAATGTCAGTGGCAGCCGGAGATGCTGTTGATCTCGAACAAAAAGGTATTTTTCATGGTTGTGTTGGATTTTGGGTAGAAAGCCAAGATTTAACCTCCATTGGGACAATATCTGCAATCATGAACACTTTCCTTTGATTTTTGTTGACTTTTGTCCATGGCTCCTAATGGTTAACATGAACTTTTGAACCATATGGAGGTATAAATGCCAATGAGCCTTTTAATTACTGGTCAAGATTTCATCCATTAACGTGATTTTGAATTACTTGTCAAGTAATGCTTGTTTCAGAACTCCACTAAACGAGCATTTGCTGAAAGAATTGACTTTTGTTAAAAAATTAAGTCAGTTTTCTGTGTGTGGTTGATTTATTGCCAAAAAAATGATAATTAGAAACATACTTGTTGAAAATGCGATCGTTTTTTGAAATTTCCAAATCAAGAAAATCAGAGTAAATCTTTAGTAAAATTGAGGATTCTTTTCTCTCTATGGATATATCTTGCAGAAAGATTTTTGCATTTTTCCTTTTTATGCTAAGTTAAAAATCAAAGAAGCGCTATTTGCTTTATATTGAGTAATTCTTTCTTCTTTGAAATTTCACTTAAACATGAACGGTAAAGATCAGTTACCAATTGTTTTGGATATCTCCGTAAAACTCCTCTTCATTGCGGGACACAAAAACGAGCGGATCTTCTTCAGAAGAGCCTTTTTCTGTCGAAAATACCTCGATAAAGCAAGGTTTACAACTGCATACAATGTACAATACGTTTGACCCTCTCTTTTGCCTTTTGCCTGTATAGCCGCCATGACTACATACGAGGTTAATGTTACAACTGGTGACGTCAAAGGAGCTGGCACGGACGCCAATGTCTACCTTACTCTTTACGGAGAATCATCAGATACAGGTACGTGCTGATTAACAAAGAATTGTAAACAGTCGGGGTTTAGAGAAATAACGTTGTCTGAAAGCTCTAATAAGCGCCCTGAGACGATTTTTGGCAAATAAGGTCACCAAGAACACCGCAACTCCAATCTTGCGGCTTACATTTTCGCCTGTTTCTCGCTCAATATGTGCAAGGAAGAAGCAACAAACAACGACCAAAAAATTGACAGAAGCTGCAGAACAAATCATACACAACAACGAGACGAGTGTTCTGTTCTGCTTCACCTCGATCATTAGCTGTCTGCATAAAACGATACATGAATGAGTTGTGTAAGAAGAAGATTAAGGAAAAGAATCTATTTAGAATAGGCAATACATTGTTAAATCTCTAGAAACAGTTGTTCTGAAAGATTGGGTGTTTGGTTTCTATTTCTATCTGCCTTTCTAACACACAAACCTGATTCTTGAGTCCCCCACTAGTTCTAGCCCCCATGCTAATTCAAAACTCCCTGCTCATTCCAAATTCTCCCCATTAATTTGTTTTCGGAGAAAGTTTTGGCCAGTCTACCTCATCCACCACTTTTTAACATCAAGACTTGAAAAGTATTAGAAATCCAACGTTTGATGTGTTACTTGAGATAAGGTATTTTTTCATTGATGGCTTTCTTTTGAATTATGAAACCAAGCCTTTTTGAAGATTTTGCTTTGCTTAAAACCAAGCCCATCTTTGGAACTACAAATTTTGCTTCACCTTCTTCACGCAGAATCTCTTAGACGGAATTGTATCTAAAATAGAAATCTGAGATAGGAAAACAAATTCTCTTGGCTGATTATTATGCAAATTGCATAATGTGTTTAATCCGCGGAAATTTCAGACTGGAAATGTTGCCATGAATATTGAGACTCCCCAAAATCTGCTTTACAGGAAAGCAAATCGCCAACATTTCTGACAGAGGGGGGCTCAATCTCTTTGATAACAATTCTCGAGACAAAGAAACCTTGATCGTTGATATTCATTTACACACCAATTAACAATATCCTTTTGTGCTTTTCATATATTTACAGCATTCAAGTAACATATACAATGTTTTTTGTATTACCCTTAGATTCTTTATCTAAATGCACCATAAACGAATGACTGTAATTACATGTTTTTCGTTTTATAGGAAAAATACAACTGAAGACATCGAAGACATACAAAGATAAATTTGAAAGAAATCAGACTGATATTTTTAGTGTTGAGGCTGTTGATATCGGGCCTCTGAAGAAAATAAGGTGCGATGTTTGTTAACATATGTTGATATATGTTGATATATGTTAATCTATGTTAATCTATGTTAATCTATGTTAAAATTGTTATCAAAAACTTTTAAGGCTTTAAAGGAATTGATGGTTTTTAGTGCCCATTATCAATTTTCTCGTAAACTAAAGCTATTCTTGTGATTTTATTTTCGCAATCGTCTATGAAAATTATGTTTAGAGATCGTTTGCTTTCGTTAAGAAAAAACTTAAAAAGATGGTTTTGCTCAATATTTATTTTTTCATGATTTAAAACTTTGAACTACAACCAAAGCTACTTAAATACATTCAGCTCACAAAAGTGAAGCACACAAGGTCGTCTAGTCTCCATTATGAGTGACATTTACAATTTTTTATTAAAACTACATATAAACACAAAAACGAAGAATAAAAAGAATCAAATAAGGAAAAGTAAGGTACCTCTAGAAAATTTTGCACACGAATTTTTTACATAATTTTACGTTTCGAATTTTACAATTTTTTACATAATTTTATATCTCTATCTGGTGCCATTATTAGAGTGTAAAGCGGATTTTTCCCTTGATAATGCTTTTTAGGCACGAAATGTTTATCATTTTAGAAATAATTTATTTTTTCCTTCATTCGATAAAAGAGGTTTCGATTCCTACGTGTTTATGTGGTCATCATATTCTCGAAAAGGATTTCACCTTTATCATATTGCTTTTTTTGCAGAATTGGTCATGACAACAAAGGTGGGTTCGCAGGGTGGTATCTTGACAATGTTGAAATTGATGCTCCATCTCTGGGGAAGAAGTGGGTTTTCCCGGCAGGTAGATGGCTGGACAAGGGAAAGGATGATGGGAAAACAGAAGTTGATCTTTACCCAAGCGAGGATCGGGAAGTGCAATATGTGCCACGTAAGTGAATGCTTAAGCAATTTCAACTCAAAGTCTGACAATGTTTCTATTGAGTATCTTTAGATTAGAATAGAGAAGGTAAGTTTCGATTCCATTCTCTTTAATCAAGCAATGTACAAGCTGGTCATGTTCTATAGCTTCAATTTCTCATATTAGCCGAAATCAAAACTTCTTGAAATAAACAGCTTGTGAAAGACAATGTAAAAATTTCCAGGGCATTTGCAATGACTGCTTTTGTGTTGCACAAGTAATATGTTAAAGGAATTTGACTTTTAAGTCAAATTGATGTTATCATGAACGATGTTTTCTTAAGAGCCGTTTTTCCTGAAAAGTAGAAATAAGTGTCAGAAATTTGCTAGACTTTTACTGTCTTTTCTTTTCAATTTATGTCATTATCTCATATGATCATTTTATTGAGCTTTCTTTTTGTTCTTACAAGTTTAAAGATTGCTTTTAAAGATTTTGTGAGCATGTTTAAAGCTACTTTACCGATCCCTATTAAAGTGTGAAAAGACTCCCTTGTTTTTTTCTCTCTTTGCTGAAAAATTCATTTCACCTTTGAGTTCTTCAGAACTTTTCAGGTTTCTGGACTTGAGCACCTATCCATTTCCATGAAACTTGATATCATCTCTTCTATAATTTCATGCTAAAGTAATCGCAGATATTTATCATTTTGATACGGCCTCGTTTTCAGATGTGCCCTACGAGATTACTGTATATACAAGTGACGTTTCCAGCGCAGGAACCGATGCCAACGTGTTTATAACTCTCTATGGAATGGGAGGTGTATGCACTGAGCAAGTTGACTTAACTGAATCCAAGAAGAAAAAACGGAAAGAATGCTTTAATAAAGGAAATGCTGATGTATTTGTCCGTGAGGTTTGTAAACTCCATTTGCAGTTACAAGAAAAATGTATCATCCAGGCAACAATTACAAGCAATCATGATACTGTTGCTATCTAAGGCTTTTATTTAGCCATCAGCTCCACAAGATAGCTGAGCAGCAAGTGACTTTTTGTGTGATCACTATCGACACCAGTGTGTTTAGTTGGCTGAAACTGTGTTTTCATGTGATCACTCTCGTCACCAGTGTGTTTGATTGGCTCAAACTGTGTTTTCATATGATCACTACTGGTCTAGACCATATTAGCCAATTTGCCCTGTTCTTGAGAAATGGTTGAGCGATTAATTTTTTATTTTTATATTATAAATGAAATATATTTCATAAAGAATAGTTCCAGTTTATTTGCTTCGATACGAAATTCTCCGACGTTGCTGACTTTGTAATTTGGTTTTTATCTTATTCTCACTATCTAAAATTTATTTAATAACTAATTTAAAATCAAATCCTGAAACAGAATCTTTTTCCAAGTTCGGCTAGTTTCTTTCCGGTTTATGTAATTTTAGATTTTAATAATTAAGATTTAATTCTGCTTTGTAGCTCACAGACATTGGAGAAGTAATTGAGAAAATCCGAGTTGGACACGACAACAAAGGGCTGGCTGCGGGCTGGCATTTGGACAGAGTAAGTTGGCGTTGATTTTGACGTTGCTTTGATTATCTTTTCTTTCCATAAAAAAGACATTAACCAATGAATCTAACGAACTGTGTTTCCTAAGCGTGACATACTATACAGGGAAACTTTACGTTTTGAAATCAGAAAGCTATATGCAGAATTTATGCTTGCAACCAGTCCTTTATTAAAGGCTGAATATCATTAGCTCAAAGCAGACTTGTTACAAGACTAAAAGAAATGACAACGGATAATTTTAAGAAAGGCCTTTCGATAAGTGAACTATTTTTTGGTGGTACAGAACTTGAAGTGTTTGCTTTTCTCAAAGCCACTTTCGATAAGTACAGCATTCAACGCAGGCCAGTAATTCGTTGTGGCTTTTTTAATCATTTGTGTTTCTTTATTTAGGTAGAAATTCGAAGATTAAATGAAGATGGTTCTGGCTCGACAACTTTCACGTTTCCATGTAAGCGCTGGCTTGCAAAAGGAAAGGATGATGGAGCCATTGTGCGGGAGCTTGTTCCTGCTAAGATTGTGGAAGAGACTTTGAATAAAAAGGGGACGTTGGAGGCAGAGGAAAAGCGGGTAGATGCATTGACAAGTGAGTTGATTGACTGACTTATACTTTGTTTAATTAATTTGTGTATTAAATTAACCATTTTTATGTTTAGATTCGTAAGGGATTATCCTGAAGCCTTTTAGTGATGATTCTTTCTGTGTTTATTTACTGATTCATCGCCAATGAATCAAATCATTTACAGGTAAAACATTATGCAGACAGCCTTTCAACAAAAAGCAACTTTGTCGAACGAGCCTAACCTTTCTCATCAAAGAAAATTAATGGTAGCTTCATGCTTCGAGGGGGGAGGGGGGGGGGAGTGTAGCTCGATTTTACCAATCACAAGTAGCTTGGTCTTAACCAATCAAATCAAAGAACCGCTAAATTCTTGACAGCCTGGCATCAACAGTTTAGGCGATCGTGCATCTTTTTTACTTTCCACCAAATTCCTTTCAGTGCACAATTACGAAGTTTTTGTTTACACTGGTGACGTCAGAAGTGCGGGTACGGATGCTAATGTTTTCCTTACAATGTTTGGGGAGAACGGCGACACGGGAGAGAGGCCATTATCGAAAAGTGAAACACATAAAGATAAATTCGAGCGGGGTCAGGTAATTTGTATTTTTCTCTACGTGCTTCTTCTTTGTTTTCTTTCTGTTTCGTGAATTTTGTTAAGTCTGTGCCTTCTTTGGATTATAACTACCAAAAATGAATTGTCATGTATGTAAAGAAAATGTTGCATTTAAGCCTTATTTCCATTTTATTCTATATATTGTATACTTTCGGATTTCTAAATCTAAATATCAAGGAAAAAATGCTTTTCAACTGTGAATTTTTAAACAGCTTTTGTTCACACTTCATTTTATTTCGTATTAAACATTGTGATATGCTCTCTTTTGTTTAAACCATTGCCTGGTGAAATCTAAAAGGATCTCGTTTTGGAGCTCATTTTAAACACCTGCGATTCTTTTGTGATAATTCTAGGAATGAAAATGTAATTCTGTTTTTGTGCTCTTTTTTATCAGTCTGTTGCATAAATACATTGCAACCCTGTCTCTTTCAGGAGGACAAATTTAAAATCGAGGCTGTTGATCTTGGGTACATTTACAAGATTTTGATTCGCCATGACAACGCACTGCTGAATCCATCTTGGTTCTTGGACCGAGTCGAGGTTGTTGATACCAGTGACGATGGCAGGAGATTTACATTTTTGTGCGAAAGATGGCTGTCAAAGAGCAAGGATGACAAGAAAATCAAGAGGACTCTTTATGAAAAATCATATGAGGTAAGTGTGTCGAAGCAGAAAGTGAAGTGGGATAGTATATTCTATATCGGATTACTATTAAATGGGTTCTCAAAACACCGGAAGGACCATCAATCCTCATTTTAAAACAGAGAAGAAAAATGGCTGCAATAAAAATACATATATATGTCAAGTCCTTCTTTTTTTAGCAGTCAGTATATAAATTCATGCCTTTACTAAGTTCTATCCATAAGATCTTCGCAAACAAATACAATTCTGACTTGGGTCTATATGGCATTTTTTGGTATTTCTTGTAATGCTAGAAATGCAGCCTAAAAACCAAGCAATACCGCTTTATTGTAAGTATGTTCTTTTCAGAGTGCAGTAGCGTTGAAACATATAAATTACTAATTGAAATGATTTGTTTGCTGTGCTATGTTACAAAGGCTCGTATGAGAATAGAGCTTTTTGGCTTCTTATTCTTTGTTTAAACATTGACCTTAAAGTTTCGATACATAAACATGTATTGTTTCGTACCCAATTTCTCACCAAAGACATCTGCAATTACGAAATAATTGTTTGTTTTAGTTTTCGCAATATAATAAGCTCAAATACAAACAAATGTTTAATTATCAGCCATAACATTCTTTAAACGTTGTTTAGGGTGACCGAACCTCGATCGCTTCCACTGCTACTTCATTCCGAGGCAGTACATTCAGCCTTAGCGCAGACAGTGTGGCAACGTCAAGCCCCTCATCTCCAAGGGGAGGCAACAAAAGCCCTACCTTGTCTAGAAAGGGCTCGATCTCTGACAAAAGCAGACGGAGCTCTGTTGCTGACAAAATTTTCAAGGACGAATTTGAAGGTGGAACGAAAAGGAGGAAGTCATTGAAGTCTATGTCAACGGAGAGTCTGCTAGAAAGTAAATAGCCTTGCCAAGTTGATATTATGTAGCCAATAAGTTTTAATTCATGCTTGTGTCTCCTTACTGTAATATTGTTGCTACAACCCATCTCTTTTTTGAATTTCACAACACCCAGCAAATTTTATCGCCATAGACCCAAGCCTGAAACACATTGCCACTACGACATTGCCACAAGAGCCCCAACTAAGAGAGCCATTAATAAATATACCCATTTTTTCTTTTTTTTGCTGATAACAGCAATATCCTCTGATATTCAAGCTTCTCTTCCCAAGCTGAATGTTATTTCCACTGCCATTGTTCGATTACAGCGATACCGTACACAGTGCGTGTAGTAACCGGGAGCAACGAAGATGAGGGGACCGCAGCAAATGCTTATGTTGTTTTCATTGGAACTGAAGCCGTTTCTGAGAAGATTCCCTTGGAACTGGTTGGGAAAGAAGGATTTTCGTCTGGCTCAGTTGAAATATTTTCAGTAGAGGCGCCGGATTGCGGAGATATTAAGAAAATAGAGGTATGGATAACGGGAATTGTTTAGTTAGTAAGTTTGATAGTCAGGGATTGATAAAAGCAAATTTACATCTTTGGTGGTATAATTCTTTACGCAACCCTTACCGTGCCAATTCGTCAAGATCCTTGCCAATGGTAAGAGGGTTTAGTTACAAATCTGACTGCCCCAATGGAATTTGAATTTTCGCTTCTATCGCTTCTTACATGGCCCGACTAGGAGCCATCAAACTTTAAAAGAGGGAAAAGTCGTTGCTTAAGAAAAAGGAAATGAAAATTGGCATAGGTGCTAAAGCATGACAACTTCATTTCAATTTTCTTTGCCAGGTCGGTCATGATGGGTATAAACCACAGGACTCCTGGTTTTTGGAGGCACTTGAAGTTGATATTCCAACCACTGGAAAGAAGTACATGTTTTCTTGTAAATGTTGGTTGGGCAAAGACAAATTAGATGGCAAAACATCAAGGGTTTTTACAGTTGGAGAGGACCAAACAGTCACCTACAAACCGAGTCAGTTGACGGGTTTTTCATTCACTTTCATTTTTGATTTTTTATGCATTGTTAATGCGGATATTATTACTGCGATTAGATCCTTTATTTTCAAAATTATCACTTTTCATTCTTAAACAATCAATTTAAGATAAAAAAAACATTCAGTTTAAGATAAAGCAATTACTGCACCACTGAATCAGGTTTCATTTTAGCACCAACCTGAAAACAAATTTTTTTTTAATTCGTTTCGCTGTTTAGAAGTTTTGTTTTGGTTATTTCCACTCGGTAGTTAACTGACCTGTTGGTATCCTTTTGCAGAGATTCCACATGAGATTACAGTTTACACGGGGGACGTCGCCTCAGCTGGCACAGACAGTCAGATCTCAGTCACTTTCTTTGGACGAGATGGTACATCGTCTGAAATCAAGCTTGATAAAGGGGAAGACCGGTAATATTCTGTTCATAGTTTTGATTGGTCTATCAACAAGGAAATATTTTGCTTGAAATATCAATGAAGGATTTGCCTTAGGTAAACCCATCTGCGAATTGAAATTATGTAATGTGGCAATCCTGTGAACGTTCCTTGTTCAGTTCCTGTTTGAGGGACGAAGAATGATTTTTCTTCGTATCAGTTTTTCATTTAGATGAATTGGTATTTGGAACTTGTTTAACGTAAGTGATTTCAGAATTAAGGTGCCTAGTAGCCATCCCATTTTTTTATTTGAGAACCATTTTCCAATTACCTCTTTTTCATAATCGTGCGTTTAGTAAATTACGCACTCCCTCACCCACCCTTCACTTTATTCAACTTTCAGCCCCTGACAGTTTTGCACCCACAGAACTTTCGTTAACGTTTTTGTCCAACCAAATATTGAGAATTACATCATCTCCTCACATTGCTTAATTCTCCTACTTTTGGCTGTCATTTTCTTGAAGAAAAACTTCAACTGCCTACTCATCATTATGTATTGAAAACATTTTCTGCGAAAATGCCCTGCTTATCAAAATATCAACATTAAAAAAGGCGAACCTTTTTCCAGTTTTGAGCGTGCTGCAATCGACATCATCAAATTGGAAATTGAAGATATTGGAACTCCAACGAAGATCAGAGTTGCATTGGATGGGAAAGGAAGTCGACCAAGTTGGTTCCTGGAAAGGGTATGTCGAAATGCCTCAGTATAGCAAATTGCAAGAAATACCACAAAGGTAGCAGATCACCTGATGCCTTAGAAAATGGCAGATACCATAAGATAATTTGGTGATATCAGATAACAAGAGATAATTTATAAATTAATTGAAAATCACGAGGTTCGTAATAACTATAAAATACCGCTAGGTACCTCATGTATACAAGCTCAACAAGGCACAGGCCCGTATAATGAAACATCCAAGCTTACAATGATATCTACAACTGTTGCCAACACAGTTTGTCAGGTCCAGACTCATTTGGTTCAGAAACTCTACTGAATGAGTGGAAGACGTGTTTAGTTGCAAAGTATGGGGCATTTGGACATAATGATTGCAAAATACTGTACACGTAAGGTGTGTCCCAATCTTGGGCACCGCCGATGAGGTGAAGGCCTAAGCAGATAAGACGGATATCATGCACGCACGTAAATTGCAATCCCTTACTCACTCTTCCGTTCAAAATGATAAACATTGACCTGGGGAGCGGATGCATGATCTTATCTCCGTCTTCTCTGTATTGTAGGGTATTTTCAAACCCATATAGTGTCCTCGCAAGTAGAAATACCATAAAAATTTTGTTTAGCAATCACAAGCAGCTTTTGACTTCAGACCACTTGAAACTTTCATTTGAAACAAGAAAACAGACTTCTTTGCAAAAATAGGTACTAACAGATTTGATTTGAGACGTTTGTTTTGGATTTTTAGATTCTGATGCGAAACCTGTTGTCTGATAAAGTAGCAGTCTTTAAATGCAACCAGTGGCTTTCGAAGTCTCATGAAGATGGTATGTTGGTGCGCGAGCTCCCTGCCGAAATCGAAGGAAAGAAAGTCACAGAGGGTAGGTTAATGGTTTTGATAGAATCTTGTAAAAACAAACTTTGGAGCTTTTAAAATTTAATTATGTTTTGAAGAAATGAATCATAAGAAAGGAAAACGGAAAAAGTTGTATTTATGGTACATTAGGAAGAGTTACCAAACTGAATGGATTTGTTTCCGTGTCTGTCAACTTTTATGTTTAATTGAAGGCTTATGTTGACTACAAGCTTGTAATTCTCCAAAAAAATGAATTTCAAATAGTTTTTCACTGTTTTTCAAAGGATTTGAAAAATATTCATCCGCTTTGAAAGAACAATTTCAATTGCCAGTTCCATCGGCCAGCCATGATGGCTTAGAATCTTCTAAAATACTTTTGAATAAATTATGTATTACCACTTGAGGGATTGGAAACCTTTGCAAGTAGGCCATTTTTATCAACTGCTGATGAAGACAGTGGTAAAGCTTATCGAACTTCTTTCTAGAAACATCGTACAAAATCACTGTTGAAACAGGTGATGTCCGGAGTGCTGGCACCGACGCCAACGTCTTTTTGGTCATTTTTGGTAACAAAGGTGATTCTGGCGAGCTAGCTTTGAAGAATTCTGAAACAAATCGCGATAAATTTGAGAGAGGACAAACCGATATATTCACCTTCAAAATGCTGAGCTTAGGTAAGAACTCGTTGTATTTTTGTTTCCCCCCACTCCTAAATATCCACGCCTGACACCGTTCCTTTCTACAATTGTTATTGTTCCGATGTTTTATAGTATGTTTCTTTAACTCTTTACAATGTCCATTTGATAATGCTGGATAGCTTTTCAAAAACTTTGATGGTTATTCAGTGTACAATCTTCCAATTACAGTTGGTAATTGAGTTTCATTACTTTTTCCGTTCCAACCAATGTCATTCTAGGTCTGATTGCCCTGTGTTTCCAGTGAAATGTCCCTTTTTCCAGTGAAGTTTATTTGGTTTAATATACCAAATTTTGCTTGTACCCAATGTGATCATGTTCCCATTACATTCGCAGGCCAGTTGCTGAAAATTCGTATCTGGCATGACAACAAATTCCTTAGATCGGCATGGTTCCTCAAGCAGGTCAAGATCGAAGATGCAAATGACAACAAAGTATACGAGTTTCCATGTGACAGGTGGCTTGCAAAGAACGAAGACGATGGTAGCCTTGTTCGTGAGCTGCCATGCTCAAACTTACAGCAGGAAGTCGAGGCCTCAAACTCGATTGCAGGTATGCTTTTTAGAAATTGCCATTTTGTATTTATAAATATACGAATTACAACAAATTGTTAGGTATGTGTTCAAGTGTCTGTAACGAAAATTCTTAGTATGCTATCAGATAAATATCGAACCTGAAATGATATATCAAGTTAGTGCAGGGTTTTAATACAGTGTTAGCTGATACATCGATTTATAAGATGCATGTCGGATTAAAAAAATGCATTACATAGAAAAGTGCAAGAGCTCTAAGATTTATTTTTGATTTTTATAGATTTTTCCATAAAGATATACAGGATACCTATTGTTTTGGTCAAGTGGGAATATAACGTCCAGTATTTGCGTATTTGATAGACTGAAACAGCCGCATTTTTTTCTTTCCATATTTGTAACAAAAAGTGGCATTGCTGCTCATGATTTTTCCTTTTCAATCTTCTTTAGCGTATGAAGTAACATTTGTGACATCAGACAAGCAAGGTGCCGGAACGAACCATAACGCTTGGCTAATATTCACTGATGAAACTGGGGAGCGGTCCAAAGAAATCATTGTTGAAAATAAAGCAAAGCAGAAGCTTTTTAGTCGTGGTGAAACGAACACTGTCAAGGTTGTGTCTGCTCCATTGAAGGCACTGAAGACATTGGTTGTAGGACATCGATACAGGAAGGGGGCAACGCTGAAAAAGAGTACAAGCGAAGAGAGATGGCACCTGCATGAAGTCACTGTGAAGGATATCCAAACCGAGGATAGGTTGGTCCAAAGTCAATTGTTATTCTCAACACAGGGACAAAATGTACCCTCAAAACTGGGACAAAATGTACCCCTCTCCCTCAGTACCCCCTCTCCCTCAGTATCCCCTCTCCCTCAGTATCCCCTCTTCCTCAGTATCCCCTCTCTTTCAGTATCCCCTCTCTAAGTATCCCCTCTTCCTCAGTATCCCCTCTCTTTCAGTATCCCCTCTCTAAGTATCCCCTCTCCCTCAGTATCCCCTCTCCCTCAGTATCCCCTCTCTCAGTATCCCCTCTCTCAGTATCCCCTCGCCTCTCCCCTTCCCATCATGCCATTTCCTCTCATTTCTTTCCCCCCTCTGTTTTATTCAAATCATTCCATTTTTTATCTTTTTTTTCTCTCTATCCTTTAGTTCTCTCTTATTCTTTCTTACCGTTGCTTAATTTTGTTAGAATGCTTGAACATTTAATTTGTCCTTTTGGTTGCGGCATCTTACCTGTTTAAGTAACACCCCAAATGTTTTTCACCTTGAGTTGGAGTAGTATTTTGAATGTACCTTGGTATCAGTGTAAAAAGACGAGTGACTGCAAAAGGAAAATACATCTAGACTAGTCAAAAAATGTTTAAAAAGAAAAGTGACGAATGACCTCCAAAAAACTTTTTTATCTATCCAGTTCTGCTTCCTTTCTAAATTAGACAAAGTACAAAATTTCGGCTACATTGCATGTTTACCCACTTTTATATAAATTTCCAGCTTCACATTCACATGCAAGCAATGGATCGAACCTTCGCATGGGAAAGATGGTTCTGTCAAGCTTCAGTGTAGCTCGGTAGACAAATCGAAACTACGGAAGAGTTTAGGTTTGTTCAATTTTGCATTAGTTTTCTTGATTCATCAATGTGCATTTTGGAGTTCTTATTCTTTGTCTTAGGTTCCAAGGGCCCTTACTTTCTGTGAAATAAATCACTCTCAATGACGAGTATTAGGTCATAATTTTTCTCGACAAAAATCCTTGTGTTGCTCAACTACTTTTTTCTCATCGAAATCATGTACACCTCATTCTGATCAGCTCTACAACTTTTTGCCTTTACGATACAACCGTTTTTTATCGTGTTACCTATATGTATATAACGTGATTTTGTAAACCATAATAGGATTGTGTCGCTGACAATATATCTATAAAAGCGTAACTGCTTTGCCCACACTTAGTTAATACGAAAGTAGCAAAGAAAATTTTTTTAAAGACCCTCTTATTGATGGTCGTAATACGTTCAATCGTCATAAGAATAGCAGTCTTGTGTAGCATTTGTTGTGAATTTTTATAGAACTGAAACCAATCCAGTACGAAGTCAAAGTGTACACAGGAGACGTATCAAGCGCGGGGACTGATGCCAACGTGTCCATTAATATCTTTGGAGAAAACGGGGATACAGGCAAGAGACAGTTGACAAAGAAATTCAGAGATTTGTTCGAAAGAAACCAAGTTGATGACTTCAAGATAGAAGCGCTCGACTTAGGCCAGCTTACAAAACTTCACATTGAGCACGATAACAAAGGATTTGGAGCTGGTTGGTTCCTAGACAAGGTTGTTGTGACGAATACTTCCACCGGCACGACAGTAGAGTTTCCATGTTCCCAGTGGCTTGACAAGAAGAAAGGTGACAAACAGATCGCAAGAGACCTACTTCCATCATCAACATGATAATGTACAGCCTCCATCTGACTCAAATTGGTAGCCTCTATCTGATAGCGATTGTCTGCTGCCTTTTCTGACTAAAGTCTTTCTGTTATACCCTTCAAATCGTTTATTGGAAAGCAACCCTTATTTGAAAGTACTTGTCGATTTAAGTTATGTCTTTGGAAACTTTTGCCCTTTAAAACAATGTAAATACTCCAAAACTTTTAGTAGATTCATGGGGACTTGGTATCGTAGCTTTAATATACTGTTTCTTTTTTATTTAGAGTAATTTTTAATTCATTTAATCATTATGTTATCTATCTGCTGTATTTATCTTTGGTTCCTATCCGTCAAGATATGTACGAAAAATATTTCAAACTACAAGATCCCAACCGCGACTAACTTGCATTGCAAGATTGTCTTAAAGATTTTTTTATCTCAAAGTTATATTCGAATAATCATCGCCTTACCAATGATACTGTAATCTATTCAATTTTTTAAACAACAAAGAATGTCAGTAGAATTGTTGACCGATTCTTAAGATCGTCGAGAGATTTCTTAATCAGGAAGAAATAATTTTTGATGAAAAGTTCAGTAGGTCACATTAGCTGTACAATCCGTTGAAGACGCTAATCTATAATAAGCACCCCCCCCCCCTCACCCCAACCATCCCTCTCCTTCAAAGGGCTAGATTAAGGCGCTTGTAACCCTTTTAGGAACTGCCAGTCAGTGGAATGGTGGCTGCTCCCCGCGACAGTTAATGCACAACAAGGTATTCAAAATGTATCGATTTTATGAAATAGTATGCACCATCTTATAAGTTTGATATTTACAAAACTCTATGGTAAGATCAGATTTCGGGGTGTAATGTAGTATTCTGTGTATATCGTAAATTATCAACTTGTTGTTAACGGAAATTATCAAGAGTCTCTTTCGCTTTGGTTTATAATAATCACCTTGATAATCCTTATAAGTACCCCCCTTAGAGGGGGGAATAACTTGCAACTAGCCTCCTACCCTTGAAAGTCTAGGTTCTACCTAGCCTAAAGAATGCACAAGTAGTTTCGAGCCTTGCCCACCAAAAAGAACCAGCTCTGGCAATTTTATACACACAAAAAATTGAAAAGATGCTATATCGTTATTGCTACCATGAATACGAAAGCAGTGTGCTTTGTGAATCAAGCAAGAACCTTTTTTCGTCTTTGGTTAAAGGATAAACAAAGCTAAACTTTATCTTTCTAGTATTTAGAGTTTTTCCTTGTATTTGTAAATTCAAATTAATAGTAAAGATAGTTACGTACTTACGGACTTCCGCTTTCATGGGTTTTTCTTGGTAAAATGACTTAATAGTTTCAATTTCAAAAAAAGGAATTTTCAATTTTAAACCCCGCTGTAAAACGATAACTGGTGTCTAAACACGTCGAACTTAACTCTATTTATAGAAGTTAAGGCTGGATAACAACTTAATTCAACATCGTGAAAATTTCCCCCTCAATTTCGAAAGCAAACGATTTCAAAAAAGCCAAAAACCAGTTCTCGGCTATAGCCCTTGTTTGAGTTCGAGGTTTTCCTTTGCGTGACGTCACAGTGTGTGTCGCCGCTGTAGGAAGAGGATATTCGAAGGATTGTTTGCCTGCGATTTAGTAAGGGTAGAACTCTATTTCCTAGGTTAAAGCAACAATAATTTCACATAAAGGAATTGAAAAAGGTGAGGCTTTTGTTCTTTGTTCATTTGGGGCCTATTACATGGAAAAATATAACGCCTTACATTTGACTCACTGTAGTCATAAAGCGGCCAAGGCCTAGCCCAAGTGATGTGAGCAATTCAATTTGAAATAACATACTGCAAAATCGTGATTGGAAATCTGTGTTTACAGCTTAATTTGCTTTTGCTTTGGCTGGTTTACTGTGTTTTTTAGTAACGCCATTATTTGTTGTAATCGATGTATCTACCTAAGCATTAGCGCCATCAGCAGTTATCACGTCCACATCCACAAACAAGTTTTCAAGCAAGAAGCAAGCATTCTGTACAAATATTCTTGTTTTCCATTGATTAATTTCACTATTTTTTAAATCACATGTTACTGAAGACTTCAGCCTTCTGAGATTAAATGCATTTTGGATTGTATTCAAAATCGAATAAAATCTTCTAAAGCTATGTCCAGGGGTGCCTACCCTGGAGGGGCTGCAGGGGCAGCTGCCCCTCCTGCCCTCGCCCAGAAGGGGCTGTGGATCAAGCAGTATCCTGAAATATTCACTCTTAAGAAAAAATTATAGAATCTTGTAGATGAATGATGACTGGTTTAGCCACTCTCAATGTGTTAATATCCATTAGAAATGCAAAAAATAGAAAAATATTCCTTTTCGCTGTAGATCTTTGATAATGGGAAATTCTTTTACAAAAGACTACAATAAACTTCAAAAACTATTTTGCCCATCAGCCATCATCAGGGCAAGATTATTTTGCCCATCTGCAACCATGCAGTATTGAGGCTAAGAAAACAATCAAAGTCTTGCCCATTTAAAAATGCCATGATTTTGTTAAAAAGAAAATTCCGTAAAACCATAATGACGAGGCCATTTAATACCTATTTGCAGGGAGAATTTTGTCAACATTATGCCTATGTTTAGAGCCCTTGATTGAAAAAATCCCAGCTGTATGGGTGGAAGAGATCCATGACAATATTTTTTTCACCCTCCCTTCACAAATAATTTATTGTGGTAGTGGAACAAATTCTACTATTTGCCCCCAGCACCAGCACTGCCCCTCCTGCCTTAATCTTGTGCAGACCCCCCTGGCTATGTCCTTCAAGCCTCCAAGTTTGAATCTCAGAACAAAAGTTGGTGTTGTAAGGACGGCAATGATCCCTTATATCAGCATCAACAGATAGCATACAACCTAAACTGAGTTGAAAAGAAAAAAGGGAGAGGTATTGAGGTGGCACTGTGCTAATATTTCAATGTTATATGCTATCACTGCTTTTCATTTAGCCTTATAACTGATTCATTTAGTATGAATATCTTGCTTATTCTCTTAAAGTAAAAATAGAATGAACCTTCAACCAACCAGTAAACCTTCACTTCTTAACATATAGATCATGTTGAAGAAGTGAATATTGTGTAAGTACACATCTCACTGAGACCCAAGCTACACAATACAGGCCTTTCCATGAGTATTTTAGTGGGCGCATGCTCAAACGCGCGCGTTTTACCAAAAAATATATTACGTTAAAGTAGGCAAAAACGGCATGTTTTCGCATGTGAATACTCTGTATCCAGAAATCTCTAAACAAACTACTTGATTGAGCATTAAAAGGAAAAAAACACATTATTGATGTAGTTTGTCAATGTCCAGCTCAAATTCCGACGAAGAATCGGAGTCAGAAGAATTGGAAGAATCAACATCAACAACTGTGGGTTCAATAGTCCACTTGCTTACAAAATTTGTTCCATTGACTTACGATTCAATTGCTTTCCTGGCACTTCCTTTACAAAGAGAATTTGATAAAATAACATGTTTGTGTTTTGAGCAAAGTTTACACCAAATCGAAACCACCATTGTCTTCCCTTTCCTTTCTTTGGTCTTTTATCTGATAACTTCGTCCTTGCGATACTTGCGAAAAGTAGATAGTCTGTCTCCATGCAAAATGAAAAAATGAATTAGTAAAGTTGTGTGACTGTGTTGAAATCCAATTATAATAACTACTCAAAACCAAACCACAAGGAGCACGATTTAAAGGGTTCCTATAAACCAGGCGCGTGATTTATTTTATGTCTCGGCAACAACACAAGCGCGCCAAGGCCCGTGAGCGTGATCATGCGCCTTAAACAGAGAGGCCTGACAATACCAGACTCATTCCAGTAACAGGACACCAGATTATGACAATTTTACTTATTGAGTATTGACTTCAGTTACAGGACACTTCTTTGCTAAAAAGTGTGAAGGCAAAACACAATGTTTGGAAGCTGCAAAGTCCTTTTTCCTTGCCTCATTTTGTTCAACAAACTGTTGTATTTTGGGCTAATAGTCAGAGTCTTAGCAAAGGATATTGTAAAACACAATGCAGAATGTTGAATAAGATTTCAGAATTTTTTGCAAATAAACAAATTCAGAATAGAGTTGCTGTCAGAGATACTAGAAACATGATGCCCATTGCACTTCTAAGGGGAGATTATAATGAAAAGGATGAAGTTATAGAATGCAAATTTTTTGGCATGGTTTTGGAAAGGTATCCAAGTGATCTCTATGGATATGTCCCAAAAGGAATGCTTCTTTTTCCAAGTCTCCTTTGGAGGCAACTACACCAGTTGGAATATGGAGTGGAGTGGCTGCATTCCTCCTTAACAGTAAAGCACTTTTACTTAAACACTTACGGCTGCAGGGGATTACATTGTATTGTAACTGCACCCTTTTTCAATTTGAAAAGTAATCTGGTGTGATTTTTATCTGATATAAAGGAACTGGGGCCTCAGCCAAATTGCAAAGCACCAATCTTAATTATTTTTTTTTGTGTTTGTAGATATTTTTGAGATATTTTCAAAATGGTTGGAATGGACGATAAACACCGTAGTTTGTTGAGAGCAAGCAGAATGGACTTAGTCAGAGACATGGATGGTGAAAGAATTGCATCTTACCTTTATTCATATGAAATTTTCAGTGAAGAAGACAGAGAACTAGTTAATGCCGAGTCTACTCCACAGAGAAAAAATGAGAAATTACTTGATATTTTGCCAAAACGTGGTGCAAATGCCTTCAAAGTATTTTGTGATATTTTGAAAGAGTTGAAGATGTTCCATCTGGAGATCTTGCTTAGAAATGAAGACAAGTCATCAGAACTTGTGAGTAAAGGAGTAGATGTAGAGGACAGAGGGTTCCCAGGTATGTTCTTATTTGTTTTCAGTATTTCACTGAGGTGGAAGTTCACTTAGTACTTAATGCTGCAACATCACTTTAGAGTATGATTTAGAGGCTGTATGCTTCTTCAACCAAGTGCAACATGGAAGCTGCATAGTCTTGGTCATTCTATATCCTCAGGTGTAATGATGAGTATGTTGATACAACATTGGTCTGAGCTATGTGGATACACCTGATCAATGATATTCAAGATTAGAGAACTGAGCAGAATGGATTAAATCCTGTAACCACTTGAATTAACAGAGAGCCAAATGAATACAATAAGCAGCGAAAATAACGAGATAATCTACAGATCATACAAAATTTTCGAACACGATGTAGTATTGCATATTCATAATAAATGCCTGGTAAAAATATAATGATAAATGTAGAATCATTGGTGCCTAAAAAGCCTGCCCTTGAACCTAAAGCCTCTATACCTTGCTCTAAAGTGACCTTTGGAACAGTGAGTGCTGAGAGCACCTCCTTTAGAAAAAACTCCTGTCATTAGATGCAGTTTATAGTTTTTTCCAGAACAAATTCATCCTTTTTTTAAGACCCAAAAGCAAACTTTATGCTGCAAACAAATTCATTTGTTGCCTTTCTTCAATATTTTTATTTTGTTATATGTTAAGTACTATTTAACTATTTTGTATTGGAATGTATTTTCTCGTAGATCAAAAGTCAGAAACTGTGCAAAACAGCAACTCAGGAAAAACTTCGGCAACAGAATCTGATGAGAAAGAGTCAGAAGCAGATGGCCGACCAATGGGAGAAGGTATGTTCAGTCTAAAGCTACTTAATTTGGCTATAGAACTGTTATGCATAGGGGGAGGTGCAAATGTCTGTACTACTGTAAGTCTTCAAATTGGCCTACATCTCATTTAAGCCCCCCCCCCCCTCAAATATTTAATAAACCCTCACCTTTGTATAACCCCCCACCTTAACATGCAAATTTTTGCGTTTTAATAAGCCCCTGTCACGGCTTTATCATGATCCAACAGAAGGATGCATCATTTTAGTCCATGACTGATGTCACAATCTGTACTGAATACAAAAACCTAAAATAAACAAGACATTGATGAAGAGAATGCTGAAGACAATGAAATAGGAAATTTTGGGCTAAAACATGTTTTTTGCTTTGATTTTCCTTTGGTATTTTTTTCTTATAAGGAGTTGTTAATTTGCAAATGAACTGAACTAGTAATATTTTTCTCAGGGTCAGATCAAAGAGATGGAAGATTTTTTGGGAAATCAGACAAAAAGGATACTGCACCACAACCAATTCAGCGCTTACCATCTTTGAAAGGAATTGAGTATCAGCCTGATTCTGATAGCTTTTATTCAATGGATAAGTATCCCAGAGGTTTATTCTTGCTTTTAAACAATAAAGAATTCTTGCCCGCCTCTGGTATGGAAAGCTATCCTCGCAATGGCACTAATGTTGATGCCGATGCCCTTGAGTCTTTATTCACAGAGCTGGGATTTATTGTACATCGTTATAATAACATATCTTGCTATGAAATGCGAAAGCTTTGCAAGCAGGCTTCTCTCATGGACTACAGCAATCTTAATTGCTTTTCTTGTGCTATACTCAGTCATGGACAAGAGGGTGTTGTTTATGGAACTGATGGTGTTGTTGATATCAGAGAACTGACTGGGTATTTCAGAGGACAAAATCTTATTGGTAAACCCAAGATGTTTCTTTTTCAGGCTTGTCAAGGTAGGGAATTCTAGCTATTTTTTGGTAGCTTTTCTCTTTAAAGGATTGTATCATATCTAATATTTGAAGCTAGCACAGAAAAGCTGATGCCATATCATCTTTTCATTTAGGTGTTTTGAAATCGGTCTTCATCAAAACAAAAGACTTATAAGTTCATAAATGAAGACAGAAAGAGTTCGATTTCTGTTGGACTCTTCAACTAGGTAAAACGTTTGCGGCCACATATTTGTCAAAAACAAAACTCTATATAAAACTCTATAAATAGTTCCTAGCCTAGAGTTATAAATCTATTTTTTGGCGTTTTATACTATGAAGAGTGTCAGACAAAAAGCTTTGTTTCAAAATGTTTGCTTTCTTCAAAGCAATTTATATACATATTTATATATACCATTCAATTTCTGGCCTAAATTTCTTATGGTATCAAATATTTGCAAGCTCATCATATGTTTTACCAAACCATACTTCCCATTATAAGTCACAATTTAATAAGTAAGGCATTCTCTTCATGATTTATCCTTTGAAGTTCAAATCAATAGGCGGATTTATCCTTTGAAGTAATGTTTTTGTAATTGAAGTAAAATTTTCTTGGCACAAAGAAATCTAAAGGATTTATTGTACATTTCCTGCACTGCATTTGGATTAGGACTATGTCCTTGACACAGTCAAAGTTATGCAAACATATCCATCAGAAATATTTTAATGCCTGATTTTGCTTGATTATTCTTAATAAAACATTTTAAAAATGAGATCTTTAAAAAATTTAAAAAAAAATTTTCATTTTCATAAATGGATTTCTTTTCGTCCACCAGGCTCAGATTATATGGAAGGCCTTGATGCGACTGATGGCCCTGCTAATGACCGAACAAATGACATATCTCTTCCCGTCGAATCAGATTTTGTTTATGCCTATTCAACGGTTCCTGGTTATTATTCTTGGAGAAATTCTCAAAGAGGATCTTGGTAGGTTTTGTAATTTTCTTCTCAATTAAAAAAATATGCTTATTAACCGACTGTTTGACCTTTTCATCTTCCTTATCCCACTGTCTCTCTTTTTATGAGTTCTTGATGAAGCAACCGAGATCTTTAGGAGTTGTAAGGAGCCAGAATGACCACGTGCTCAATAACCAAATATTGTCTGAGAGGTCATTTGTGGTGCACACAGTAAATGGGCTAACTCTTCAGCTCCCAATTGATTTGCTACAGTTGGCTCTTTTACGGATTCATTCAAAGATTTAATTAATTCAAGGGTCACTGCATGGAGCATCTAGTTCTCTAGCTTATAGGTGAGTTCTGCCATCCATACTTTTGCAATTACCGGCTACTTTTCTAGATTACCCCTTGAAAGTTTATTTTTGTTCCCTGTTCTTGTTTCAGGTTTATTCAAGCCATTGTTGAAGTATTCCGTGCCAATGCCCACAAAATGGATGTGCTAAGAATGCTGACTCGTGCAAATGCGATTGTTGCCACAAAGAAATCAGCCACCGGACAGAGAATGTCAAACAACAAGAGACAGATTGCCTCCATTGTTACTCAGCTGCGAAAGGAGTTCTTCATGTTTCCCCCACAAGGCCCACTGAAAAGCTATTCGTCATGATAGCTGCTGGGAATTCTTTTTATATGGGTATCGTGACTTGATTATTGGTACCTAAATACTGTTGCCTAGCTACAGTCTCCTAGAAACTGTTACCTATATACTGTTATATTTCTAACAAAGATAAGATTTGGAATCTGTTTTCTACATATTTGTTCATTTAGCTTACACAAATCTTAACAAAGATCAAACTAATTACCATTACCAAAATCTTGTTTGAACCGCAGTTGCATCACGTACCACTTATGCATAAATGCAGATTGTTATAGTTTATTTAGAGCAATAATATGAACACTGTTTGATAGAAAAGCCAATTGACAGATTCTGAAGTCTTCTGTCAATTACCTATTAGCCAACCAATAAGCGTATTGTGGTATCACGCTCACTGATTGGCAAATAGTTAATTGACAGATTTTTTTAATTTGATGATTGACATTTATTGATTTCTACTTTAGTATCTGTCATTACGTTTAAATTCTCTTTGGCAGTGTAAGACATCATCACAACGAATAAAGTTCCATTGTCACCACTATTCTGTTGCACCAATCCATGTAACATAAGTCTATTATTCAAATAACAATCTCCAAGCCACAATTTTGTTATCTTTAAACGCATGATGTTCTTTGTAGCCCTCTCTCCTACTGAAGAATGGGGCATTTTGATTGCACCAGGCAGTAAAATTAAATTTCAACGTTCGTGCGAGTTTCCATTGTTTGAATGTTTCTTAGTTTAAGTCAAATATCTTTATCTTTAGATTTTTGTGATTTGAAAATTCTTTGCATCCCTGTTGTCAACTGATTGTTTACAAGTTTTCTTACGAGATGTCGTAATTCCGTTCGAAGATTCATTCCATGTTTCACCAAAACATTTTCAGTCTGAGCTTGTCCACAAAGGCTCATTGTTAGTGCATGTTGCAGTGTGCATTTGCTTTAAATCTTTAAATCTTTCTCACAACTATTTCACGCTGTGTCCTAGATAACACTATTGATTCAGTATTCATAGAAGATATAGTGAATTTTGAATTCCAAAAGAAGTGAATCTTTCATAGACTAAATATTTAGCACAATATTTCTCAAAATTAAATTTGAATGCTTTACTTAAATACGCTGCAATAACGTATTTCGAGGCCTGGGCACAAGTACTCAAGTCTAAGAATAGCACAATAGCTATTTCGGAGTTGGGGGACCATTTTAACCATTTTCAGCTTATCAAAATTGTATTGGTTTATCAAGTTTTGTTGTTGTATAGTTAAGGGTAAGGACTTGGAACAAGTATCCCTTTCTAAAAATAGCACAAGGGGTATTTTGGCGGTAGGGGACCACTCTACCCATCTTTAGTCTGTAAAATTGTGTTGGTTTACCAAATTTCCTGTGTGTATAGCTAACAAGAATGAATTTACCACTGCAACGTCTTTTTAGTACTGGGTACAAGTACCCCTTTCTAAAAAAAAGCAAAATGGGACCTTTTCAAGAAGGGGTCTATATTCTGTCCTGTTATGCATACTAAATTGTGTATTTTCACAAAGTTCCATGCTTTCACCACAATCTTCACGATTGTTACTTGTCTTGATTGCTACCTGTCTTGATAATTATCAACCTTACTGGATGCCTCTTCTCATATATTTGGTGGGAACCGTGAAGGCATGTATAAACCTGTACTGAGCATTGTTTTTTTTTTAATTTATTTCAGTTGCAGAATTTCCTCTGCAATGAATCAGTTATTGAAGTAAAACTGGATTCATTATCGGCAAAGAAATACATTGTGAGTTTTTGCTTATTTAGCGTGATTTTTATTCATTTTCCTTTGTTTGCAAGATTTTATATTTTTTCAATTAAGGAACACTTGGTAAAAAGTGATTTGCTAAATGAACAAAAGTGCGTAAATTATTATCAAGCCAGTTCGTTAAATCCTCTCGAAGTACTCCCGGCTTATTTGAAACTCTCTATGTATACATTCAAAATCAGCCACTAAAGATGTTCTAAAATGTGTGCCTTCCGTTTATTTGGATGGTACCGATTGACTTCGACATCATCCATGAAATATTAACAAACCTCTTTTTGAAAACGAGATAATGGCGGCAAATCTTGAAGAAGGAAGGACGACAAGAGGAGGAAAACACATTAAATTTACTCTTTGCATGGCGGATCTATTAATCAGACGAACGAAGATTGGAATTTGTTGTGTATTTTTAGAACAATGGCTGTAATATCTCCTGTTGCATTTTATAAAACATCAAACAGTGCCAAAGTTTGTGATGAGACATCGCGGAAAGTTGAGTTAGGATTCTATCAAAAACTAAGAGAAGTTCAAAATCGAGCAAAGCTTTACAAAGATCGCCCTCTTGTGTCATTAGAGAAGAAAAGTTTTTTTACTTCGCACAAAGTTTTTGAAACTTTTGGCACACTGAATCAAGCTGTGGATTTCTGCTTACATTGTAGAGAAAAGATCAATAAGGACGTGAGACTATTTTCTCAAGAAAAATCAGACGATGGAAAACGGAACTTTCTTGTTTCAGATCCTAACGAGTTTTGGAGTAGATATAAAACACTGAGCGACGATCGAAGGAATTTCTATGAAGTTATTGAGGATGGAAGACCTTGTCGTTTGTATTTCGACTTGGAATTTTACAAAGACCCAAACCCTGATTTGATCGGAATTGAAGTTTTGGAAATATTCATTAAAACTATTTGTTTTTACCTCCAGGAGCTGTTCTCCATTTCTTGCTACAGAGGAAATATCATTGACCTTGACTCTACTACTGACAAAAAGTTTTCAAGACATCTCATTTTCCATTTGCCCAGTGCAGTCTTTTTGAGCAATATCTCATGTGGAAATTTTATCAAATATGTTTATGAAATGACAAGACGAAAAGTCATAGAGAGAGGAAATGAAATGTTTAGTGAGCTGAAATTGATGATGATCACAGAGAAGGAAATATTACCACCCCTTGCACTGGAGGTTGACAAGCTTTTTGTCAATAATAAAGATGGCAATAAAACATATTTCTGTGACCTTGGTGTTTATTCAAAGAACAGAAACTTTCGATTGTATGGATCAACAAAGTTTGGAAAGAAATCAAATTTGGTCATTGCCAAGGAAAATGGCTTTCATGGAGTTTCAAAGAAAACTGCAAAAGTCAACAAGGCCATGATTGACCATGAGTATGTCTTCTTTTTGGACACTTTGGTGTGCCCGCCAGAGATTGTTGATCACAATACACAAGTTCTTACCTTTGGAGAAACAGAGGCATTACCTGGTCACAAAAGTGATTACAACAGAACAGGTACAATTTTGTCATTTTCAATACTATTCTATGAATTGCTTTGTAATCTATTTGCAATTCAGATGATAATGTAATTTACCTTAATGATCATAATTAAACTGGGTTTGCTTATTGGTATTAATGTTTTGAAACCTTGTGGAGTTTCTTAGGACACATAACCAGCTTCTTGACTTGCACAGTTGTTCTTTTGTAGTCATATGTTAATTCCTTGGTCTGTTCACCCAAGACTATTTTGTTCACCAACACATTATAGTTTGACAGTTGCAAAGCTGTGGTATTTTTAATGCATTTCTGCAAGTGAATATGAGCATGGGCTGATATGATATGTTTTTTTATTCAGGTTTCAATTTCAAGCTCTCTTGACCTTCGAAGGCTGACACACCAGATTACAAGTTGTGTTGACTTACTATAATTGTCTGTTCTTATTGAGAAATGCACTCATTAGATGTTGTTAGATATTATTAACTCTCCATTTATTTAGCCATATCACTTAAGATATAACTTGGGTCACTAGATAAATATTTCCTGCAAGATCTCTCTCCATAATATTTAGCCATATTACTTACAGCCTTGCTCTTGCTCTTCTTTATTACAGCTCCTGAAACTTGCCTTTACACTGTGCTTATCCATCTCTTTGTTGTCATTGCAACTGGTACCATCCCTCCAGGACAATGTCCTAATATGATCCAAAAAACTGTGCAAGAGCAGCCTTCACCATCATCTCTTTTTTTCTGCCTACCAATTTGTTAGTTGTAAATCATGTTTCGATTGACATGGCAGTCATTTATTTGCATTTTGACATTCTCCAATCTATGAGGTAGACCAGAGAACTTTTCATGCATTCTCAAAAGTTACAGACTTTAATTTTTGGAATAATATTCTCTAATTTTCCTACAGGAATGGCTATCAAAACTGAAGAGGGGTACAAAGAATCACCATTTCCAAAGCTTGATGCATTTATACTGAATAATGTTAAACAGGGAGGAATTCAGGGGATAATAAGGAAATGGGTGCATTTTGTCAACTCAAACTTGATGATTTACGATATTGGTAGAAACAGATGGTGCCACAATGTAAAAAGAGCTCATAAAAGCAATCACATATATTATGTTGTTGATATGAAGTATGGTGTGTTTTATCAGAAATGTCATGACCCAGAGTGTCAGGATTTTAAATCTGCTGAAATGACACTGCCTACTGAGGTGAACCCTGCATGTAATGACAGTGAATATTTCATTGATGAATTTGAAGACAGTTCTCAGTTACTTTATGAAGCAGCAGAAGTGGCTGAATGTGAACAGTCCTTCAATGCATTTGATGATGGGACTGGATTCTTTTGTGATGATTTCCAGATTTCAGAAAGTGAAGCTGAAAAATTAACTGACCTTTCAAACTGGGGATCTTGCAGGAAAGTTGAAGAAAGGGATTTTCAGACTGACAACATTATTTTGACTGATAACAGAATGTTATTTAAAGATGGAAATGAGAGTCTGAGAGTTCCAATGTGTGTTGAAGATTGTGGTAAAGCTGATGACCAGTTTGGAAGATGCATTGAAGGGTCTGGAGCCAAAACACCCTTATCCTGTGAGCTCTTAAACATGGAAGACGATTTTGATAGGAATGAAGGGAGTTTCGGTGCTTTTGCAGAATTCTATAGAAGTAAAGAATATGGAGCTACTGTTCATTCTTCAGCACACGGGGAAGAAATTGAAATGGGGGATTTCAAGCAACCCTTAAATTACATAGAATCTAACATAAAGGCAGATGGAAGCCAAATTAATTCATGCTTTTTAGATTTGACTGGTCAAATACAAAGAAAGGAAAGAAACTCTGACATGAAACAAATAAAACATTGTGGGTTTGCTGTGGAAAGTACTCCATTAACTTGTAAAAAGAATTGTCTTGATGACTCAATTCTCAGATGCGATTTTTCTGATATTTGTCTTGATGATGGATTGGACGATGAGTTGATGAATTTCAGCTGAATTTTACGTAAATCTTGTAGAAGATTTGATTTTGAAATTGTTTTTGTCTTTTTTGTTGGTAATTTTTTTTGTTTTATTTTTCGCTGTAATTTTTGACATATAATGTAGCGTATACTATAATTAGGTCCATATGTAACCAGAATCAGAAAAAGCTCTTTATCTTTTGCTTGACAAGAATACTGTGTGCGTTTCATTGGAACGCTTCTCTTGTGAACATACCATTGGCCTATTTAGGCGTCTCTTCAACAACCATTTGCAATCAAGGTTTGCCATGTCACTGTTTTCATCTATTGCTTGTGTCCCATCCACATCCAGAGATAATTGCGATATAATTGCGTAGTGATTTCTCCTAGCCATTTTATTACTGTCAAAGTCAGCCAATGTTTTATCGTTATAGTAAGGAAAGCTCAGGCATGGTGTATTACGAATAGCCCAGCTTTGAGATTTGTTTTGGTTTAAACACGGTTCGGATGTTTAATTTCGAACAATTTACAGAAGAAAAAGTAGGAAAAACTCAGGCATGGTGCATTACGACTGGCCCAGCTTTGAGATTTGTTTTGGTTTAAACACGATTCTGATGTTTAATTACGAACAATTCACAGAAGAAAAAGTAGGAAAAACTCAGGCATGGTGCATCGCGAATGGCCCAGCTTTGAGATTTGTTTTGGTTTAAACACGATTCGGATATATAATTACAATTTACAGAAGAAAAGTAGTCTTCAAAGTGCTGCGGGGTATTATCTTTCTATCTAAAGACATACTAGCGACGAGTATAGGGACTATTGCGCAAACATCAGAGCGAAAGCTTGCTGTGTTATGAACATTTAATGTTGCCTCATAGAGAGCAAAGGGCATTTGCATAACAACATGTTTAAATCTAGCAGTAAGAGTTGAAATTATTTGCTAAAATTGCTTCACAGGATCTTCTTTAAGTTTATTGAATATGGTAAGCCATAGGTTTGGAATTAAAATATTTAAGGAGACGTTGTGTATTGTTACATGTATAAAGAAATCCTTAATCTGAAATATCCTAAAGAAATATATTGATTTTCTCTAAGGTTAAGCGAGAGAGTTGCTGGCACTTACACAGAGATTCTGACTGGCCATTGTAAAGATGCTGAATGTGACGCCTTTGAAGTTGGAGCTTTCAGTCTCCAACGTGGTACGTTTTCCTTATTTAATACTTTGCAATGTTGTGCTTTGGTTTTTTCTCTTCTCAGCTGGTTTAAACAAAATGTTTGGATTTCAGCTGCTTCACTTTAATTCAAAACATTTACGCTTAAAAGATCAATTGTAAGAAAATGAGGGGCTATTTCCCGCTCGAAAATTAGAAAGTGCTCCACGCTTATTGGAAAGCATCTTTGTTTTTGGGTGTAGGCTGGCTAGTTGAGTCAGAAAAGCCTATCCTTAAAATATCTAGTAACGAGTCGCTTATAAGAAACTTGATTTAAAGGTAGTGTTTGGATAGAAGTTGTAGTTGCATGCACTTTTAAGACGACATGAATCGGTGGTTCTATGATTTGACTGGTTCAATAGTTGTTTAGACTGATACGTATGTTAAATGGTTTAGACTGAACTACAACCCCTCTTTTGTACAAGTAGCTTGTAGATTGACATAATTTAAATTCATAAATTAACCACAAATTGCATAAATATAACCACAAATTGCATAAATTAACTACGAATTTGACAACAGCAGATAACTTATTCATTTCATTCTGATATTTTTTCAATCAAATATTCATTTTCTCTTTAATAGTTAGTCTAAGAAACAGTTGAATAAAATTCATGCCTTTGACATTTATTGTATTATCCAGAAACTTTAGAAATGTGATTTAATTCCTCATAAACAATTGAATTTTGCTCTAAACTACGTAAAGACTTTTGTGATAACGTTTAACACAATTGGTTAAACCTGATAAGCATGGTTACAATATTTATTTGACTCTTTTCATGCCTCTTCTTCTCACTTTTCGAACAATGAATAGTTTTTGAGCGAGAAAACCCTTAACATAAACGAGAAACTCTCAAACATGCATCTTCATCTTCAAATAATATTGTTTTCCTTGCAGATTGAAGAACGACCCAATTCCTTTGCTCAAGGACCTTCGCTAATGCCTTTATTAAAAAGCACAAAGCTATGATGGTAGTCGCACGAGTTGCTTTCCTGGACGTGTCTGAGGTATCAAGCTTCTTTAGCTTTTTGTAGATATTCCATCATCTCTTGCTGGAAATGAGGCTATTTTTACCTTTTTCCCTTTTTAGGTTTGAATGTTCTCGTCGAAAACAAATACTCAAATTTTTGTGTTCCCCAAGCTCAATTTATGGACTGTCAAATAAGCACTGGTCTTTTGCCGTCTCTAAGTGGTTTTCAGTCATATAAACCAGGGGGCCAAATTTGACTTTAGGACTGCATACGAGGGCCGCAACTCAAAATCCAGGATAATTTTAATATATACCAACTCTAAATAGCTACTAATCTAACAATTAAAAATGCATTTATCGGTAAATGTACTGTGACTTGGAAGCAGTTCGTAAATACGAATAAATATGTAGAGTACGTGTTTACTGGTCAGTGTATTACAAGAAGCTAATGGGCAATATGGTGCTGCACGTCCTAGGCCAACTTCTCAATATTTGGCAGAATTGTTGATGTTAGCAGACGCAAGTTGCCTTCAAAGTGCTGATAAGTCGTTCGAGATTGTAGTCGACTCTTCGCAGGGGCGGATCCAGAGCAAATTTGAAGGAGGGGCAGCTGGTAGTGGGGGCGCTGAAAAATTTTCAAAAATTGGTTACGAGAGTACGCTGTATACAACAATTTCAGATACCTTTTCGGATTAAACAACATAACTTTGAGGTAACCTTGAAGCAAATTAACCTTTCGGTCCATAAACTTTTTTCATCTGATTCTCATTCTTCAAAAGGGGCGCAGAATTTCCAAAAAAGGGGCGCCAGACTTGCTTCAACTCGTTGAGGGAGGGGCAACTGCCCCTAGTTGCCCCCCCCCTTAAATCCGCCACTGACTCTTCGCATACTTCATCTTTGGGAAGAGACTTTTGCAAAGATAAGTACTTCAAAACATGCAACACATCTTCTTGGGATGCTGCACCAGACATGGATATGAACCATCATCCTGGAGATACTCTTCATAAAACTGGATGGTATCAAGTTCCCTGTATTTCCGTTTCAATTCACTGGTAACCTGCATGCAGCTCGATCAACTCCATTCAGGGTTTATTTTAAGAAAATTATATCGCTGCACATTTCTGATATAGAGGGTTCTTAAAGGCGCGGCACCTGCATTTTCATGGTAGCCACCCCCACCCCCCCCCCCAGCCCTTCAAACCCCTTCAAGGCTTAATAGAAACCCAAACGCATGCTTAATGTACAAAAATAGTTGGTTATTGTGGACATTACAATATCATTCGAAAAATCTGTGCTTTCCCTGTGCGATAATCTGTGCCAAGTCAATCTCAACTTCCTTCCTCCAATTTTTCTTTCTAAGGCTCGGAGTTTTTATTTCATCTTTCATTGACAAAAGCCCCACAAAATAAAATCAATGAAATGCTCACAATATATTTGAGCGTCGTGCGAAGTTTTTACAATTCAAATGTCCGAGATCTTTTTTGAACTGCAGTACGAGTTACAATTTTTTAGCTCAGAGGAAACAAAAAACTGGCTCAAGATAGCGAAAGTCCAAATTTAGCATAAGTCCTGATTTAACTTGAATATTTAAATGTCAAAATATTAGAATTTTCTCCAAAATCCTCCAAAATGTGCTATTGCCCATTAGCGGATAAAAGAACTATGAACATATCCTATTTTAAAAGAATTATCAACATTTTGGAAAAAGTAGGAGACATTGCCTCTTTACCCCTTTGACGCCACTGACAGTTTGAAAATTTTCCTTAAAGATTTGAACCGTTTTTAAATAAGCTTTACTTGAGAGCTTGGCTATCTTTCCTTGCTCATGGACATTTTTCTTTGATTTCTGAAGCACCCTGACAAGTTTTCGGCTTTTGCTATTCCAGCGCTCCTTTCTTTCAAATTTAAGCAAAGCCATTGAAAAAAAGAACAAGCAAATTTCACACCTATGACCTGATTTTCAAAAACAAGCCTGATTCTGAGCTACCATCGAAGGTTAAAAACCTTATTGCAAAACCAAGAATGCGACTATGTTTACTGGATTTTTCAAATGCATAAGAATATTTGGATTCACTGGAAGGGAGAACTGAAGATACTCTTTCTCCAAAGTTTTAAATGCCTTTGCTTCGAACGCTAAATTGAATGAGCCTGGATCGCCCGCTACCGAAATACTTTGAGTTGCCAGCAACATAATGCATCCGAACCTTTGAATTTACATCCTGCAATTTGATGAAAATGTCAAATGATTAAACTACACTTAATACTGTATCTATGGTTATCTACACTCTGGATCTTTGCAAGGACAATTTCGAATCTCCTTGTTTACAGTTGTTCAATGTCCTACAGAATTTCCGTCTCAGCAAGGTAAAGTTTGTGATTAATATGCTTCTTAAATTGAGTTATTTAAATTGTAATTATGTAAGTGATATTACAACATATTTAACTTATTTGCAGACAATCAACTCTGCCCGTGCCTGTGGCTGTAATTTGGGATTCAAGAGGGGCTCCAGCCACGACAAACACGTGCGATCGAACTGAAAACGACTTTAAAGCTTGCCAACGTTTTATTTGGGACATTTTTGGTACTTATGTCTATAACAAAAACTGTAGAAAACTGTGTAAACTTCTAAGTTATATAGCTTGTATTTTTAATGAATCTCTTCAGTAATTTTCTTCGTCGTTATTGAACGATCGCTCGAGGAATATGTTTACTTGTGAAAAATGCAGCTGTTCTTACACCCCCGTTGGCTTGGAGGTAAATCCCTTTCCGTGACAAACTTAAATGTTTCTTTTTTATGCAGTTTTGTTTCCCGCCAAGAACAATTTATTGATAATGTCTACTTGTAAAGGAATTTAGTTTGAAACTCTCCCGTCGGCTTGTCTAGAACCCCCTTCCCCACGTTTGATTCCTTAGTTGCATCTCTTTTTACGTTACTCCGCGTTCTTAATTATCTTTGATACATCGCAAGTTTTTATTGTATCTGCACTTACATATTAGCAAATTGACGAATTTTAGTTCACCCTTTATTTTAAGTGCATTCTCCATTGAAATCGATTCAATTTACCCCTAACTTTCATTGTGTTCTTGAGTTAAATCTATTGAATTTACCCCCGATTTTTCATTGTATTTTCGATTTTAATCTATTCAATTTACCCCCGTTTTCCATTGTATTTTCGATTTAAATCTATTCAATTTACCCCCGTTTTCCATTGTATTTTCGATTTAAATCTATTGAATGCACCCCCGATTTTCCATTGTATTTTCGATTTAAATCTATTCAATTTACCCCCGATTTTTCATTGTATTTTCGATTTTAATCTATTCAATTTACCCCCGTTTTCCATTGTATTTTCGATTTAAATCTATTCAATTTACCCCCGTTTTCCATTGTATTTTCGATTTAAATCTATTGAATTTACCCCCGTTTTCTATTGTATTTCCTAGTAGAATCTATTGAATTTACCCCCGATTTCGATTGTATTTTCGTTCTAAATCTATTGAATTTACCCCCGAACTTCTTTGTTTATAAGTCATACAACTATTGTTCAATCAAAAAAATTTGTTTGTTTTCATTGAAAATTGTCTTTGAAGTTTGACAGTGTTTCTTTTGTCTTGACTCAGAAAACCTTTGGCTATTTCTATAATAGCCTTTATAGATTTCTATAGAAATTGAAAAGATATTCCCCCGTCTTTCTATTAGAAAATTCCGTTGGCGATCTAAGGTTTTCCATTGTTCTTCCACGGCGGCCATGCCCCTAAACGATGGCTCTAAAAAGTGCGGCTAGGAGCCGCAAATGATTGACAGGTCATTGTTTTCAACCAATCAGATTGCTCCATTTGAGCCTTTTTGGTGGCTGCGGGCAAGGGCCGTCACCTACAATATAGCGAAAATTTAAGAAACAGCGGCCACTGGCGGCCACCATTGTCTTTCGACCAATCAAATTGAGCCATTTCGGTCTCATTCTATTGTTTACTGACCAATCAGAGCCCTTCAATTCAAATTTTCTATTGTTTTCTGACCAATCATCATTTAGAAAGTTCTATTGTCTTTTCAATTGTTTTTAACCAATCAGATTCGTTCATTTGGCTAGATTAGCCTCGTTGTGATGCCCACCGAAGACGGGGGTTACAGCCTCGTTTGGACCGGTCAAAAGACGGGGGTCAAAAAGAATTTTTGCTCGATTTTCTCCTCTTCATTCAAGCGATCTTACTCTACTTACAATGTTAAGTTCTACCTTAGTGCCGAGGAGACTGTTTTCGAAAGGGGTTTGTCCAAGCATGGTGTTTTAAGCAAAGGGTTAACAAGAAGGAAAGAAGTCCCCCTTGTTAACCCTTCGATTAAAACACCCTGCCAAGAAAACCCTTCGAATGTTGTGTTAGGGGTTATGTTAACATGGTGTTTTAAGCAAAGAGTCAACAAGAAAGAGAAGAAGTCCTTCCCGTTAACCCCTCGATTAAAACACCGTGCTAACATAACCACTAACATAACACCGAAAACAGTCTCCTAAGCAACTAATTAAATACATTAAAATACAAATTCAAACTACATTAAACGAGAAAGGCCTATTCTAAAAACAGATGCGAACAGGCGCCTTGTTCACACCCATTAGAAGAATATGCCTTCAAATGTTACAAAATGTCTAACTAGAAATAATTAACCTAACGAAGTATCGATACACTCTCGCAATACGATATCAAACTACGATTATGATAAAGAGGGTTCTATGGAGAAGGGTAGGGTCGTAAGCAGTCCTATATCGATTATAAACAAGGATAATTTACTAAAATGGCTACATAAAATGGAGGGATGCATAATATTTAAAAGCTAGAAATCTTGAGCTCGAACAGGGGTTTATAGTTTCTAATCGACTTAGCTAAGAGGGTGCGGGAAGTGGATACATGCAAAGATACAATAACTGAAATTACCTGTAGGGTACGGGTACATATGCAAGGTGGAAATTTATTTACCTGGGAACTGGATTCGAATCCTATCCTTCACAGTGCAAAACTGATATGTCATAAATTGTCTCTTAGCTTCTTCAAATCGAAATCTTGATTATCATTATATATGTGGCAATGTTCCTTCGGGTCACCTCTTGTAGCAAAAATCTTGGTTTTGGATGCGAGCGAAATTAGCGAGAAAGTACCAATTGCAAATTACAAACTAACAACAAAGTCTTTTCAATAAAAGTCCAATATCTCGATAAAGTGTTCTTGTATCTTCCAATCTTCACAATTAATTCAGCTTCACCAATATGACTGCCTTCAAATCTTGCTGCGGTCTGCAAAAAATAAACAAGAAGCCAGCAAAATCGAAGAAGAATCGTCCATGAAGCAATAAATAAAATTACAAGATCTGAAATGCATGCACGTGGTAAAAGTTAGTCTTAGATATCCTTGTTTACTTTCTCAGCGACGGAATCATCCAAGCCTATAATCATTACACTTTGCATTCTATCCAAACTGCATAAAAAAGAGTGCCATTTCTCGTGCAATCATGTTTGTGTTTTTCTCAAGAGACCGGTTGTCTCCATGCAAGTCAAGTTCTACCTTTGATGATAAAAGTTTTCGAAAATGTTTTCTTTTTGTTAGGACAATCTTTATTAAATTATGTCAGCAACATTTTTCTCTGATTTTGTCTTTCATCCCAGCTTACAAATTAATTTCAAACTTTGAAAGCAGTAGATGAGAATGAAGAAGATAACGACTGTTTCAAGAAATTAATAAATTCTTTAACCGTTAAAGGGCAACTTCAAGTGTCATAAAAATTTGAAATCTGCATTATTATATTAAAATCAAATATTGCTACCCCGCATCAATGTTAGAAATGATTTTCTCTGAAATATTTTTTGACTTTTTGACATCAAATGTTTTAGTTTCTTCCTCGCAGTTAAACAGTCTTTACTATCCCAGTCTTGGCCTTTAACACCCAAACCAACCTCAAAACATTCCATCAACCCACCCAAACCACCACCAACATCCAAATTCCAAACCAACCAAAAAATCAACCCAGCCATTCAAACCTCAAAATCTCCAATCAATAACCAGAAAAGTAAAGACTGACGTATCTGCAGGTATACTTAAAAAATCGAGGGGTGCACTCTTTTTATTGAAACATGTTTAACGGATTGCATTATATTTGTCTCAAACCTTTTTATATATTGCAAGCTTTTTTGCTGTTTCTTTACTCCCGACCTTAAATGACTGAACCTAAGCAACATGGTATATTTTGTTTTGCTCATCCTTGTACGAAAGCTAATTTCAAATTGGTACAAAAATAATGTGTTGAAATTTCATATATTCTGTGTTTTTACAACATTTATTCTATCCTGAATGACCCAGTAACTTATTGCCATTTTTTACAACACATTTTTACATCATAGTTCTTCAATAATTTAGCAAAATTCAGCATAATGAAATAGACTTTAAACTTTAATATACGGTTATTAGCAGTAAAATTTCAAACATATTTGTAAGAAGTATGAAATGTTATAACTTAAAACTATATATTGAACGAGAAAGTTTGTCTAGAAACTAATTCATTCAAAAGAACTTACAAGTTGCCTGGCACACTGCAATTTTCTTTTAAACTTTAGTGCAGAACAGTCTAAAATGAAGAAGAAAATATCAGTAAAGATAGAAAATTCATAAAAATGTCTCATAAAAATAAATTTTGACAATATACTGATTTAATGATAAAGAGATACTTACAAAATAGGCTATAGTCTGTAAGATCTTTTCCAACAAAGTCAGATTAAACTAACTCAGTTTTAAAGCCTCATGAAAACTTTGACGTTTGAGCGTTAGAATTTTATTTTTTTCAGATAACCCACTTGAAGGGAATAAAAGCTGTTTCAATAGAATTTTTATACAAAAATGCTTTACTTAGTTTCCAGAATCTTATGTCAGAGCATTTCATCATAACCTGAATAATTGTGATTTCTTATAAAAACTTGAATGCATAAATAGAATGAAAGAAGACTGAAGAAGTTAAAAGAGGAAGATAGAATTTTAATGGCTGATGACTAAGTAGAGATTCATGATCGTTTGACAGATTTATTTAAAAAATCATATACTATTGAGAAAGAATTGATGGTCATTTTCAAATCCAATTGTAAAAAGCACTTGATTCAGGAAATGAAATTAGAGAAAGAGGGAAAAAAGAAGTGAAGATTAAAACTTATATTAAAGAATTAGTAAATTGCAGTAAATACAAATTTCTTAGTATAGGAATATCATGAAAACTCTAAAAATGACATCGTTTAACACTTGAGAATCAGAGAAAAGGTGCAAAAAAAAGATATGGAAGTATTATACAAAAATGTCCACTTTTTATGAAAATAGCCTATGCCTATATCTATGAAGCAATCTCTATATATTTTAGACATACTGTAAGTAAATTGCAAACTATCGTAGATGTAGGTCGTAAAATGAGAGCTGCTCAAAAGAAAATGGACGGAAAAATCACAGCGTTTTAAAACATTTTGCGTTAAGAATCATTTTATGCTTATTGTACCCTGGCAGTAAAAATTGGCTTAGAAAGAAAAGCTTTAGTGCCACTTCAAATGTATAATTTCGAAGGAGAGAAAAGGGAGGTAAAAATGAGAACATATATGTTCTGAAAGCAGAAATTTGACCTTTAGCAAATTGTGATTTAGTGGTTGTCAAAAGGTGATGCAGTGGCGTAAACTGTTGGGGTTTTCAAGTTATCGAGACTGTAAATTCTGGTGGCAGATAAATAGTAAGAATGCTTGTCTAATTTTCTTTCTAACCATACTTGATATAAAGAATTAAATTATTTGGCACACGATTTTGTATTTGAGACCCTGATTAAATATTCTTTCGTGATTTTGATTTGATCGTTTGATGGATTGATTTACCGATTGATATGTCAGTCTATTTGTCTATTTCTCTTTTTGTTTACATCCTGTGTATTTATACTTATGTATTTTGTAACTGTGAAGCTTTTAGCAAAGCAGTTTGGGATTTTGAATTTTGATGGTTTCATGAAACTTCAAAGTAGGATGTTCCTTCTTGAATTTGAAAGTTAGATGCCCTTTACAAGCCAATCTCACTAACAGTTCACATTTTCTCTCTAGATCTTGTAAGTTTTGGAATACTTTCCCCTCTTCGTGCTTCCTAGACTCTTACAGCCTGTCTTTATTCAAAAGAAAAATCAACAAGCTTGATCTTTCCTTCCCCCCCTTTCCGTCCCCTTTTCCTTTGTCAGGGTTTAGCTACAGGCTCCTGAACCTTTCCCCGACATTACCAATTAAGGATAACAAATTTTGTACTTAAATAACCAGATATAAATATATATATCTCTCCGAGAATTTTCTAATTGCGCCCGAACGACTTATTTTAGCCGGCTAAGTTCATTATGACCCATAAACATCGCCTGAATACATAATCGTAAATCGTAAGATGAGTTCACCATTCAAATTTGTAACTTCTCAAACTTTTTCAATAATAATATCGAAATAAAAAATTGATAATCAATTAAAAATATTATCGAGAATAAAAAATAGCCGACTCACCCTGTTTTTTAAAGATCGTTGTCATGATTCTGCTTGACTTGAAAAGTCAATCCTCTTTTCCACTGTATTATACAATGCACGAGTAGGGTCTAAAAATAGTGAAACAATTCTTACATTCAAAAAAGATATCTTGCAAAAGCACAGCAAAGGGTGAAAAGAAAATATTAGGAGAAAGTTTTGGCAAAGGTTTTAAGCAGATTCTGATTACCTTGTAGAGAGATTTGTTACTGTAATAGATTGGCAACATGAATGACATAATATATTCAAATATGTTCAAGAGGCCAAGTCAATCTCACCTTCTTGAAAAACATTGATTGATTCAGGCATTTGTCTTAAAGTCTTGCATAAAAAGATGCAAAAGAAATTTTTGCTTCAAGTTTTCCATCAATTCCAGAATATCTGAAAGCTTTTGTTCAGAAATAGGCAAGTTGAATAATGTTTTGTAAAAGCAAAAATTATAAATTCTGCAATCGTTTTCCAAAAGAAAATTGTGCAGAATCAGCACCAACGCAGAGAGAGTTTTCAGAATGACAGTGGTTGAATTTTGGAAACGTATAAAATGTAGACTGTAATCATTCAGCTTTTACCAGTGTTGTATTAATACTTACTTTAGCTGTTACCATGAAATTCAAAATAATTGAAAATCTATGTTAAGGAATAAATAGGCAAAAATCTACAAGCAAAGGTAACTTGCCTGTTTTTGTCCATATTTTCAAATTTCCATTCAAGCTATCAAGACCAAACCTGAAAGAAAAAGACAATGCTTGAAATAAGAGGAGATTGTTTTTAGAGAAACAAAAAGGAAAAAAAATTCAAACAGTTTAAAGACCATAAAGAATATTGTATTAGTATTTATTTTAAATGTTACAATGAGTTACCTAAAAATTGAAAAACTATGCTGAAACCAACGAGTGAAGAAGGCAAAAAGCTTTTAACTACGAGTGAAAGAGAACTTGCCTGTTATAGTCCATTTTTCAGATTGTCATTTTTTTCTTCCATACAAGGCTACAACACAAACTCAAAAAACAAATTCTTTAAAACGTTGTTCAAAGCAAAAATGTTATAACCAGAAAAATTTGTCCAAAAGAAAAACATTGAAAGATATAACCAAATCCTAAAAGAACGGTCAAGAAAGAATGTGGCTAAATTTTCAAGAAATATAATAACAGACGGAATCCAATTTTTTTGTCACTTTCAAATAACTGATAACCTTTCTTCCGAGAAGAGGTAAAGAAATACGTGTAAAGAGAAACTTACCTGTTATATAAAGTCCTCCATATTTTAGATTGTCATCTTTTCCTTCATACAATGCTACAACAAAAACTCAAAAAAGAAATGCTTTAAAAAGTTGTGCAAAGCAAAAATGTTATAACCAGAAAATGTTGTCCAAAAGAAAAACTTTGAAGAATTCAACCAAATCCTAAAAGAAAAAGAGAAAAGTGTTTAAAAAGAATGTAGCTAAAGAAATACGTGTAAAGAGGAACTTACCTGTTATATAAAGTCCATATTTTCAAATTGTCATTTTTTTCTTTCGTACAATGCTACAACAAAAACTCAAAAAAGAAATGCTTTAAAAAGTTGTGCAAAGCAAAAATGTTATAACCAGAAAAATCTGTTCAAAAGAAAAACTTTAAAGAATTCAGCCAAATCCTAGAAGAAAAAGAAAAAAGTGTTTAGAAAGAATGTAGCTAAAGAAATACGTGTAAAGAGAAACTTACCTGTTATACAAAGTCCATATTTTCAAATTGTCATTTTTTTCTTTCGTACAATGCTACAACAAAAACTCAAAAAACAGCTTATTTAAAACGTTGTTCAAAGCAAAAATGTAATGACGAGAAAAATCTGTCCAAAAGAAAAACTTTGAAGAATTCAACCAAATCCTAAAAGAAAAAGAAAAAAGTGTTTAGAAAGAATGTAGCTAAAGAAATACGTGTAAAAAGAAACTTACCTGTTAAAGTCTATATTTTCAAATTTCCATTCTGTTCTTTTGCATGAGGCCAAGTCTTTGATGAATTTAGACCAAACCTAAAGTAAGAAGGATTATTTTAGAACGAGAGAAGCAAGTTTTTAGAGGAGTATTTAGAGGAAAAACTAAACGAAACCAAAATATAAACTAACGCCTTAAAACCTCAGAGCCTCTGGCCAATGAAAAGGAAAGTAAAGACTGAAATACCTATGATAATTTTGAAAAGAATAAAAATAACAGGGTATAAAGTTTTCTTTTTCACTCCTGCTCCAAACCATTTAAATTCTTTATCTTTTGCTTTCAGTCTGCAATTTGTAATAGCGAGGCTTAAGTTATATTGCTGTAATTGAGCATTTTTCATATAGCATAGAGCATTTCGTTCTTGCTTTAAAATATTTTATCAAAATGCAAACCAAATCTCTGAGCTATCTAAAAGGTACAATGTTTATCAATTCAAGGTCTTAATCATCACGGATCCACTAAAAAATGTAGCAAATACGACAAGAGATTTCAGAGTTTCTCTTTTAATATTTATCTTTAATTGTGAATAAAGCAAAAACTTTTAGTCTTATGCCCTAATTTATTAAAGCGTTTTTTGTGGGTTTGTTGAGACCCTTGGGTATTCACATTGTTAAAAGCTTTAAATTTTGCAGAATCTTCTTTCCTGGCTATAATTATTGAAATCTTACAGACACTTTATCTTATGAGCCTGATGACACCTATGCTTTTCCTGATATTATTCTTCAGATTATGATTTGGTATATATACCAGTAGCGTAGATATAGGGGGTGAGAGAGGGCGAGAAACCCCCTGTAAAGCTAAACTGTTATTTTATCGGAAAACTTCTGATCTTGTTGATAATAAAACATGATTGTTTATTTTTATCTAAGCATTACATTTCAAGAGAAGAGATTTTTTGCTTAATATAATGACGTTGCTCTGATTCAGATTGGCAATCTCTTTCAATAAAGTAGATACTTGAAATTCTTTTTAGGGGAAAACCAGAAAAATCTTTATTTCGGATGATATATGACACTTAACATTGAAAAATGAAAAGACTTGTTTTCTTTCAGTTCTAATGTTGTTGTGCTTTGTTCAAATAAAAATTCTTATTTGATTATTATCGGATAATCTAAATTTTCGCCCCTCCAATGAATTTTCCTATCTGCTGATATATATTGATGCATATACTGTCGTTTACAGCACACGAAGTTTGCATTCCTAATGCAAAACAATTTCATTAACACATAGAGCCGGTTTTTTGGATATCATTGACGAAGAAATATAACAAATTTACGGATTTGAGCTTCAAGTTCTTACCAAGTTGCTGCAAAAGGGGCTAACCCTTTGTGGAGATTCTTGAACGAGTTTTAATCTGAAAAATAAAAAAGTTCCAACTGTAATGGAATACAATCGATACCCCTGACAATGGCATACATTTTTCATTCTTTCGAATGAATTCATCTGCGCAGTCTGTGAAGAAATTCATTTGAATAATAAGTTTTATAAGTAAGTAAAGAAGAAAATTTGTTTTTTTTTCTTTCAGTTAAGACACTTAGAGAGCTTCTATTCTGCAGCAAGCTATGTTAGCAAAAGAGGTCATTGTGCTGAATTTGTCTTAAAGAACCGTGGTCAACATTAAAGGCTTATTTGAATTGCAGTGCGCAACATCCTTTCTATCACAAGAAGGCCCCTTTGACTTGGACCCATTATTTCTTTCCACCATCTTTAGCAAGCATTCTTTGGAAGAAAATGTTTGCTAGAGAGTTGGATTAGTAGCGTATGTTGGGATCAAAGTTGATTCATGTGATTATGATAATTCAATGTTGATTTAATGTTGCTTCGTATTATGAAAAGTGATTAGTTATTGCATTCAAATACAAACATGCAGTATGCAATTAAAAATTTCTAGTGGGTATAAAAGATTTAAATGCATTAATGTCACTATGATCTATTTTAATGCTTCATCAACTTCTTAGAAGCAAAAAAGCAAATGTTCGGGAACGTTATTTCATCAAAGAGAGCATCCTTAGTTAAAATCTACTCTTTGAAAAGAAATTTATTTCTTAGAAAATATGCACATTTCATAAATATATACCAAACTTCGTTAATTCTCTATATATAACATAAACTTAGTGTCGTTAATATTGATGTCTTTGGCAAAAAGCTTTCCTTGAAAGAAAGTAAAAAAAGGCAGCGAAAAATTCCCAAGGAAAATGCAAAACTTTGAGATATCTAAAATTCATCGAGTAACTTTAACGGGATAAAAATTTTGGTCAATGAAAAATTGGGCAGTGTGTCTGTTGTATCCATGTTATAACGTTCAAGAATTCTTGATGAAAAATAAAAGATTTATGTTAGCATTGCAAGATTATTATCATCAAGTAATTAGATATAAATTTTAATAATTATGGTAATAAATTTTAATAATTATCAATCCATAAAGTAGGATAAGTACCTGGATTTTGTTGAGAAAGGACAAAAGGGGCGTCGCCATGAATGGAGCAGTAGGGCATTACTGCGTAAAATGGGTGTTTCCTAGAGAAAATGTGATGGTATTAGAAATTTTCTAAGCTTGCTCCCTTCCGGAAGATATCTAATAGCAAGATACAGGGCTGGAAAGTTTTATTTGGTGAAACCAGCATCTATAAAAATGAGTTAGTGACAATAAATCTTACAGTTGATTACAATTCATTTAAAATACAAGCAATATAGATTGATAACGATTGCGAACTTGCTCATCATTACATCTAGTCGTATGATTTATGTAAAAATGAATTGTTTTCTATTAACTATTATTTATGCTATCTCAGTTATGTTGCTTCAGAAAGGCGTTAAACTCATGTAAAAAGATAAAATTTAATTTTTCTAATTATAGGAATTTGATTAAGCAAATATTAATCTTTTCAGTTCTTTTTATCTTATGCATCATAGCAGCTATCGATAAATAAAAAAGTATGCTTTCGAAAAAAAATCACGATACTTTCATGTGATGGTTTTAGATTTATTTGTTATAAAGCCATATTGATTGTGAATATTATAGAAACAAATTGTTCGTAGTTTTCTAGAAGCCAGCTTGGATACTCACGGAAATTTGCAGAAAATTCAATCTGCTAAGTTAAAGCCAAATAACTTTACAACTGAAATAACTGAACTTGTGGGTAACAGAATTTTCACACTTTCAAAGACTCTAAAGTGCACTTGCATTAACATTTGTTTACTTTAGAACATCTATGCAATTCAAACTAACCTTTAATGGGTCCAAAATGGCCTTTCAACTTGGCAATCTGAACTGCGATATTTTATTCATCTGAAAGAGAGTACCAATATGTTGATAAAAAATGAACATTGGCAACAAAATATTTAGAAAAATAACATTTTGTTATTTTTGATACTTTATTTTGATTATTTTGATATTTTATTAAAATTCTAATGAATATCAAAATAGGTTGATAGGGTAGACTACTAAATAGTGAATTGGCTTTGGTTTTCTAGTGATCGTCATCATCAAAGTTCATGGTTCGGAAAAGACGTGTCCATGATATTCTTGAGGTAATGATAAAGATACAGTAAATGCTTGATCCTAAAGATCTTTGATTCCAATAAAACATAACCATTTGCATAAGAATGTCTTTAAGGAACCATAGGATATGAAGCTAAACATTTAAATGTTTATTTCGTAAATGATGCTAAAATTCTTTTGACAATCAAAGTATTTTCTGAAGGCTGGCACATCTAGCATACAGTTAAATAAATTCTGAAGAAGCCTTGTATCATGGAGTACAATTTCAGCTAACAACTTTGTTTATGTTAATTCTTTGTCTTGCCAATTTAAAGTGTTTCTATTTCTACCACTAGATCGGGATATGAAAAACCTTACAACGCTTAGGACCTGAAAGTATAGGGCTCGAAATATAATGGATTCCGTTGTGCACGTCAGGACTTGGATTGGAAGTGCTTAGTGCTACAGGGTTACTTCATATAGTATTAATGAGAAACAATTTTGGTTTTTGTAACAATTTAACTTAGTGTTTTGATGTATCAAGCTGGTATGGCAATCGCATGATATTTTAAGGAGTAGCATTTGATCCATTTTTCTACGCATATAATCAAAAATAATAAAAGGATACAAAAATATCTCACACAGATTGGTATCAAAACTAACTACAGCAAAAAGTTTAGTTTTAGAAAACCCTTTCACAGTCATAAAAAGGATTTGCGACCAGAATGATAGAAACTCACCAAAATTGGGATCTTCATTCTTTTTATTCAGTGCTGTGCTTAAAACTGGGGACTGCAGTAAAAAAGAATATTTATAAATGTAATAGAAGCTATAATCAAAAATTGTAGCTGGTCAAACTCCAGGGCAACAAAAATCTGCGAACTGACAAAAGCGAAAAAAATATGTACCTAGAAGAGAAAAGAAGATGCATTAAATCAATTGAAGTGTACAAAGGAAACAGAAAAATAACCTGAAAGATGCTAGAAGAATGTAAGAAAGAAAGAACAAGCTCATGGCGAATTTTTCTTGCTGAGAGTAAATTACTTAGAAAGATGCTTGACCGATGTCACAAAGTCTATTTAAGAAGCGATAAAGTAAGTTGGCATCAATTGATAGAAAAACTAAAAAATACACGTAATCAATATGTGTACTCGCCAACTACCCTGCGAACTTAGCTCATAAGAAACAATTTTTGGCACAAATTATTGATAATATTTGACTGTGGACTATTTTTCAATTTAAATCAATAACTGTTTCTAATTGTCTAAACAAAGAACATGGTTACCAATATTAAAATTACAGCAAAAAGCTTTTTAATTGGCTATTGATTTTTATCTTAGATAATATACCTAAAAATAAATAATCGAGAAGTTTTATGTGAAATAAATATCTCGACTGAAACGTTTTAGTTAGTAAAAGACAAGATTTGTTTTCTTATGGATAATTTCTAGAAAATGAAAGTTACCACTCATAAAGGACTATTTAGCTCTTTATAACATTGCGTTGTAAGTTTATGTAGGTATGTTGATGATAAAATGTTATTTAGTATTAAAACATACTTTTAAAATTGAGATGTTTCATATTGAGTAATAAAGAAAAACTTTTCATTTACATGGCAAATTAGTATCTACTTCTAAGCAATCAACGTTAAGGTTCTTATTTTTTGATGCAGCGAATGCATACAGAAGTAAGGCCCACCATTTTTGTTGAATTTTCTTCACGGAAAAGTTGAATTGGGTTGCTATAGTTTCCTTATCTATTGCTTTTGCTTAGCATATCTCTGAAATTCTTTTGAATTTTTTCAATCTTTACACGAAAGAAAGTTTTAAACAAATCGATGAAGAAGATCAATAAATCATGATCCAATATTTAGCAAGAAGCTGCAATTTTTTCGTTAATTTTTTTTCGAAATTTACGTTCAAAAAAGGATAAAAAAAATTGAGTTTTAAAAAAGTTTGTTGAAAAGCAAAACGCTCCTTATTTTGAAAATATTTTTCAATTTAGAGACTTTAGAAAGACAGTAAAGAGAAGAATTTCATCTTTAAACATGACACCGCTCATTTTCAACAAAACGAAAACTTAGAAGAAAATATCGCAGATTTAACATGCAACTTCTGAATCTTTAATTGACTGGAACGCTTCACTAACTCCACAGCATCTTCGACAGCAGCCAACAAAGCCCTACCACTAATAGCCAACCAAGCTCCATCACAAATCGTCACAAAGACCCCACCTCAGAATTTCCAACACCGATTTCATCTCAAACAAACCACAAAAAAGCAACAGTCTCTACCTGAAACAGCCTCAATCCAAAGCAACTCCAGTCAATTCAAAGCTCCAAAAAGCATGTTCTCTTTTCGGATAAGAAAATGGCTGCGTTTAAGTTTAAAGAAGATAATTTGTGTTAACTTTCATGAAAAAATTTAAACATCGCTGTCCTTGTAAATTGCTTAACATAATTGGCTTAATGGTTTTTCCGAAATTTTCAATGGGGCTACGCATGAGTACAAGAATATTATGATGAGCTTGATAATACTTCAAAGTAGTTTTTTGTTTGTGAATCAGTTTCAAACTCTATCAAAATTAGGAAAAGCAAGTGCTATTTCAACTTAACGTTGACAAAGCAAGTTTAGAAGGAACGGTTGTAGCAAAGCGTTAAAGCCTCACTTATTTTCTTTTTCAGGGGACAAATATCTTACTAAAAGTAAAACCAGCCTCAAAAGAAAAACAGACTATTCTATTAGTAAACCAATAAAATTCCGATTTATCATAAACAAAGTGCTTATCAATTTCAGGCATTGAGGCTTTTTAAAATTTATCAAACGAAAACTTAAAGTAAATCTGACATTGAATTACTTGTCTTTGATTCGTTAAAAATTTAAAAGACTTTAGTGAAGAGTACATTCTTAAATTTCCTCCTCATTTCATATTAAATTGGCGCTTTCTGTTTTTGAATAATTTACTCAAAATAAAGTTTAAAAAATTATTAGATTAATTCATCAAAATTACTGGTTTCAACATTTCCAGTTAATATATTGGGTTGCCCTATAAGGCCTTAAAAAATTGTATTATAATAAAGTGTAGCTCAAATAGAGAAACACAGATCAAATAGAGTGTAGCTTAAACTAAAATCTGTGACGTTGAGATTGCCCATCTTTAAAATGCAAAAAGATTGAAAGGCACAGCATGATGATAACGATAACTCATAAATTTAAACTTTATCAAACAAAATAATGACACAGCCTTCACTAAAGATATGCAGAGGCTTTTTTGTCGTGGTAGCACTATGGTAGTTTTGGAAGTATGCATTCTTAGCTAAACTAGATTAGATCGTGCAGTATCCAAACAGAGCTGCAAGGCAGGTTCTTAATAAAAAGTTGCTTGATTGTTCAGCTGCAACATAGTGTTCTTTTCCCAATCATTTAAAACTTGCAAAAACAGCTTCTGGCAGTTCTTAATTGTTCTTAAAAGCTCTTAATTGCAGAAGAATCACAGGAAAGTGGCAAAATGCAAAAAAACAAAGTAAATGAATAAGTGTACCTTTTGAAGTATTTCAGGAACATGGCCTGTCTAAGTTGCTCAAGTATTGTCAAAAAGTTGCTAGAAAATAAAAAAGTGATTTTGAAACACTATCAAGACACACAAACAATATAAAAAGGCTATTTGAGTTTTTAGGATTTCCGATATGTTACAGATAGAAATTTCTATTTCTTTTTGGAAATATGAAATATTTTATGAAAAAAGCGATATTGTACTCAGAACTATAAAGTTTTAAGGCAAGGGCTCCCACGTAAGTTGGCGAGTGAGGGGGCCAAGGGCAAATTGAAGTATCGAGAATAAAAATCTTGCTAAAAATCATCTAATGTTTATCTAAAAGTTATAATCAAATCGATGAAAACTCTAGGAATTCAAACAGTCTTTTTCTTCCTCGAAACCTCGAAACAAATTTGAATTACAAAACAAGAGTAGAACAACACTGTCTAAAGTTTAAATTTTTTAAAAAAATAAACTTGTTGCTTTCCTTTGTGTAGTTATAGCCACTTAAACAATTACCTTGATTCTAAATGTCTTGAGGGAACTTCAATATCTTTTATGGCCACTCTCCACCAACTACACCTAAAAATTAAGCAACATTGTGTTATTAATCCAAGCTTATTACCATACTTATGTTTTACGAAAAGTAATCGATAAGAACATAAATAGACTCTTACTTGAGCTTTCAGTGAATATTGTCAATTATAAGTAAGCTTAATTTTCAATCTGTGGGATTCTTTGTTTTGTTAATTCTTCGTTGTTAATGTCTAAAACTTTTCAAAACAAAGTTTTAGAGGCGAACTTAATTTCTTTAGAAAGAAGCTTTGGATTCTACGAGCTTTGTCATGACGCTACGTTCCCAAAATACTGAGAGCACGCTTGGCATTGGAAAAAGTTGCTAAAACCGCCATTGTGTATAAAACTGTGCTATTAACAGGCGTAGCTAAAATACGGGATAAACTTTTTGCTGGTAATGCGGAAAAAGTAATGAAATAGAACATGGCATATCCAAGAAAACATTTATTTTCGTCATGTTAAATTGACAAGAGGTGTTGCTACTTACAAACCATAAGTGAGGGCCTAGGTTTTAATCTGTTTTGCAACGGAGACACTTCCAAATCTGAGCAGAAGGGACAAAGGTCGGGCAACTACAAAAACAGTGAATTTATACGAAAGCATTTCACGAAGCACGCACTGCATCTTCTTTGAATGCAATGGCCGCGCCAATCCATTTGTGCCTTGGGATTTAACACAGTCATTTCTCGTCCTGTTAAATTCCTTTGAGACAATCGTTGATGTATTTGCTCCATAACTTGCAATCAATTATAAACGACGAAAGGCTTTGTCTTGCATTCGCTGGGTGATATCAAATTAAAAATTGAATTTAACAAGAAATAACAATGATTGTGATTTAGGCCTATGCGAATGTCTTGAAATGAAATACAACAATTTCCAAAAAATGTTAATTGTGAAGCAGATTATAATTATACAACCTTTCATCATTTACGCCTTTATAATATTTTGCCAATTTATTTACTTTTCTCATGTGGTATCCTTTGAATTTGAGCTCAATATTTGTTGTTCTATATTTCTTTAATGAAAACTGAAGTCATCATTCATTTTCAATTTTCGCGCTCAGTGTCACGTGAAGCTCCTCCGTTTCCTTTGAAAAAAGAATATGAAAACATGACAGCGATCTTTGGAAGCTTTCCTAATATAAAGCTGATACATTTTTATGTTAGTCAAATACTTATTTATAGAGCTATTTGTGAACTAGGGTAAGCCCCTGGGAATTGAAGAACAGCATATACTCGACTGGCTGGTTGTTACCAAAAGAGTAGCATTCCCTACTCTAACACAAGTTTTGGCAATATATTTTCCTTGGCTTCGCAGGATATAACTCGATGCATTTTTTTCCATTTGTAAAATGATTCATATTAACAAGATAAAAATTAAGAAATGAACTGATAACCGTTTCGCTGGTGGGGGCTTAAGGGTAGAACAACGGGCCTCCTTTAGACGGAAAATTTAATAGACTGCCTTTATACTGCAAATTCCTAAATTCTTTAAGAAACTTTCACCATGGATAGAATAAAGATTGCCGAAGTTTTCTTGGCTTTTCTACTGGACTGGAATGTCTGTTTTCCTGCTCCCTGAACCCCATCTTCCAGGAATTGTTCAGTTTGTTGTGTATTAAGTTACTCTTTGTACGAAAGTTGCATCCCTTCTCATCAGTTACAGACCCCCTTTGAAATTCCACCAACAAGCCCCTGAACAAGCAAAGATTCAGAATTGTGATTTGAATGAAAAGGCCATATAATTAAATAATAAAAAGAGCAAGCAATTTTGATTATTATGAAATGTGAGTCAGAAAGGCAAATTAAATCAATGGATCAACAAGAAGATGAAGATTAACCTTTATCTAAATCCCTATAAGAAACTCTAGACATACATTTTGAAAAGTTGAGAAACTTTTGGTACGGTGTCTTGCCTGGATCAAAAATATAAATAACTTTGGATGTTGTATTATTAATCTTTTTATATTCAATTTGTTTTAATCATTGAAGAAAATAACTAAAGATCTTTCTGCTCAGCCCTTCCTTTTAAAACGAAATCTTTACATAAAATAAGAGCATCATCTTTTGAATGAAAATGTTTTTAAATCACAATCTTGATATCGGAATTCTCCCGCGGGTAAACGCACAATTCCTGCGCATTCGAGATTGTCATACTTCACCACGGCGCGTGGAAGTGTCTCTCGCAGTTTACCGCTTCGAAAGGAATTTCGCTGGAAAGAGCATCTGCATTCTTTTTTAATATTCAGTTATACAGGTAAAAGATGCGTTGTTTATAATGTTTTTCCTCTTAAAAAAGAGTTAAAGAACGTTTTCATTTAAGATCATAGTGATTTAGTCATAGATTCAGATATATTTGCCTAGGCTTTTTAGGCTAGGCCCTATGTGTGTGTTTAGACAACAGTATGTAGAATGTAGAAATTGTCCTTGTTGCCCTTTTCAAGTAGAATTTACTGCTTTCAACTTGTTTAAATGCATTTACTGAGTTTTAGAGGAAGTAAATCATTTGATCCCACATGAAACGAGGGCTTCCCTATGCTGTTACAAACCCTAATTCGATTATGCTCACCCTACAACGAATTGGGGTCAACAACGAGACTAGACATACCAAGAAAGACTGCCTTGAAAATCGTGATGTATTTTTTGATGAAAACACAGGATGTTGCGAAAATATGGACGCATTACCTTTAGCATTGCATTTATTTACATAAATCTAAAATTGAAACAGACAGTGTAATTTCAGTTTTATTACTTCTAGAATTTCATTACATTAAATGCTGTTTTTGCTGATTAATTTTGCTGTTCAACTTAAACAACCATTTTGTTTGGCTGTATTTAACTTGTTAGATTAAACACACAAATTTTTTCATATAAACTTTTGACAGGATAAATTTGTTTAAAATGATATCAGACACCTTTTCTGTATTTAATTTTTGTTTCTGTAGAAACATACTACTAATGTTTTAATTGGCAGAGGCCAAAACTTGCATGTTTTTCAGGAGCATCCCTTACCAACAACAAAAAATTTAGATTAGAAGCGATCTGTAACAGGCTTATAGCCTACATCACAGCTTTGTTATGTTATGTTAAAATGTTTCCTGTGTGTTCAGTCCCATAATCACTGTCTTAATGGGGGGCACTGGCATATTAATGATTAAAATCATAAATTGAAGACTCATTTTCTTTGATGCCTTCATACCTTAAAAAAGAGATTAATAATCTCAAAATAAATAAGTCCCTCTTTTACTGTCTACTAAATCAAAATATAAGCATTATTGTTTTGTTGCCTTTAAAAAATGGTTTACTTTGGATTCAAATGAGAGCTTGCAAAAACCCAAGAAGTGATCTTAATTTTTGCCAATTTTGTAACATATATTAATGAATATTCATCATTTATTTTAGTTTTCTAAGCAGAAATGGATGGACACAATTTTGCAGATGACAATAATGGCGATCAGTCCAATGAACCATTTGTTGTAAAACTTAGAGGTTTACCATGGTCTGTAACCCCAGCTGAAATAAAGGCATTTTTCCATGGTAACTGTAGCAATTTTTTTGTACTTATTTCCCTCCTGTTATCCCCTCTGAAGTTTTGTTATATGATGGAATAAAAGATTAATTGTACTATATATTACCTTTACTATTTCCAGTAGATCACAAAGCATCAAAATTTGTTCTTAGTAAATGTTAATATTTTTTTATATTATTAAAGATTATTTGGACTGTCTTCTTTCCTGAAAAACTGTACCTGAGAAATTGTTTTTATTTTTGCTCAAACCTCTTCTCTGCCTTGTCACTAGACTGCATTGTAATAGAAGATGGTGATGTTCATTTAACTTATACAAAAGATGGCAGACCAAGTGGAGAGTGTTTTGTTGTCTTGCGTACAGAAGACGATTTTAACAAGTGAGTGTCTAAGCTGTCAGAAGTTTCATTTGAGTTTCCTCTTTTATGAATGAAATGCTAAATGAGCTTGTCCTTAATTCCCTTTAGAATCCAATGCCAAGATCTGGGTGGTTTTTATTTTTAAAGTCTTGGCAAGAATCATTTTCTCCATTTTCATTTTTATGTTAAAAAAATTTGTGCCATAAAGTATATAATTATAATTACTATTGTATAAATAACATTGTAAATACTGTTAGATCTACCAGTGTTGGTGCATATATGTTTTATTTGTGATAAGCTACCTTGCTTTTCATTGCCCATATGACTCTATGACAGGTTTAATTTGATGCATAACTAGTAAGATGTAATAGTACAGATGCAAAGTTGAGTTAAATCTATGGAAATTTTGGTACCAGCAGTTGTCAAAAACATCACCATGTAAAGCATAGTTATAATCCTTTTTCTAAAGGGCATTGGGTCACAATAATGAACATATGGGAAAGCGGTACATTGAGGTATTTGAGTCAAAATATTCTGAGATGGAATGGGTGGTCACAAGAATGCAAGGTGGCGAGTCTGATGCAGAAGCTGTCATTCGACTTAGGGGCTTACCTTATGGTGCTCAAAAGCAGGACATCGCAGAGTTCTTTGCAGGTGTGTTATGTTCGTCCTTTATTATTCTTTTTCATTTTGGCACTGCATTGGGTTGTTGCCATTGGCAATCAAAATTATCTCCCTTTTCCCTGGAATCTTTTGATCAGATGCATGCAGTTGTTAAATTTTTGGAAGTTTTGCTTATGATTTCTTATTAGATTCCTTCAACTTGGCATATTTTGTTTAACATAGGTATAATTATTCTTTTAAATAAATGAATTTGTATAAACATATATTTATGATAGATTTAAACAGCATAATACCTAGCAATAACATTATGCTATCAATTTTTATCAGTAGTGCATATTCCACGATTAATTTAGCATGTCTCTCAAAAGCCTCATTTTCACAAAGAAAAATTTCTCAAGAAAAATGCTGACGACTCATGCCCGCTTAATCTTAACAAAATTTCTCAAGCAAAATATCCCTGAGAAAAAAGTTGAAGTCTCTTTGAAGGGTACTCCCCCTATTTTTGATGCTTTCTTTCACTATTATTGATGCAGCCAAGTTTGCAAGATATTCAAGTATTTTAGTTGTGATGGCCTCATGCAAAATATCTTGTGGTTGGGATGTCTCATTCCATTCACCAAATGTTTAAATTATCCCTTCCCGCTGCATTGAGCAGATGTTTTCTGCATTGTCTTTTCTAGCTTTTTATTTTTTGTTCCTTGTCAGCAAAAACAAGTAACAATGACATCTTGTAGTGAGAAGCTCATTGTAAAGTATTCAGAAATTTCGTGAGAAAAATTTCACATGTGAACATTAAAGAGCAAAAAAACCTTCTTGAGAAAAACTTTCCCTGAAATATTTTGCCAATATGGAAATCAGGCTACCATATTTTCTGGATTAATCACCCACACTCTGATAAGTGCCCCCTCTAGTAAGTGAGACTCTGAAATAAAGGATATCATGGATTATAATTTTGAACAAGAGGAAGAACCCATTTTCTTTAAAATGGGAAGCACAAAGTTGGATTGCAATTTATTGAATTTATCTGTATCTTGATTTCCAGAGGTTTCAAGCATTGTTTAATACTTAAGCTTGTTACCGCAGAAATTTTCAAAATAGTTGTGGCCAGATCACATTGCAAAAAAGTGGAGGGTTTTGTGCTTGCAAACACAAGTTTCAAGCTAAGAATGAGCAAAATAATTTGCATTTGAATCAGTCAATTATTAAGTCAGTTATTAGGAAGAAAGGAAGCAAAAGTCGGCTTGGTGATAATTCTAAGAATGATAATGACTAAATAAGAAACATTTTTAGAGATTCATGATTAAGAACGTCATTGAGAAATCTTGCTATGTAATAATAATATGCATAAATAAGTATGAACTAGCCTGAAAATAGTTAACCCTATCTCCTAGATAGATATCTAACCTCCATGTTGAAGGAATCTAATTTGCATATGGTTTTAAACGCCTGTAACTAAAACGATTTGCTCATACTCTGAAACCCAGCAATCAACCTGCAATACCTAGCCGAAGCTGGGTAGGCCCGGCCAAGAGAAAGCGAATGCAAAGTCCGAAACAATAAAACTATAATCGTGCTTTCAACTTGATTATTCTTTGAATTACGTCACAGTCTCGAAGTGAAAAAGAGTGTCGTCACAATCCTTTAGAGTGTTTTCTACTTGCGTCAGCAATCTTTTATGACAGACCACCTAGAGCCAGCAACTCTCTTCTATTTTCAAGAATATAAGTTGCCATGTTATGTTTGTTGGTCTTTAAAATTGAACAAACTTGAAAATACAATGTACTCAAGAGCTGCTTTTTATCGTTAACATTCTTCGTTAAGTCCCTCCTCGGAATATCAAATACTCCACAGCACCTGTCTTAAGAGAGCAGCATTTCATAACGCAAGTAGAAAACGCTTTGGGGATGGCTTTCTCTTTATATTTTTATCTATAACTAATTTGGGTTTTTCTTTTCATTGCTGGGATTAAAGGGTTGGAGATTGTTCCCTATGGGATTACGATTACACTAGACCAGGATGGGAGGTGTACGGGGGACGCCTACGTTCAATTTGCCACACCCAAAGACGCCGAACAAGCACTTCAAAAGCACAAGGAAAAAATCGGGCACAGGTGGGAGGTTTATTCAGGCACCTGGTTGGTCAGGCACCTTTTATATACTTTATAACTGTATTTACCACACATTGGTTGGTCAGGCACCTTGTTTATGATCATTGTACCAAATAAGGAGCGGTATAGTTATTGGAAGCAACCCCAAACAAATGTCGATTTTGCTGCGTTTAATGCGACGTGGCTTGCTGTAATTTACTTTTGAAAAATAGTTCCTGAAGCACCTCACAAGCACCTACAATGGTTGTCAAAATATCTGAAATCTAAACCACTGGTTTACCAAAAACATCTAGAGAACCTAATCCAGTTTTCTTTACTGCTAATGCCGTTTAAATGCAATTACGCTCAGAATGCATGCCCAAATGAAATCAGTCCAATGGCCATCACCCTCTCTTCTAACGGATATCTAATTTGTGGTCAGTGATAAGATAAACTATTCTTGTCCTTTGCATTTTTAGAAGCCGAAAGTTGCTTGGTTGCGGTTTTGATAGTGACTTCTGTTTTTTAAGCAATTTTAAATATTTTGATCACGATAAAGAAGCCCAGTTCCGTATTCTCTAGTTTCCATACTGTATCTTATCGTATGATGAAATATCACTTTTGCATGGCCAAAAATTATTCTTATTCTTTGGGGGGAGGGGGGGGGTTGAGGGTGGTTGCTGCAAAATCGACATGGGGGCGGGGGGTGTGTTTGAGGGTAGTTGCTGCAAAATCGACATTTGTTGTTAGTACAATGGTTAGTGGTGGCCTATTTTCTTCCGAAGGTAAGTGATTCTATCACATACTTATTTAAATAGGAATAGGGGTAGACTGTAACCGCTGGTTGCTTTATAATGTTGCAAGTAATATAGCTTTTGCTGTTGTAGAGCATGCGTAGACAAAGGATCGGCTCTGCGTTAACGTTGTCTGTGCTCGAATCAAGTTTGCGCGCCGCTGTTAGACTAGTTGAGAGGGCAACTTACATGCTAACTTTCACTTTTAAAAGCCTTTGTTGTCTCGAATTCAGGTCGAGGCTAAGTCTAAATGTAAGTTTCGGATCTTCTGAAAATATCGCAAATGAACGAATGATTCAGGATCATGTTCTATCTCAAACTTTGAAGTTGCCAACCGGTGAGAAAGTTCACCAAAAAGCAATCTTCGACACAAGGGTCAACACTGAATCGTGGCTTTTGGTAGTCCTCATTGTGCTCGTTTATCAATTAGTTTAACGTTTTTTTCAGCCTTGGGAAAGTGATATTGTTTGGTCTTTATCGCAGTGGAAAATATCGCCGTTTCGTGGTCATGTCATTTGCGTGTGCCCCAGTTGCACTTCGAGAAGGTTTTCATCTTAAGTATGACTGTGGTGATATTCCTGATCAGCCGTTATTAAACCTTCTTTATGCGTAAACATTTATGAATTAGTATTAATCTACTGTAAAGGAAGTCTGCAATAGTGTATGCATGTCTCTGCACCTTGATCGCGTTAAAGATAATTTACTGGCCTTATAACTGAATAAGCCTGCTATTATTGTCACCCTTTATTTGTTGGTGTCTATTTGAGACCATGTAAATTGCGTAGGTCGAAGCTAAGAGTCCTTTAAGGTGGACCATCAGTCGTTTGAGATGCGCACCAATCTTGCTATTAACCTTTGCCCCGAACCTTATAATGCCAGCTAAGTATTCTACGCGTTCTTAAGAAAGCCTCTTCAAGTGGATCACCCCTTAGTCCATTTTCTTGGTGGCGGCAGCGGTGCGTTTTGTGTTGCTGTTTGGCTAGAGGTCAATACAGGCAACCATTTTTAAGTTGAATCGGCCACCCATTTTCTAAAGACATCACATTTAAGGACAATTAAAGGATGTTCAACAGGATTAATAGCAGACTCACTTTTCGAATTAAAGACTTACAAATTTTTCTATAGTTACACTTTTTGTCGCCCGCCAACGAATAAGTGAAGCTTAAAGATAAGCTGCATCGTATTGGCGTGAAGTTTTCAGAAAAAAAGAAGAGAGTCAAATCTCGTGCAATTAGTATCGAGGAAACGGCTTCGATTTGTCCATGACCTGATGAGCAGAGATAAGTGCAATTTATCCCCGTGGCATGCCCGCCTTTTGTAACTCGCACAGCCCCCTGTATGTTATCAAGGTTTTTCATCTCCTATCCAATTCGACATTTATCCCCACGACTGTCGGTTATAAGCCCCAACAGTGCACATACAGTTTATACCAAAAGACATACTCTTGTAAAAATGCTGTCCTTGTTTTCCGTACCTTATGCCTGAATTCAGTTGGTCTGAATTCAAACAGCGGGTGGATGACACTATCTCCCTCGCTCCCCTGTCATATACTCCCGTACGTATAATACTCTATATGTAGGTCTGGCTTGCATATTAAAAGTTTTGTAGGCAAGGAATTATCAACAATTGATAACATAGTCAACGTCTCTTTATATTCATTCATATAAGTCTTTGTATAGTTGACATTCTGTGGTAGTCATCAACCACTGTTTGTTCTTATAAGACCATCTCTTTTTAAGGTACAAACTATTCTACCTTTGTTTTCCGAATTTCCAGGCCAACCAGATTTAAATATGAGAAGCAGTTATACATGCACTAGGAATAGTTTTAAAATAAATTGTTTTGGATGACCTCTTGAAGCGCAATAAATGAAAAATAATCAATGTTGTCCTGAACTGCACTATTGGTTGGCATGAAACAGCAAATCTCCGCAATGGATAAACATCTGGCATAAAGCATGCCTTTTGTCCGTCTGTCCATAGGCCTGTTGCACTAAGCGTGTATTTTGGAAATCTGACTCCACAAACTGATGTGTTATCAGGCGACTTAATGCTTTGGATGTCAGCTGGACGGGTAATAGTGAAGAGTATTACTCGTTTCCGCTGTGGAATTGTTTTGCTCTCTATCTGTGCCCAGTTTTTAATGGCGAAGTTAACAGCGGTTGCTTGAAAGAGATTTGCCTGCGCCTTCGCATCGTTAAAACATCTACTTACAAAAGTAAGCAACTTGGCTCTAACAAGTCACGAAGTGCTTAGTGGAAATCAGCTACTCTAATGGAGGTAAGCATTGCACAGAGAAGCAAAAATCTAGATAGAGGCATAAATCAGGTTTATGTCCCCGGCAGGTGATTTTCATAGTTCACTGAAATAGTACAGCGAGCGTCTTTTTAAAGGAGAGGAAATATCGCCTTGGCTGACGATGGTAGATAGCATACTGCCCGCATCTTAAATTGCCAAAAATGTTCATTGTATGTAAAAGAATTATGTGCCTCCATTTTCTACTGTCTCATCCTAAGGGTCAATGAGGGCTCTCCATCCTGTGAAGGAGAAAGTGGATGAGATGCTGCATCCTAGAAATCAGTGCAGCTTCCATCCAGAAGATGTTGGCTGCTTCTTCCTGAGGAGGCATCTTTTTTGTGTCTTTTTTGACGAAGTCTTTGTAAATAGACATTAACATTGCTCGTTACTCTTGTCATTCTTGTGACATGCCTGTTGGTGTTACTTTTATGGGGATTCATTGCTTGGACAAACTGGCTTTTAGTCGTTAACGGATTCATTATTTTTCTAAATAAGCTTAGAAATATTATATGATAATTATTCTTTTTCATTTGTGAATCAAAACGTGGTGAATCAAACAGTGGAAAATCTTTTGAATAAATTTTCTTGTACCGAGAAAATTGCAGGTCCTCGCAGTGTCTGACTTGCTTTTTATTGTCCTATTTCCCCTTTGGATATTTGTTTCAGAGCTCCATGAATGCGTAAGATATGAAAATTCATCGCTGTCAACAATTGATTCACAAAGATACCTGGAAATTGTCGACAGAAATTGACATTAAACTCACAGGCAAACGGAGTTTGAAATGCCCCTATTGAACAGACGACCCCCACAAGATACCCCACTCAGGTGACGCAATTGACCATAGCTAGCGTTTTGGCGGTTTAAATGACAGATGTTCTGAAACTCTTTGTTGAAAAATCATGGCCTAAGAAGACTTTGTTTGCAACTTTTCTGTTGATCAGGGATCAGCCTCGTATCTGCTTAAAATCTTAAAAAGAGACTGACCAAAAGTGTCTTGACTCATAATCAGATTACTCTTAAGCAGTTGGTCTGAATTCATATTTAACACAAAAAGCTGCGTCTTATCGTCCATTGTTATTCTCACTCAGGGGTTTATAATTCCACATCTGTTTAATGGTTCTCCCTTTGAAAATACATGCTCTTGGAATAGGGGTTCACTCCATTGACCCTCTGTGACAGGGAAACCAAACTAGGTTTTTCATACATGTTCTTGCTTGGAAGTAATTTGTACTGACATTGATTCTAGCATATAGCCCTTTAGGCATTATTTTCCCAGAATTGCGCTGTTAGCATGACTGCCTGGCCTCCTACTGTAAACCAGGCTTCTATAAATCTCTTTAAGTCTTATAAATCAGCATGTACAACCCAATTTCTATACGTGATTTGCTCTTTCCCGCGCGCGATAGAATGCGACAGAACGTATTTAAGTGAGGACGTAAACCCCCGTGCGAAGCCGATCCTTTGTTATCAGTTATTCATTAGAATATGCAAATCGTATTTGCTTGAGTCGTATGTGAACATTGTGGACACTTAGAGCACCTTGTCCTGCCTTGTCGATCTGCATTAATTCGCGTTATTCTCCTCTCCGTTTTAGATATATCGAGATATTCAAAAGCTCGAAAAGCGAGATAAAATATGTTGTCGGACCGAAGCTCAAGCCGTTGATGTCAATTAGACCCCATCCGTACGATCGACCTGGCTCTGTTGGTGGCAGGCAAGTCATTTTCGTATTAGGAATCGGTATATTTCGTTGATTATTCAGTCCGGTCTTTGTCAGGCGGATTAGTGCATTAAATCCTGAGTTGCATATAAATAAAGGTGTAATTTATTTGCAACTGGTAAATTGACAGACTTTAAACCACGTAGAACATGTCGGCTTGAGGTAGGGACCTCCGGTTTGCTGATTTGTACAAAGCATTCGTTAAGATATCGCACAACTGTTTTATAAATACACTGCTGGTATTCGGGTTTGGAACACGTACAAAGTTTTATGGCAACTGAAGAACTATGTCTGATATGCTGGTAAGTTCGTCAACAGTTTTTCAAACAATTATTGATAATTATTTCAAATGTTTTAATTTCAGCCGGGTAAGGTAAAGTTTTCAAGCCAGCCATATGTCCAAGTCCATCTGTTAAATGCCTCGACTTTTTGACTTTATTCAACCGAGATATTTTTCACTCAAGTATTGCAGAAACGATTATTATTCTTAACAGTAACCGAGGCAGGTTATGCGATTGTCTGTTTTTTGTTGTTATTTACTATAACTAATTTAATATCTTTTCACAAGCACGCGCGCTCCAGAACACGATCGAATGTTTAATTCAGCTCCGTTGCATTCTGTTTAACAAAAACGGACTTTTCTTTATAAATTGGCTGAATATCTGTCCTTTGACGGTGCATTTTCTCCTAAAGCCACCATTTAACTGAGACCATGCGGAAAAGCGGATCTTTCAAACAATCACATCTATCTTATCTGAAAAGAATGTCTTTTCATCAGGTTTTGACGAATGTGCCTAAGAAAGCATGGTTTTTGTCATTTCATTACAACGATTTTCCAGCTTTTTTATTCATTACAAGATTACATTTGCCCCATTATTATGTGTTTCATTCATATTTTTCAATTTCTTTATGTTCACTTCGGTGTTTGAATTATGTTGTGTTACCTTCTCGAAGTTTGTTCCTCAAACAAACTGCTTCACAATATTGGCATTTGTTTTTGTTAAGTTAAAGCTTTTTATGGTGTAGTTTTTAACACATTCCCAAAACAGGTCATTGTCAAAAGGATGTGTCCACGGTTTGCGGGACTCTCCACTTTACATTAATTTCCACAGTTTTTCTTTTTTCTTGGAAATGGTTCCCCATTTTTGTTAAACAGATTTATTGTTTCAACAACCTGAACCTAATCTTGTCATTGAAAATCCAAGAAATTTGTTGCGCAGAAAGAAAACATATGTTCCTGTTTTAAGTATTGTGTTTCATCGTGTTTTGTCTTCGTATGTCTTTAAAATACTCATTCAGAGGTTTTTCTTTCGCTTTTTTCTTCGTTTGGGTCACAGTGTGGTACCAGTAAAGGACTTTTTATTTTTTGGTTTAATTATTTTTGACCTTTTGAATGATAATTTTAGAAACCCCTACAACGACGGAGATGAAGTTCTTTTAAAAGTTTTATGAAAAAGTTCTTATTCTGGGAGATTTTTTAATTTTGACCTTAATTAAAACGAACGATAAAAAGAATACCACATCTGTTTGGCGTGAGGCCAAAAACAATTATTTTGAAATGAGTTCATTATCTGTTCTTAATATCATTAATTCTTAGTATCATTTAGGTTTGCTATTTAGAATTTTTCACTGTTCTGAAATCCATTCAAAAAACCAATATTTCACCGAGCATGACTTGTGTGCTTGCTTCGTGGTGAAGCCAACATGAATGTTAAACCTCCTGTCGATAAAAATCACGCACCTTTTGCGGGTAAATAAAAATGGAAATGTTTGTATATCTTGTTTGAAAACGTCGTCTAGAAGAGGGTAATTGTGTCGTTAGACATACTGTATTTACAATCTATTATAAAGGATTGTTTGCCATTGTATATTATTTCGATGCTGTTCTCTATACATTTTCGCATGCTATGCACATCTGCTTTATGTATTTCCATTGCAAGAACGGCTTATTATTCCACATAAGAATGCTCCTTGTGTGTAGAACGCTTCCCTTATCGAAACAAACTTCACCATTATCAAGCTGTTTTTTTGCCTCGTCCAAAGTTCATTCCCATCTGTTCGCATTCTATACACAAGTAACTGCAATATCTACTTCTTTATTAAAAAATTACCGGCTCTGTTTTCTTAGATTAAACTTTCGTTAACAAAATTTAACGGGCTGTTTTGCTATGAAAGAACAGTCCTATCAAGGCTGCGGGTGTTAGTTTGGTTTGCGAGGACGGGGTCTAAATTGTGGTTGATGACGTAATGAAAATGATTACCGTTTTCTGTGTAAAATGGATATACTAGAAAAGTGAGTGTAAAAGCCCACATCATTGCCATGTATGATTCTAAAAAACCTTTGGGAGGAAATATACTTGTTTCATCTTATTGTGTACCAAAAACAGTATTGAAGAATGACTCAAGCAAGAAAAAGGAACTTCTGATTGAAAGTAAGCAATTATCCATAGTTTTAGAGATTTGTCCTTTCTCCTATAATTATTAATGGAGTTTTTGATGTAAGACGAATTTTCTTGTTCCAATCAGCAGCGTTTCATTGTCCCAATCGACAGCTTTTCCTAGTGCACCCCAAGAAAAGGTTAATGTACCAGACCAGTTAAATTTACATTTGTGACACTCCTTTGTGCTTTGTATTTCCTGATAAAATCATTCCAGTTTTATTGATTGGTAGATTTTACCCGTGCTGAATCAAAAGTTTGTTTGATTCTTAAGAGTGGTAAATCTCTGGAAATCTTTTAAGAATGAATATTCGATTAGCCCGGTGTCCTGCTGTATCTCATCTTGGCGTTTTATTGTATTGTTGCTGTCAGAACGATTCGAGGTCATGAGAATATTTGAATTTCAACTGCACTTAGTCCGTTTGGAAAATGTCAAGGCGTGATTCTTGACAAGTTGGGGTGTACCTTATTTGTGTCAGCACCAAACTTAACTCTGTCAATATTTATGTGTTAGTATAAACCTGTCTGTGACATGGTTTGGAAAATCATGTTCTCTGTTCCCTTACTTGCACAAGGCCGAACTTTTCCCTCGCATTACTTTTCTTAACTCCGTAGCTACCTCACAAAAGTGTTTTCCTCATAAACCCGACTAATTCTTCATAAATCTGATGTTGAACTTGTTCATTTTCGCCCTCAAGATTGTCCTTGGTCTTCGCAAATATCGATTCATTTTCCCACGCTGATTTTTCAGTATTTTGGCCACATTCGACAACATTCAACAGCCTTTCACATGTGTGATGACCACAGCCTCGTACTGATTACATGAATAATCGAATTGAGACTTGTTGTGATATCTGGTCCATCCATCCGATGTTTCCTCCTCAGTATGATCGCATCCTTTCGTAGGATGATGTCAGGAGCAAGAGGTGGACAAACTTTTTCCATTCCTCTAAGAACATCGTGTACTTTTCAAGGGAAAGCTGTACACGCATTCTTTGCAAAAAACAAAGGTCAAGATTGGTACTTAGTTTCTTAGTTTTTTTGATTTTGGTATAATGAATTTCATCACAGGGTATAAATACAAAAGTGCCATGGAACTACTTCAAAAAATGAAAATGACGTCCGATATAGCCTATATCATAATGTAAAGCAGAACGTCTGATCAGTCGCAAGGAGTTTTTCTTTCTATTTATCAATGTGAATTTAACAGGAATCCTTCTGCCTTATCTTCATAGAAATCATCGCCATCCCATCTGTAAGCGATGGGTTTTCACGCAGTAGTCAGTACTATGGTTTTCTTAATTTTTTAACATTTCGGGCTCGGTTTCATTTTGATGGTTTCTTTTAAATGCAAATGCGTGTACATGGTCTTGTTCAACAATCATTTGGCATAAATGTTAGAAGCTTTACATTCACCTTTGATCTCAGTGTAATAGGTTGAGAGTTAGACAATTCATTAATTGTTCCACGGTGATGTTTCGTAACGACCACATAAGCCTGATATTATTTGTTATGTCACTAGCATGTTTCTCACTTTCTTAAGCAAATACCTTATAATGATTGGTTTGAAATGGTTGTTTTAAAGAAGTGCAACCAACCTCAACCGCTCTCCTGTTAGCAAATCTTTAATATGATTTTCTGAGCTTACTGGGAAAAGAAGAAAGAGAAAATGGGTGAAATTTAGAGTGCCTCTTTTCTTGTTTCGACTATCCGATCTTCAGTCAATGCAAGAACTTAATCGACCTTGCCAAGATTTCTACTTACTGAAAGTTACCTTCACCTTCTTTCTATTGCTCGAAAATGCTCTGCTGCCCGCTTTCATGTCTTAGATAAAAACTTTTGCGATCATCGAGGAAAAGAAAACATCCTCCCCAACCACAAAGCCTTCTTCAGGACACGTTATATCATCTGCCTGCTGCATATGAGATGGCCTGAAATTAACGTATTTGTGGCCGGGGGTTGGAAGATTATCTGGAGGTTTGTGGTCCTGAAACCTTGATCTGGTTCTGACTGCTGGCATCCTCTGATTCTGACAGGATGGTGGAGACCTGTTTCCTCTTCTTTCACACTTAACTGCATTGACAGGCGCTAGGGCAGTTTGGTAGGAAATAAAATGCATCATTCAAAAATATTCTTAATTTTGATTTTTATGAGGTTGAGTTCACTTTGGACTGTGTGGGGGTATCGTGTTGATCCAAGCATGTTGATAGAGGACTTTGGAACGCAATGATCAAAATTTCAATTTCAGCTTGACAAAATACTGTTCTCTTTTGAAATAAGTTATCTGAACGAGACAAAGGGCAGGATGGATGACAGACGAAATGTAAATAGCGCAAAATTAGAGGATTAATTATTGATATGTGTTATAAAAGAATTTCTCTCAGAATGACTATTGCAGATGGCTTTTTTCTTTATAATGTTTTGAGTCTGCTTCTAAGGTTTCTTTACTGACGGTCTAATGTTATGGATTTAGCGTATAAAGATCGAATCATAAGGCACGCCACTGGGTAGTCAGAGTGGTGCAAATGCCAAGCCTTCAGAAAGGCAGTTTTGTCTACTTCATCTTTCATTTGATTGTAATATCTACTCTGCATACGTCTACAGTGCAGTCTCCCAACACTTGTCTACTAGAAGCAAACGCTTCCATGATTTTACGCACAGCTTGAATGATTTCATCACTGACACCCTTGAGTTTATTCTATATATCATGTGCTTGTTTGTATTCAGAGTTTATTGCCGGGGGTTGTTCAAAAACAATCCAAAAAATCATGAAATATGATATCGTAGGTCAGTTGCAAGTATCGACTCCGCGAGGTCGCTCTTGATTTGCCTCAAGATCATATGGTATTGGAAGAGGTTGTTGCTGTTGTGAGACATTGGAAAAATAATTGCATATCTTTTTTAAGCTTGGTGCCAGCAAAATTTCAGAAAAATTTATTGGCTTGCTAGTCTTGTGCTACGTTATAAAACCTGAGTGTAATTCAGTTTATTTGTCAAAATAGGTTTACGTCTGGAAAACCTGGTCTCTGTTTGGATTAAATTGTTTCCCAAGGCGCTAGTGAATTTCTAGGAGGGTCCCCCTTTGACGATTTTGTCAGTCATTGCATCTTAGTCTGGGCTTTTCAATATAAATCTTTGATTTCTATGGTGTCAATGAGATGATCAGCTGCGTTGTGGTGGAAGACACGTGCTCTTAGCAAACGAAATCGTAATAATATCAGTGTTACGAGACGTTCTTTGCCCGCGTGCACCTGACATTCGTCCGTGGTAAAGTTTTCTCGTGAGAAATTTTCATCAAACGCCAGCTATAGTAGCTGAGAATAAGCACAGTTTTTGCAGTGTTGAAATAAACGATTTATCTGTCATATCTCCTGTTTTAAGTCGTTGAACTTGTTTATTTCTCATCTCAGGCTTATTTCTCATCCCTCGCTTGGAAGGAAACAGTGAACCGTATTCGTTTGAAATGCAAAATTACTTTGTTTTTTGGTGTGGTATCTTCAATTTTGTTTCAGGGAAGTTACCTTCTGATTGCCTCTTAGATTCTATCATCTTGTAATGTTTTTCCTATGTTATAGCCTAACAAGCTTTATTATATAACATGGCTGTATGGTGGCTTTCTTCTTCATTCACGGCCATTCATTGGAATTGTTTGGAGCTCTTTGGAGTTGTCTTGCATTGTCTAGGAACTTTTAATGAAATCAGAGAACCTATGAAATCGAAAAAAGGAAAAATTTGCGATCAATTGTAGAATGCTTTTTAGATTTCATTGCTTTAATACATTTTTAATTTGGAAGCATATTCTCCGCGTTAAACCAAAAAGATATGATTTTCATAAATAAGATGTTTGTGCAGATTGCTTGTAAGTGGACGTGATCAAATCATCTCAACCAGCCAAATCGGTTCTTAAAACTTTTCTTTTGTGTCCTTTTACAAATTTTACTGTTTAGCGGCAACGCCCTTGCTTAAGCTTTCGACAGTTTTCCCATACGCCAGCCGACAACCTCCTGACAAACCTTGTGGATTCTACCTGATGTGCCATACCCTTTAAATAAAGTTTTCACCTTATCGAGTATATTTGGGTTTGGCACTGTTTAAAGCTACGAAAATACCTCGTTAATGGCTGTGATTTTAGGTGGAAATCATGCAAATTATCCTAGTTTCGAATAACGCAAGTAAATCCCAATCTTATGCGATGCTGTTTCTGTTGTCGGTTCAAGGCTTTGATTGAGTCGGAGCTTGATGAATTAAAAGGAAATTAGATAAATGGATAGATGAAAAGAATTCCCGTACAGAAGCCTAAATGCATTCCCTACTGATAACAAATGAAAATACTTCAGTTTAATGCTAGGCTTAGTCGGTATACACAGCTGTGAATTCCTATTAAGGAAGTTTTAAATGCGTTTAATTATTAACCCCAGACATCTCTCAATAAATGCTCCACATTGGTTCGTTTTTTGTCTTGCGGCCGTCATCTTGTATAGGTTTAGAAAATTTAATTTTATTGCAGAATTATTCCTCTTGATGCTGAAACCGTGTTTCATTTCAAAGTGCAAAGTTAACTCAAGGGTAATGAATAATTCAGCGTCTTTGTGCGATCATCGCGTTTAAATGGGCTCTCAATTTCACCTGGCATCACGCTCGTTTTTCGATTACTTATTCATATTTTGAAATAATACCTTATTGTATTAATATTTATAATACCTTTGAAATTTATATTAAATGTTTTGGTCGCCTTCGCCGACATCCATTAATACAAGAGTCCCTTCGTGTGGAACTCATTCACAATTTCTTTTTGTCACGGATAACTTATGACCAGCTCATTGCTATGTAGAAGTTTCAATTAATCCCACAACTAATCCCACCTGTTTTCATGTAACTTTTATATTTTAAAATAGCATAACGCCATCTTGATTTTTTGTCAAGAGATCAAAGTAAGTTTCGATTATGTCTTATTGAGGGACCGATTTTTGTAAACCAATACCTTAAGCAGTGTTCTCTTGCATGCTTGACTTTAAACGAGGCGTCACTTCCCTAGACCTCTCTTCTTGTGTTTTCACCTCAACCTTCAACATCCGATTGGACTGGATTAAATGTTCTGTTCGCGGTTTCTTCGATTCCTGCTTCGGCAGTGTGAAGAAAATTCTCAGTTAATTTTTGGAAAATTTTAGAAAAAGTTTCTATAGATATGCAAGGCCCTATTACGTGCTGGTCAAGAATTTTTGGAAGAACCATTTTGTCCAGTTGTAAAAATCTTAGATAACAGTTCATGCGTTCATGCGAATTATTTCCAACACGAGAACGCCAATCTTGGGGCTATTTTACACCAATTTATTGTATCTTAAATTCTCGAGTTTTGATTTTAAATATTTCGATATTTTTACAGACCTTTATTTACCCATTCGTCGTTCAGGCCAGTCGCTTTGTATATCGAGTTAGGAGCCCTGATTACTTCAAAATGGCTAATTAAGCTTAAATTGCTTGATCGACTTGTGACGGTCCCACAAGCTTTGGGCGTTTAACTTAGTAATTGATTTTCAGTCTTATTCTCAGCCTAATCTTGTCTCGATCTATCTTCTCTTTGCTCAGACTTTGCCCTGTGTCATATGATTCACTCGGATTTTCAAGCTGTTTTTAAATTACCTGGATTTCAGTATCAAGCTGCCCGCGTATCCAGGATTTATTTTGTAATTTCATCAGAAATGACATTCGTGATACATTGGTTAATTCATATCGGTTCACATTGCAGGGCGCGTGGTCGTGGTGGACTTGGAGCTAGCGGCTTCAACGATGACTTTATGGATGATTTCGGATCTGGTGGCTTCGGCAGCTCTGGCGGACGTGGACGTGGCCCAAGATCGCGAACTGGCGGCGGTGGTCCAGGACCAGGTCGCGCCGGTGGTCGAAACGGCGGTGGCACCATGCAAGTGATGAACAGTACAACTGGACACAGTGTGCATATGAGAGGACTGCCTTTCGATTCAACCGAAGATGATATTGTTCAGTTCTTTTCGCCTTTGAATCCAGTTAACATTAGAATAATTTACGAGCCAAACGGGCGGCCAAAGGGTGAGGCTGATGTTGACTTCGCAACCCACGAGGCAGCGACTGCAGCCATGGGCAAGCACAAACAGAATATGGGTATGTCTGGATAAGTCTTACATTTTGCAGCTTTTTCATTCGTTGACATCCACAAGACAAGACATTCGTTGACAATTTGTAAACTTGTTCAGCGACTTTAAATTGGCCATTTAAAATTATTGTCACGTATATTCAAATCCTTTTTTGCAAGAGGAAGTACTCACGATATTTTTTAATAAAAAACCCTGACGTTTCAATTGAACCCTTGCTTTTCAATTTTTTCATAGTGAAATCTTGACAATGTTAGTTTTCTTAGTGGTGCACGTGTTTTGTAGCCCATTGGCGTCCCCTGTTTACCTTTTTACCATTCTCTTCTCGTGTCTTGCGCTCCACATGTCTCATTCTATAATATTATTGTAAATATAATAGTATAGTACAATAATATTGTATAATATTGTACAATAATATTGTATAATTGAGTTCGACTTTATCATATTTTTTCAATTTTCCAAGTTTGACACAGTAGATTGTATACACAAGTTCTAAGAGCAGAGTTTTAACAAGGTTTGATAAACTTTCATTCACTCTAGGTCGACGCTACATCGAGTTATTCTTACAGTCAAATTCCGGTGGATTTTCTGGCGGTTGGAGTGGGAGCAGCATGAGATCCAGCAGCAGTGGATACGGCTCCTCCAGTAAGTTAATTTCTCTTTTTCATTTCACTTTTTCATTTCACTTTTTCATTTCACTTTTTCATTTCTTTTTATCACTTCATTTATCATAATTTATACACAAAAAACCATTCGGTTTTTATGTTACAAATTAAAAAGAGCCCTATAATTTTTTCTGAAATCTCTAGTCCAAAATGCTTTTTACATACACGACAATTTTTTAGACCACGCCGTCGTTTACGCGGTTTTTGGTTATTGGCAACGCATAAAGTATTCTTTGATGTGTTTCTTATAACAATGCGGTATAGTAGTTCGCTGTTTTTGAGAAAATCAGTTATGGGAAAATCATTCCAAGCTTGCACAGCAAAAACATTGATGCTTTTTAAGCGAATTCTGCATTACATCATGGTAGAAATAGATATTTACAATACAACGTTACATAGATCGAATGCAAATTGTTATGATCAAAACATTCATAAAGACGAAAATTTGTCCTTTTCTATTTTTTCTGTTTGATTAGTAGGGATATGCTGTCTTTCTATATGCTTTTAGCAAGCGATGGTTTTTATGTCTGCTTCGGTTTTTTCACCACATATGTCACCCTCTTCTTTTATCTTGTGTTCTCTTTCCCATTCCTTCCCAAAGCTGTTTCTTCCCCCCGTCACGCTACTTTTTATCTTCTGCACCCTACGATTTCCCTTTCATCATTCCTTGGCTCCTTCGTTGTCACATTTTATAAAATGTTCTTTGCCTCCTTTTTCCTGGAGAACAGTCTCCCTATCTTATAACATCTTCTGTAGAAATTCCCAACTAGTTCATGCCCCCCTGTTACCAGAATTTGTCTTTTTTTTAGTGAACGAAAGCAAAAGTGGATATTCCGGGGGCTATGGCGGTGGCTACGGAGGAGGCTATGGTCGCGGGTCCTCTGGAGGATATGGCTCCAGTAACTACGGGGGCATGGGTGGCTCTCGAATGAGAGGCTCGGCTGAATCAACAAATTTTGCTGCTGACGTTACATATCCTGGAGCTGGGAATTTCTTTGGACAGCAAGCGTACAACTAATCTGCGATTACGTGTGAATATGGGCTGAACTCGTTTGATAAAACTAAGGGTCTATTCATTGTAGGGTGATACGATGCATTTGCTTGGTATAGGCGGTGTGGGATCTTAAGTTCTTTGTTTATAAATAAGCTAGGCCATTTTATTTTTTAAGATAACTGAATGGGACAATCCTTCACAGTATCTATGTTCAGTGTAACAGTCTAATCTGCCGCCATCGCAATTGATGTTATGAGGTAAAGTTGCAAATGATACTATGAATAACCACAATGCGTGTGTTGACAGTCAAGTTCACCCCTTCAGCTACTATTGACATATTTTATTTCGCCTGGTTCTGACAAATTAGAGTAATTTTGTTACATTCTTTTAAAACTTGTTATTAATTTTGGAACTAATTTTGGGTAAAAACTTAATATATAAAGTTCACTTGCGACGTTTCTTTTAGTATCGAAATAGTTTAAGGGCTACACCTGGTTTTGTTTTGTAAACTCTGGTTAAACATCGGGCATACAGAGTGTAGTTTTGAGAGTCAATATCCACAAACGTTTGTTTTATTGTCATTAAATTGAAGTGTTTCCTGGGATTGCGGCCACGCCCAAGCTAATCTTTTCTGTTATACGATTCTGTTTTGAAATTTGTTCTCGAAGTCAGGATTTCTCATTTGTTTTGGAAGAACAGATTATACTCCTCATTGTTTGGCATTTATCCTCAGGTCGTGACGTTTATATCCTCGTCCTTTAAAAATATGTTCTTTCATCTTTGAGAAGTTCTGAACAATCATTTGATCATTCGTTTTTTCAGTCGACATAAATACCAGATAGGCTCGCCTCGTGTTAATTTTGTTTATTCTTTTTCTAATTTGTCTAGATGCATTTAACAGGGGTTTCCTTGCACCTTGGGTTTTCCTTCGTGTAATAAATGGGCCTTTGTAGGCATGGGATGGGTACCATAATATTCTTGTGCAACCGTCGTTTTATCCGTTCTTCGTTTGATAGAGTTAATGGTTTTCTGTATATAGCCTATTTGAACATTGTGTAAATGACTTTAGGCATGGGTTATGAAGCAGATGTTATGAAGAGTATTCTGAATTTTGAGTTAAACCAATGTGTTCATTATATTGAAAAATGCGACATCTGTCTTTTTGTCCTGATATCATCTGTTTAACGGCATGACCTGATTAGATTCTCGAATGTAATACGGAATTTGACAGATAAAATGACGACTGGCGCTTTGCAAGCTCGTGTATTAGACATTCCATGGGATATCTGGCTGTATCTTTTTCGATTAATATGCTTCATGGCCAAAAGCTTGATTACGCAGAGATGTGATATTTCCCGCAATAGGGGACAAGAGTCTATTATACGATGTGATTGTAAATATATCGTTAAAATTTGATATAAATATGTTATACAATTCATATCGACATTGTTGCTTCTAACTTATAAGTGTGTGCTCTTGACATTGGTATGATTTTATCGTTTAAGGTCTATCAGGTACAAATTTGTAATATCGTATTGCCTAAAAAGCTTCGCAGCTTCATTTACCTATGGTCAACCCTTGTACATTGTTGCCGGAAGTTTCAGGTATATCAGCTGTTTTAGAAATAAGCATGATTTACAAATTTTGTTTGCAATACAAAATGTCAAAACACGATTCGAAGTGTACGCTTCTGATTTCTACTAAAATGTTCTCTAAGATACACAGAGGTTTTGCCGAACCTTCGCCTCTCAATGAATACCTTTATTGCATGTGAAAATTCTTGCAGACCTCTATCCCAAAACTCGAATATATTCAAATTACTAACGATTTCAAGGATTGTTAGATGTCGAGCCTGGGATAGTTGTCCAGGAAGACCAACAAGAAATTGTTGAAAGTCAACTTCGAGTGACATCTTGTTGGCAGTATATTGCTTAGGCCGGTTGTTTGACAGGCTGGGCTTTGCTGCTCAGGTTAGGAGGGAAAAGCTACTGCGCGTTTTGTTCGCGCTTACACTCCATATAGCTGCAACAAGTTTAGGCCTTATGTATTTGCTAACGAGGCTTAGACCGTATATATATGGGATTTCCAATAACAATTTGTAAATAAAGATTGACCATACATATATGAGAATATGAAAATATTCATGCAATGCAGTGTATTACGGTGCATTATATACAAAATCAAAGAATATAAATCTGTAAATCATAGAACTTAAACGCAGAGATCTTATTGCACACGCTATAAGTTAGAAGATTCAACGTCGACATAAATTATACAACATTTTGCAAATTATTTCTTCCAAGCGTTTTTTGTTGGGGAGACGAACAAGATAAAAAGTCTTGTTTATTATTTCGCATACATTTTCATTCCAGGACGGAGGGCTGCCAACACACTCCTCATCTTGAATGCTAAGCAATTACATTCGAACAATGTTGAACTAGGATGGGGTTGCAGCGCCTTCCTAGCTTGCATTTGTCCTTCGCAATCTCTGTAGGTTTGGGCACGAGTCTGAATGCTCAAAGAAGCCTATGGGGTTACATTAC